TAAAGTTTGTGTTTATTTGTAAAATACTAGTACTTAGGGTTAATTAAATTTGGTTTAGTGTATTTAATATTTATATATATTTACTAATTATATACTACGGTATAGTTACCTATATTGAAACTTGAATCAATAATAAGTTTTTGTTTTTGAATGCATAATTCCTTCCGTTAGTTATATAGAAACGATATCTGTTGTCCAAAGATTACAGTCCACGAGCTGCTGGTATATAGAGTCAACTTTTATTTTTAGATATTATTTAGTTAAGGCTTAGGGTATAGGGTTAAGATTTTGTTGTTTGGGTTAACAAGGTATGGTCTAGGGTATAGTTATCTATATTAAAACAAGATTTAATATAAAGTAGTAATAGTTAGGGATTGCATAATTTGGTTTTAGGGTTTAGATTATGTTGCTTGGGTTAACAAGGTATGGTCTAGGGTATAGTTATCTATATTAAAACAAGATTTAATATAAAGTAGTAGTAGTTAGGGATTGCATAATTTGGTTTTAGGGTTAAGATTTTGTTGTTTGGGTTAACAAGGTATGGTCTAGGGTATAGTTATCTATATTAAAACAAGATTTAATATAAAGTAGTAGTAGTTAGGGATTGCATAATTTGGTTTTAGGGTTTAGATTTTGTTGCTTGGGTTAACAAGGTATGGTCTAGGGTATAGTTATCTATATTAAAACAAGATTTAATATAAAGTTTGTGTTTATTTGTAAAATACTAGTACTTAGGGTTAATTAAATTTGGTTTAGTGTATTTAATATTTATATATATTTACTAATTATATACTACGGTATAGTTACCTATATTGAAACTTGAATCAATAATAAGTTTTTGTTTTTGAATGCATAATTCCTTCCGTTAGTTATATAGAAACGATATCTGTTGTCCAAAGATTACAGTCCACGAGCTGCTGGTATATAGAGTCAACTTTTATTTTTAGATATTATTTAGTTAAGGCTTAGGGTATAGGGTTAAGATTTTGTTGTTTGGGTTAACAAGGTATGGTCTAGGGTATAGTTATCTATATTAAAACAAGATTTAATATAAAGTAGTAATAGTTAGGGATTGCATAATTTGGTTTTAGGGTTAAGATTTGGTTGCTTGGGTTAACAAGGTATGGTCTAGGGTATAGTTATCTATATTAAAACAAGATTTAATATAAAGTAGTAATAGTTAGGGATTGCATAATTTGGTTTTAGGGTTTAGATTTTGTTGCTTGGGTTAACAAGGTATGGTCTAGGGTATAGTTATCTATATTAAAACAAGATTTAATATAAAGTTTGTGTTTATTTGTAAAATACTAGTACTTAGGGTTAATTAAATTTGGTTTAGTGTATTTAATATTTATATATATTTACTAATTATATACTACGGTATAGTTACCTATATTGAAACTTGAATCAATAATAAGTTTTTGTTTTTGAATGCATAATTCCTTCCGTTAGTTATATAGAAACGATATCTGTTGTCCAAAGATTACAGTCCACGAGCTGCTGGTATATAGAGTCAACTTTTCTTTTAGATATTATTTAGTTAAGGCTTAGGGTATAGGGTTAAGATTTGGTTGCTTGGGATTTGGACAATAATCTGTGGATATAAAATATTTATTAACACACAATCAATTTGTATTAATTCACAATTCCACCGCGATTTCCTCCACAGTGGCCACCATCTAGAGAAATGTTAGGGTTTCTTCGCCCTTATTAATCCTCGATTTTAATACATCATCAGTGAAGGATCTTATATATTATGCCTAAAATCGTCTGCGAGAAGGGCAAATGTAAGCACCCAAAGCCAATGGCCACTACGCGACATTACTGGCGACCACGAAGTGCCCTTGCCCCTGTAAGGGGAAATCAATTTGCAGTCCATCCGCCTCGCCCACCATTGGTACAATTCCAGCTTCAGGTATGGATTTCAAAATAATTACCATTACTTGTAATTCTTTCTTAGTTTTTTAATGTAAAGCCGAGTTTTGCTCCTTTAAGGCGCCTCCATTCCCTCAATTCCACATCCCAGACCACGTTCTAGCGAAAATTGTCGCCTACATTTCTGAAGATGGGGTAGATCTGTTGAAGGCATGGATTCAAACCGGACCAGATGGTACAGCCGCCGTTATGTCCCAGGATACGCTATCTTCGGTTCGATTAGATAAATCACCTGAATTCATTCAAATGGCCCAACAATCGTCTGCATATCACGGTTTTTACACCAAATGCCTGCAATTCAATAATCCATATGCCTTATATGTCCATAGTCTGGTACTGGGATTTCGTTTTTGTGACCTTAACGGAGCAATTGCAATTTTGGATGGAATAAAAAACGTTTTTCCACATGCTGGCCTACTTTTCATAATGCTCCATAGCTGCCAGGGAACAATTCCGTGGGAATTTTATATCAGTTACAAGAGAAGATACTACAAATTCAGTGAAGTCGACTTATTCGCGGATAAGCTTATGTACCACATTAACTCAGTTGGGCCACGCCGACAAGGCACATACAAAGCATCATGGGAGTTTGAGGATTACGGAGAGTGCTGGTCAGACCATCAGTACCTTGACGAGGGCAAGGGTCAATGGTGTAATGCATGTATTTACTTCTACCTCTCCCAAGAAATATGTCAAATTTCTTAAATCCTCATGTGCATCTCTTATGTTATTGGTTTATTAATGTTTTATAATTTCCCTTTATTCCTCATCTCCTTATGTATGACTCTGTTTTATATTTTATTCAATTTTGCGAAACAATCTTATATTGTTACATTAGCACAAAAGTTTAAATATAACTCATTGTTCTTTATCATTTTACCATTTTGATATTCAACCTATCCATAAATTTGTGACCATTATATACTGTTCTTGCAAGCTGATACATTCTTTGCTATGTAGGCAGTTGATAACCAAACAGAAGTATGACCATTATATTCCCTAATTGAATTTGTGACCATTATAAATCGTTCATACCACCTACTAGTCCATAACATCAATCGTAAGCCCAATATTAATATGTCATGTCCATCATAACATGACCATATAACATACCAATTTTTGGTAATTTGGTTGTCCATTTTTAGGCGGGATTTTTCCCCCCTTTTCTTGATTACCGAAATCCATTACTATTAACCTTTATTTACTAATAAATTAGGCACTTTTGCCTTTAGCCCTTACTTCAACCAAAAAAAATTTGATTCTATGAGATTCCCTTCCAGATGTCTTCGAATCTACAAACATGCTTCCAAAAATACTTTCCATCCTCTGTCAACCAAAGCTCCGACAGTCAACAAAGAGGTAACTAATGGCCTCCTCTTCACAATACTGCAACACAATTCGCATATTTAATCTTCTCTTCTGTCCTTTTTCAGTTCACAAAACACCGTCACTTTTACCTCCCGGAACCAATTCTAGCTCTGATTGTTAGCTACGTTTCAGACGAAGGAATAGATTCCTTGAAATCTTGGATTAAAAGTGGCCAAGACGGAAAACGTGCAGCATTTTCCCCGGAAACACTACTCAGAGTGCGATTAGATAAAAGTCCCACATTTATTACTATGTCGTCATCAGATTCTATCCATTTCCCATTCTATTCGACATGTCTTGCAAATGGGAATCCTTACGCTCTGTATCTGAAGAGTCTGCAACTAGGGTTCGGCTCCGTAGATCTTTTTGGCGCCATATCACTGTTGAATGATTGCAAAGATAGTTTTCCATTAGCCAAACTCCTCTACATTTGCCTAAATAGATGCGCAGGTAACGAAGTCGTTGATTCATTTCGTAGTTTCAAACGCGAGAACACATGTTTCTTAAATGTAGAGAGGATGGCCAAGACTCTTATTGAACACATCTCAGCTTCAGAGCCAAAAAGGGTGGGATCTTACGCTGAACTCTTTCACTACGAAGAATATCCAGATTGTTGGCTACAACATGAGTTTTACAAGGAATATAATGGGGAAAGATGTTCACATTGCATCTATTTCTACCTCTTCAGAGATATCCTCTTGCTATCATAGAGCTCTACATTAAACCTTTTGTTATTTTGAGATGTCTACATCCCCCTCAGTTTTATATAATTTTGCATCTTCTGGTAATATGGGATGTCAACTGCTAGTTATCCATCTGTAATGACATTAAATTTTTAATTATCTTATGGCTCATCTCATTTTGTAACCAACAATGACTTTATGATCTTTTATGGGATATATCACTGACAAACAAGTCGCCTCTTTAAGGCTTATTTATATTAAGGACTTTTATGAGCATAGTGTGAGGCGTGTTTATGCATTTCACTCTTTCACAAACTAGTGTCTACTTGTTTCCATAAAGTTTGTTTATCCATCATTTCCCTTCTTTCCTACTATATTCCTGTGGATACTTTCTTTGCTTGTCCACAGCGAAACTTTAGTTCTTTTGAGATGTCTGCATCGATTTGTTACTTATATAGAACAAATTTAAACTTTATGTTACACAAATACACTAAATTAAAACTTAAACTTTTATACCATTCAAAATAAATCATAAAATTCATTACACCAATGCAGAGAGAAAAACAATGCTGAAACATGCTTTTCCAAAATATTCCCAACAAGCCATTAATGTTTGATCCCCCAAAAGGCAAATTAATAACAATCAAAATAGAAACCAAAATAACAACCTCAGTCTATTAAGTAGGAACGAATCTTTCATATTGGATTAGAACAACTTGTCCTGTTATGACCAATTCCTTTGCAACGAGAACACCGGTTCTGTTGCAACCTTCCAGTCTTGGGTTTCTAAAATGTACATGAGACATAAAACAAAACGAAAACTCTTAATATATACCTAAATCATTTACAACAGCCAAAATTAAAAAGGGTTTAATATACCCTTACCTTGTATTCTCCTGTTGATGGTATTCTGGCTTCCTTAGGCCTCCCTGAAGGTCTCCTTGTATATGGTGGCAGCATGGATCGGTGTTGGAGGGCTTCTGGAATGTCTTCTTCTTTCGCTATTGCCTCAGGGTAGATTACTCCTTGGTAAGTCCCAACCCATGAGTGAGGTTTGAAACAGTCATCAACTAAAGCTTTGTGGGATAAGCCAATGCTATTGCCAGCCAACAGAGCATGAGCACAAGGAATCTTAAGTTTATCATACCTCTTGCATGTGCACTGCTTCTTTTCAAGATCTACTACATGTCTTCCACCTAACCTCCCAACAATCTCAAAGCACCAGCTGTTTATCCTTGCAACCTTGCTAGCGTTTGATGATAACATTAACTTTGTTATTTGCTTGTCAACTTCTGGAGGAACTGGACCCGTATGAGCTGCTGACTTCTTCCGACGCGCATTAAACCATCGAGTTAACATAGACCTAATAAATCTGATCAATTCCACAATATGGGAAGATCTCCCCTTGCCCAAAGCCTTGTTCAACGTCTCAGCTATATTACTAGTCATCAAATTGTATCTCTGTCCCTGAAAATATACCCTACTCCAATGAGCCATCCCTATTAGATGTAGATAATGGCCGCAGTCTTGGTTCAGGGCATTAATCTGACCATATAGCTCTTTAAACTTAGACGTTGTAAACTCATATCCTGCGTTTTTGACCAACTGTGTCAATCCTTTGTTCTTGTACCTAGCTTGGATATTCCTACAGAGGTGAATAATGCAAGCCCCATGATTTGCCAGTGGAAAAATCCTCTTGATTCCAACATTAATTGATGATTGTCTGTCTGATAAGATAGTTAGACTTTTGCTGTCAGCAATTATCCTCTCCAACTTGCTAAAGAACCATGTCCAAGATTCATCGTTCTCACTATCCACTACAGCAAATGCTAGTGGAAATACTTGGAAGTTTGCATCTTGCCCACTTGCAGTTAGTAGTACACCCTTGTACTTTCCTTTCAAATGTGTACCATCTACAACCAATATTTTTCTGAGATGCTTAAAGCCAGCTATTGAAGCCCCAAATGCTAAAAACATATATAAAAACCTCTCTTTCCCTTCATCTTCATCTTCAGTTTCTATATGTGTTATACTTCCTGGATTAGTTACCTTCAAAAGATGCAAATATTCAGCCAAACTGGAATAAGAGTCTTCGTCAGTGCCGCTCATATCTGCCATAGCTGTTTCCCTAACTCTCCAACACTTATGGTATGACGCATCGACTCTCAGATCTTCTAGAATAAGTTGTTGAAGATCCATTGGTACAGGACCATTGGTAGGATCACTGAACTTTGCCTTATATACAGAAGCTATCACTCTTGATGTTGCCTTCTTCATGTACTGCCCTCTAGTTTCTACTGAACATGTGTGTTGAAGACATAATTTCTTAATTTCATAGTACCCTGTTCCTCTGATGACGGTAGACAATATCCTCCAATCACATTTCTCATCTGAGCAACTAAGAACAAAATAGTTATACTTGGTTCTGGTTTGCTTGAAATGAAACATATTCTTTATCGCATAGATTGCCATCCCTATTTGTGCATCTTCTCTGCTTGCATACACTTTCCCCTTGTATAACCCTTTTCCATCATCATCAATATCCAAATCAGGGATGTTATCTACTTCATACTCAATGTCCTCAAACAAAGGTGGGATATCGAATTCCTCATCATCAACTTCCTCTAGCTTCCTTACTGGCTTCCCCTTTCTCTGAGAGCCTCCATCATTCTCAATATGTTCTGATTTCTGACTAAATTCAGGTTTTACCCCTGTTCCACCCCCATTCACAAGTACAGCGTGGTCAAATACACCACTACCAGTACACATAACAACTTCTGGTGTCTTAGATCCATTAAAAGCACCTTCTGATGTCAGATTTCCTGCTTCCATATGATTTGACCGATACCTGACATCTACACCTCCTGTAGTCATTAACTCTTCAGCATTTGACCCAGCATAGACATCTTTAAGGAAATTACTCCAAAAATCTTTATCATATCCGCCACAGGGCATACTCTCATCAACCATATCACTTTTTTCTTCTTTTTCCTCTGTTTCTGTTTGATTAAAGAACTCATCTTCAACATCAATGAATTCTTCTTCTTCGTCTTTATCAACTGCGGCCGATTTAAAACCACTAGAACAGCCTATTTTTGCTTCTACTTCTAGTAATTCATCAAAGAAATCATCATCTCCAGGAGTCAACATAATGATAGGAGTTTTTGAACCCGCAGAAGATATTTCCCCACCAATTGCCTCACCATTTTTTGAACTACTTCCAGTATCATAACTACAATCACTCTTTCTTTTACAACTTCCTCCAAGAGTTTCACAACTTTTTCTTCGATCCTCTCTATCTTCCCCAAGTTTATATCTATCAGTAGTTTCTTCAAACTTAACAAACAAGTTAAGACCCCTGTTTTCCCTAAGAGCCTTTATATAGTACAGCAAGCCTACCTCACTAGTAACTAGAACAGGAGGAGTCTTTTCCTTTGTTGACAACATACTTCTATTGGGTAGAGAGTAACTCAGCAAAGGTTTGACCGCTTTCACACCAAACTCTTCCACAATGGCTTGGTTAAACTGTTCCAGTTTGATTCCCTCATGAATAGGAACAACCCTCGAGAAATGTTTGTTGCTAATCTCCAACTTCCATTCACCATTTGAAGAACAAATCCACTCTCCACAAATTACGATACAGAAGTCGTCCAGAGAACCCTAGACATATAAACCAAAAAAATTGTGTTAGTTTCGTCGAGCAGTACATGAATTAAAATGTAAATTTGGTGGATGGGTAAAACGATAATCTTACCTCCATCTCTAACTTCTCTTAGACAGCAATTGTTATCCAAAACTCAACAATTTTCAGCCAATACATATTCGGAATCCATTAGAAATTTTCGTCGGACCGTACGTAAAAGTTGGTACTCTGTAACCTGCGCCACAATCTCCGCCGTCCGCTTAATCAATCTCGACGGCCCAGATTTCGCTATACGACGACAATTAAAACCCGAATCGTGACCGTTCTTTTTGCATCATCTTTCCCTCGTCCGCCACGTCGCAATACTAAACCAAGAGGCCGAACCGGAATAACGACAAATCGAGTTGGTTTTACGGAGGGGCAGAAGCGTCATCTTTTTCTCCAGAAGTTTGATAAAGTGCCTCAAGTTTGGAAAGTGCCTCAAGTGTAATATCTTTCTCTAGAAGTGCCTTAATATGCAAATCTCCCATCAAAAAATTCTCATTCTAAGAAAGTCAAGAAAATAAATGAATGAAATTGTAATAATATGCAACTAACTAAAAATAAATAATTATACGGAAAATGTTTTCTTATTTAATTGAATTGGATTTGTAGTGGTTAATACTTAATACATAGTACAAGCGGTTTTATACTTTTCTAGAACAAGAAGGTAGAAAGTTATAAACAATGTTATTGTTATGTGCAGATTATCAAATACTGTATAAACATAGATGATACCAAAAAAAAAAAGATGATTTTTGGTAGACAATTTTCAACACAAAATTGCCAGTTTCTTATCTGCATCATTGGCTTCAATCTGGGTTCAGGACTTGTAAGAGGCCCATTAGTGCCAATAGGCCCATTATCATACTAGCCCAGTCTGTTGAAATTTGCTTTCTGTTTCTGCAGTTGCATATTTCCCGCCTATTTTTCAAGCCAATAACGAAAAAACAGAATTCTTCAACAACAACAAAAATGTCAAAAACCATAAACAAAAAAATAGCTTCTTAACTTCAAATATTGTTTTGGAGGTTTCATTTTTTTCTCAAATATAAATCTCTCCGTCAGAAACCACACAATCCTCAATCCAAAATCCAATCAAAGATGAAGCAATTCACCGGAGTTCTCTTCCTTTGCATCGTTCTTCTCTCCTCCATCTCCGGAAATGCTAATTCCGGTATGATCTCCGATCTCTGCAAAAACTCCGACGATCCAAAACTCTGTCTCTCCAGCATAACTTCACGTCCCGAGTCCGGCGAATTCGCAGGCACCAGCAACCAGATCGAGATCATAGCTATCTCCGCCGCATCAGCCAACGCCTCCGCCACTTCCTCTTATATCAAGAAAAAGCTCAGCAACGAAGATTTGGAGCCGGCGATTGAGGACACGCTTGAGGACTGTCAGAAGAACTACCAAGATGCTGTGGAGCAGCTTGACGACTCGATCTCGGCCATGCTCGCAGATGCACACGCTGATGTCGACGTCTGGCTGAGAGCGGCGATCAGCGCTATCGAGTCATGTGGAAGCGCGTTGGATTCACGCGCCGGGAACGATGCTGAGCTTTCCCTGAGGAACAAGGTCTTTCTCAAGCTTTGCAAAAATGCTTTGATGATTAACAAAATGTTAACTTGAGAATATTAACCCTCCAAATTTTATGTAATGTATTATATTTGCTTCCTCTTTTTTTTCTTTTTTTGGTAACTGCTTGTTGTTTGAATTAAGATGACATTATCAAGTCAAATAAAACAAAAACAATAAGAACTTCATAGCAAACAAAAATAAACAAGGAGAATTATATTGTCAAATAAACTTAACAATGTTGAGAAACCGGCCCAACTTAAGACTGTCTCTTGGGTCCAAATAGTGAAAGCCCGTATATAGCTTAACAAGAGAAGTTAAATCCAAATTACTGTTCGTAATCCGGTTCAGAAGTCTAAAGTGGTCTAACCAAAACGATGATTCAAATTTTAGTCGATATTTTCCTGTTTAAATCAAATAAAATCAGATCAACTTGGTTTTGTATACTAAATTAAACCGCTACTTTGAACAAGTCTCACGAACATTATGATTAGACGGCGTAGAAAATTTTGTAAAAGCAAAACAATGGTGGAAATTCAACAAAAACAAAACCAGTGGTGGAAATCTATTGGATTCATAATGCGATTTTTATAGTCAAATTGTTTACCAAACTCCAACTTAATCGTTGACCTACCATATTCATAACGTAACCAATGTAATATTTTGATTTCTAAAATGCTGTTTTTCTTCTAGATATTTTAAGGTGTTTTAGTCAAGTGTCACATTTTGGTGATAATCAAGACTGATATTTTTAGGAAATGTACGGTCACGATCAAATGAAGGTCATTTCAGAGTGGTTGCTTGTAAGATTAGTGTTGGATAGATTCCCAGATTCAATGTCCCACACAATGACAAAACGCAGATACCTTTCTTCTCCACTTGGACCAATTATACATACACACTTGTTCTAAGCTTTAATTATTTCTTTGCCAATAAAATCCAGTTTCTTCCTTTTATTCATCCCTCAAAACTTATTTCACATCACTATAAGCTCTTATAATACCAACTTGGTATTTAGAAATAAGATCTAAATTTGGAATATTGTATATAAAATTAAAATTTATGTGAATCAATTGGAACAATTTGCACATCAAGATGAGATCATTAGACAAAACTTGCACTCTTGTAAAGGAAGGGTATCAAGATTCCACTAAGACCCCACCATTTGTTTGCCTTTCCTCTTAACAATGATAGAATCTTGCTTTCTCTTTTTGAAATATCTAAGGAAAAAAAACTATATTTTATCAACCAACTTGATTGGTTCCTTCTTCTCTCTCTGGTTAGAGACGAAATATCAGCGACAGACCAAACCTTCATTTTCAAGCGCGTGGCCGGCGCGTGGCGGCTTAGATAGCGCCGGCGTCGGTCCCTCCTGTCCGTTTTCTTTATGTTTTCGTCTCTAGCTTAGTTTCCTTAGTTTGTTTGGATCCATGGTCGTTATTGGCGAGGTGAAGATTTCTTTTGGGTTCTCAGATCTGAAAGGGCTTTTGGTCAAGGGTTCGATTCGTCGGAGCCGTTGGCCGTTTGTGGGGTTGGAGCGACCGTTCTCGGTCTTGTCTTGCGGTGTGGATCAGCAGCTTGCAGTTTGAGGGGTAGTGGTTCGTGTCGGAGTTTATGTCTCTCTCCTTTGTCGTTTCAGATTTGGGCTCCGACGAAGGCGTCTTGTGGTGGTGTTGGCCGCGGTTTTGGTTCGCTCATGGTCTGGCCATCTTCCCTTTGTTGGTGGTGGCAACGGTATCTGGTGGATTAGGGTTTGTGGTCTGGTTTGTGCCACTTTGTGTCTTCGTTAGCCTTGTTCTCTTCAATTCTCTTTTGGGTCCTTGTCTTTGTGCCTTCATTGTTGGTTCGTTAGGTGCTGTTCTGGAATTGGCTCTATATTTAGTCTTTTGTGGTCTAGTATCTTTGTTCTCTTGCCTACTCTATGCCATGCCGAGTTTGCTTGTTTTTCGATCCGGTTTGCTCTCTTGCCGTCTCCAGTTTTCGGTTTGTTGCAGATTGTTGGGCTCGGTCCTTGTCTCTACGGTCTAGACCTGATCGAGGTCTCTTTATTGCATTGGTATCTTTCTAGGCGTGGACATTTCGTGGTTACTTCGTTTGCTTCGAATTCGCCGTTTCCAGGAGTTGTGTTTGGGTTCTTGATGTCTTTCGACATAGTTCTCTACTTGCTGGTAAAGATGCTTTAGTTCTCTTAAAATTGTGAGGTAGTCTTCATTGTTAAAGGAAGAGCCGCTGTCCGTTGTCGTGGATTTTCTCGTCTCCATCGGTTAGCCACTATTTCAAGCTTTTCTCTTTGTTGGTGTGATGGTAGGCATGGTGTTTTGTGCTAGATTCTAAGTTAGAGTGATATTTCATGTTCTTTGTGCCTCTTTGCCTTCTTTGTTTTGGCATTGTTGTTCAATTGTAGTGTTGTTGTCTGTTTCCCATCCTTTTGGGCTTAGTTTCCGAGGATATCTTTTCATCCGTCGGCTTAGTTTCCGGGATCATGTTTTCGATCGTCGGCTCTTTGTATTTCATCTTGTATTCCATCAATGAAAATCAAAATTCCAGTGAAAAAAAAAAAAAAAAAAATCAACCAACTTGATTATACTAATCATACCCTGGTACTGAAGTAGCTAAGGAATGTAATTAGAGAAATTCTTTGTACTTTTTTTTCAAAAATATTAACAGAAGTTAATTCTTATGGTTATGTTAGATGATACTAAGATCTTTTACAAAACCAAAAATCAAGTGTTGTATTATTATGCTTATTTGATATGTGAAATGTATGGGAGATTCAAGTTGAAGAATCCGATGAAGTTGTAAGTTGAAAAAGGAGTGGGCAAATAAACCAAGTTGACATAGAATGCACGCAATTCTATGACAAAGCTGAAAAGAACACTTCACATTAATCTATGTAAATTATTCTTTGTCTAGCATTATTATACATTTATGTATAGTTTATTTTAAAGTAGATTTGCCTACCTTGGAAGCACACAAATTCAAATTGCTTCCATCACACTCCTATGCTAACTTCACAATCTACAGAATTAAAGTAAAAACATATTGAAAAGAAACTCTAGACTTAGCTTTGTAATCAATCAAGATCTTTCTAATATAGCCTTCTAGTAAACACTTAGACTATCAGATTATTATGCATTTAACAATTACTATCTACAAAAATGGTTGTTTACTAAGTCTTTATATCATCAGATCAATCTCTAGTGTAGTAAAAAGACAGATAAAGAAAAGGATAATTCATGGGGGATAATTATGTAATTCGACCCATATCCAACCCAAGAAATTTTGAAGTATCTATTAATCTCTAAAGTCTGAAATTAGTTTGGAGACAAGTCTAGAGTGTCCAATAAATGAGACACACACACCCCATACGACTGTCCAGTTAGAGAAATAAGCCAAGGAACATAACACCAAACACTTTACTCTCTCCCTCTGTCTCTCTCCCTCAACCAAAAGCAAACAAACCCTTCAAATGACGTAAAAGCAAAACACTGACTTTGCTTCCCCGTTATTACCAATCCAAGAAACAATCCAAGAAAAAAAGCTAATGATTCCTCCATTAAACAATTCCTCTCCTTAAACCCAAATCTCAAACCTTCTCTCTTTGATTCTTTTCGCTTGCACTCACATATGCATATAGGTTTGTATATGGGAGTGTTTGCACAAATCCTCATGTAAAATTCACATCAAACAAAATCTCCCTCTCTCTCTCTCCATAACCTAGATCACTCGCATGAATCCAGATACCATTCGATCTAAGATCATAAGAACAAAAGCGTAATAAGAAGTGATTGTGTGGAGAGAAGAAAAGGGTAAAAAAACTGGTAACTTTTATATGGTAAGAAGAGAAGAAAAGAGCAAACCTGGGAAAGTCAGGGGAGAATTTGCTGGAGGGTTTATTGGATTGCATCCATGACATCACTGCGGCTTTGGCTTTTGCTAGGATGACTGATTCTGCTTACAGAGTAGAAACCATTTCCAGACTCGCCCAATGGCGAATCCACAATCTTTCTTCCTCCACTTACCGCAAGTCCGATCCTTTCAAGATGGGTCTTTGGAATTGGTATCTCTCTTCATTCTCCTTCGTTTTTGTTCACCTGATCAATAATTATTCGACATGATGATGATGATGATGTTGAATGAGAAAAGTGGACACTTTTTTGTAGTTGGTAATAATAATCAGATAGATTTTGACAATTTGGGTTTTGATTTGAAGGCACTTGTCTGTAGAGAAAAGCAAGATGCTATTAAATGTTAAGTTGTATCCAGAGGTATCCAACCTTACCAGAGAAAACCCACCAGTTGCTTCCTTTGTTCTTCGTGTTGTCTCTTCTGCTGGTGATAGGAAAGTTTTATCTCATCCAGGTAGAGAAGATCTCGCTTGACTCAACAGTTTGATTATGGTGCCTTTTGTTTCTGTTCCACAAAAGATGAATCTTTCAGAATGTTGACACTGTTTCTTTAATGATGACTCAAATGCAGAAGTAATAGATAAGCGGATTAAGACAAACGAAGATTTTATTTGGACTATTGAAGTTCCCTTAACTGGGAAAATCATCATCGACGTCGAGTTTCTTGACTTGAAGGTTCTGTCTCAAGATGTAAGTGTCTGTCTCATCACTTCAGAGATATTGCTTATAGATCGACTAGCCTTTTTTATCTCTTGAATTAACCAGTCTATGCAACTATTGAATCAATATGTTTGGTGAAACTGAAACATGTGTGTTGAATATAAATTACCTGAATTGGCAGAGTGGAGAAATTTACTCTATCTGGGCAGACGGTTCAACCGAGAATCAATCGAAAGGGACAGCGGTAACATCCCTTGGACGTATGTTGACAGAAAGCATTTACACTGACATAATGATCAATGCTTCTGGTGGAAGCATTGGAGCTCACCGAGCTGTTCTTGCTGCCCGTTCACCTGTTTTCCGCAGCATGTTTTTACACGACCTGAAAGAGAAAGAACTATCAGAAATAAACATACTCGACATGCCACTTGATGCTTGCCAAGCTTTTCTCAGTTATATCTACGGCAATATCCAGAACGAAGACTTTCTTATACACAGATTGGCACTCCTCCAAGCTGCTGAAAAATATGATATTGCTGATTTAAAAGACGCGTGCCACTTGAGCCTTCTAGACGACATCGACACAAAGAATGTGCTTGAGAGGCTACAGAATGCTTATCTCTATCAATTACCTGAACTGAAGGCTAGCTGCATGAGGTATCTTGTGAAGTTTGGTAAGATATTTGAAATCCGCGATGAGTTCAACATATTCATGCAATGCGCAGACAGAGATTTGATTTCTGAAGTCTTCCACGAAGTCCTCAGTACCTGGAAAGGATTTTAGAGGAAATCAGAATGGGTATGTGTGCTATTATACAAGAACATTTATAGACTCTAATTTTTTGTGCAAAAGGATTTGTTGGTCTTTATGTACAGATTAAAGTATTGGGGTTTAAACTCAAAACCCAAGTGTTGTCCTTGCAAGGATAAAGCAGCAACATGTAAATTCATGATTTGATTGAATGTGAGCTTCTTAGCTTGAACTTTGAATAGTTAATCTATAACACACTATTACATTTATCTTAAGTTTTTAAGTAAAATCTACAATCATCTTGCAACAATTTTACCCGGTTCATGATTCTTAGTTCCAAGCTGCGATAAGAGATACTACTAGTATAGATGATACTAAAGTTATACCAAGCTAAAGAGCTAAACATTTCCTCCCATTGATCTGTAATCTTCCCTAGTTTATTATAATGGTGACATATGCTAAAACATCTCATGATACAAGCAAATTCAACAGGAATGGTTCAGTAGTTTCAGAGAATCAAACAACTAGTTTTCTTGAGCTAACATCACAAATTCACAACAGAGGAAGATATACATACTTGTACATGGTTTAAACCACATCTCCGGAAAAATCAAAATCAGCAAACAGTTCCCTGAAATTGAATCAATGCTACATAAGCCATTTCAGATCGTCTTCCATGGAAACACAATCAGACTCTTAAGACCTCTAAGATCCGCAACAATACAGGAAGATTACCAGAAAATTACATAGAAACGAACACAATCATGAAGTCTCTGGGACTGCAAAATATTCAAAAACTATAATGGAGCACGAATCTGAGCCATGAATGGTGTTTATGCGTAGGAAAAATTAAAGTGAAAAGAAGAAGCAGACAAGTGTAAATCGACATGGGTCTATAGAGAATCACACAAAATAGTTCCAAGGGATGCAAGAAGAAACGACGACAACAACAAAATGAAAATTCCGAGCAGAGAAAACTTACTTTCGACAGCTATCACGACCACCATCGCCTTCTTCATCTTCAAATCTGAGATTCGCATCATCTCGTCCTCGATTTTGAAGTGAAGGAATATTGCTCATAAGATGCTGAAAAAAAAAATGATGAATTTTTCAATTATTATTTTTGAAAATTTGATCCCGGCAAACGAACTACGCCAATAATGGGCCTTAATGGCCCAAAATATTAACGGCGTCGTTTCATTCTGTAAGAAATAGAGCCCTAATTAAAAAGCTCACAAATTTCGAATTCAAAACTCTTTCTTCTACCCTCTTCTTCTTCATCTTCAGCCGTCGACATCCTCTAGTAATCCAGGTACTATTTTCTTCTTTTCCAAAGTTATCTGCTTTTAAAAATCCTCCATAATCGTCAATTCTATAGAATTTGCAAAAATTTCTATCTTTTAAAGCTGTATTTTGTTCTGATCTTTTAGTTGGTAAATGCACAAATTTGTATCGTTTCTTCTCATAGTGATTCGTGAAATTCTCTGGTTATGCTGTTATCCTTAATAGTTTATTGTAGGGTTAACGAATTTGATATATGCTCTGTCTTATATCAATGATTCCTGAGAAACAGCAGATCACAAGTTCCTGTTTTTTTGTGTGTGTGGGCACACTTTTGGTGTTTTGCTTATGCATGCTCTTTTATAGGTTTGAAGTTTGTCATTGAAGGTGTTAAAATCAATGGAAGAATCTATTCAGATGGAAATTCAATCTGTAACTGAACCCGAGCCTTTACAAGGTAAGCCAATCTTTAAGCCATTGAAGGCTCATGAGATGTCTGATGGGAAGGTTCAATTTAGAAAAGTAGCCGTCCCACCGAACCGGTACTCTCCTCTCAAGAAAGCTTGGTTAGATATCTACACACCGGTCTTTGATCATATGAAAATCGACATAAGGATGAATCTTAAATCCCGTAAAGTCGAACTCAAAACCCGAGCTGATACACCTGATGTTAGTAATCTTCAGAAGTCTGCGGATTTCGTACACGCTTTCATTCTCGGTTTCGATATCCCCGACGCCATTTCTCTTTTGCGAATGGATGAACTGTATGTGGAGTCTTTTGAGATCAAGGATGTCAAGACGCTTAAAGGCGAGCATCTGTCCCGAGCTATCGGGAGATTAATTGTCTGGGAAAGGAGGAAAGACGAAGTTTGCTATTGAGAATTCTACAAAGACAAGGATTGTGATTGCAGACACAAGGATTCATATCTTAGGAGCTTTCTCTAACAGTAAAGTCGCCAGGGCTTCGTTGTGCGGTCTTATTATGGGATCTCCAGCTGGTAAGGTTTACTCCAAGCTCCGAGCAGTCTCTTCCAGATTAGCAGAACGGTGTTGATCCGCGATGAATTGATTTTCTTTGGAGTGATATGGTTTTGATATGTTTGGAGAATGATTTAATTTGTAAGAAATTTTGCATAATCTACAACACAGTGATTGTTTGATGAAGGCATAAAAGAATCAAAACTAAATACAAGAAAATGGAGCCACAGTTCAATGAGATTGATACTATATATAGATGCCATTCATGGGGAACAAAAGCTTAGCAAACATGATAGTAAACACAATAACCCACCAAAAGGAACGTTGAGAATCAGGCCAATTACCAATCCCATTTGCCTCAAAAGCAGAGAAGAAACCAAAGAATAAGGTGTAAACCGCGTGTTTAGTGTCCATGGGAGAATTGAGCTGGAACATGGAGATCCCAAAGGCAAACATGGAGCATACGTAAATCAAGACATGGATAGTGGAGTAATAGTAAGGGAAATAAAACATGGCTGCGACAAGAATTACAGAGTAGGACGCTCGTGTAGCAGGTAGAGGAGGCTCATCATCCTTGTAGATGCGAACATTGGTGCAAAAGTGCGAGATGAACAGCAACACCACGTACAAGGTTGTGCCACCGATGGCCGCGTACCATAACGAACTTGATGAAGGACAGAGGTTGTAGAGTGATATGGAGATTGCAAATACGGACAACGTAGCTATTACTTTCCACATCCCCTCAGGAGTCATCATCCTCTTGATAGGAATAGGATGGATAATTAGGGTTTCTATGCACTAACAAAGGTTTTACCCTGGTTTTGAAGACCCTATTTATTTATTTTGTTCGTTCATTTATCACATGACCAAATCATATTCTTCCACATTGTAGCTTTTGTTTTCTATTATAAAAAATTTAATTAAAAAAAGTTAGTTAAGGTTTTGTACTAGATTCTATATTTTGGAACTTGAAAAACGCAACTTCCTCAAAATTTATATTTTTCTACATATTTTGAAATAGAAATTTAAACCAAAATTTTGTGTCTACATATTGATACTGGTAAAAGATTTCTCTTAAATGCCAATACCACCCCAAAAAAAATACAAAAACAAAATACTCCTTTTTTTCAATCAATACAGAATATTCTTTTTACGTTTATCCAAATGTACTCATTTCTGCAACAAAATTTTCAATCCGGCTTGTGGGCTAAGCAAATCACCAAGTCATACTATTGGGCCGATTCAATCGCCAATTCGTACTATTGGGCCGGGCTAAACGCCATCTCCAACTCTCGGGTAGGGCCCAACCGCCATGTCCAGCTCTGTGGTTCGACGGTCCAATCGCCGGAACGGGAATGGTAGTAGGGACGGTATTGCCGATGCTCACAATGACTACGGCCTGTAAAAGTTGGGAATGTTCTTCATCATCATCCTCCAGTGCGGGCATCTCCAGCGGATCCAATTGGATTTCGTCATAAGGCTGATTTCGCGGTGGCTGCGCCGTGTTCATGATGGCTAGTAGAACTGTAAACGCACAGCTGATATAGATACTATCTGGAAGTTCAGGGTAGTCGCGGAGCAATAAGGTGTATCCTGAAGTCAGAAAGCCCTGTGCAATCCCAAGATCGTCGGTGATTTCGTAGACTACACGGATGGACAAGAGATAGAAAAAGAAGAAAATTGTGGCCATGGCGAGGTACAAATCTTTGTCACCCATTAAACTTTTTCCTAGCCAGTGAAAGAAGGTGAAGGAAACCACAGTACTCACGCCCTTAATATTAAGGCTAAACGTGATAGCCACGTCAATAGGCACATATGTTAGATTTCCTTTTCTTTGGATATGATCGTATCTTTGTATCTTGTATAAATAGAGACCTATTAGGTCAATGATCAATAACACAAATCATTCATCTTTGATCGCCGCTTAACATGGTATCAGAGCATACGATCTTGTAAACCCTAAATTTTTTTTTCTCTCTCGAAGAACACCTCTCGGTCTCTTTCTCTCTTCTTCCTCTGTTTTTGTACTCACAAAACAGAGCAATTTTTTTTTTTTCTTTTCTTTTCCCAAACAGCCTCTCGGCAACTTATCTTCTCTTTTGATTAACAATAATGGCTCTCGCCACCACAACACATAAAACGATCTCCCCTTATGATCTCACGTCTAATGACAATCCCGGCGCGGTAATTTCTCAGCCCCTACTCAACGGTTTGAATTACGACGAGTGGGCTCTCAACTTGCGCATAGCACTCAGCTCCCGCAAGAAATTTGGCTTCCTCGATGGAAGTATTCCTAAACCAGCGAATGATTCTCCAAAGCTTGAAGATTGGACTGCCAATAACCATCTTATTGTGGGTTGGATCAAACTCACTATTGAACCAAAGCTCCGCTCCTCCATCTCTACGCGTGAAGTAGCACGTGATATGTGGGAAATCATCAAAAAGAGATTTTCTGTCAAAAGCGGTGCACGTCTACAACAGCTCCGCAACGCTTTGGCTACTTGCAAACAGAACGGTGCTTCCGTTGATGACTATTTCGGTCGCTTGACGAAGTTGTGGGACGGAATAGCTGAATGCACTAATTCAAAACGATGTGAATGTGGTAAGTGTGAATGTGATCTCAATACTGCACGTGACAAGGAACTTGAAATCTTAAAGATCCATGATTTTCTTTCTGGTCTTGATGATGGTATACATGGAGCTATAAGATCTCAAGTCTGTGCTATTACTCCACTTCCCGATCTTGACAGTGTGTATCAAACGATTCTTCAAAACGAAACAATCCACTCCGGCGTCGTCAAAGATGCAGAGCTTATGAGTTTTGCCTCTCAGGTTTCTTCATCCACACGCCAATCAAGCTCTCCGATGACCCGAGAAACACCAAAATTCGGCGGATTTTCACGAGACAACTCTCACTCTCGTGATGTTTCCCGTTTTGTTCCTGGCAATCATGATCCTACTCGTACATGTACTGCTTGTGGGAAATCTGGACATGAGACTTCCGCTTGCTTCAAAGTGATTGGATACCCTGACTGGTGGGAAGAGAGACCACGAAGGAACAATTCTAGGAGTGTTTCAACAACTGGACGAGGACGTGGATTCAATGTGCGTGCAAACAGCACTCAAATCGTGGCCGCCAACACTGCTTCTGCAAGTGCCAATTCTTCTCTCACTGAAAGCGACAGACAAGGATTAAGTGGTCTTTCCGATGAACAATGGAAGACAGTTGAACGTGTGTTTGGTACTAGACATACCACTGATCGTCTAAGTGGTAAGAATAGTGAATCTTTATGGATTTTGGACACAGGTGCGACTCACCATATGACGGGCCGAGCTGATTTGTTTGAGAATATTAGATCAATCTCTCCGGTTTATGTTCGCCTACCAGCTGGAGAGAATGTCTTCTCTTCACAACAGGGCACTATTCATCTAAATTCACGATTACGCTTGAATAATGTTTATCTTATTCCTGGCTTTCATACGAATCTGATTTCTCTTGGGCAACTTGTGACTGACAATTACCTCGTGGGACAAGTGACTGATCGATTGATAATTTTACAGGACCGAACTTCGAGGACGCTGATTGGAGCCGGTGATCGAGAGGGAGAGGGACTGTACCGATTTCGAGGGATTGAGATTGTAGATGCTAATCATACGAGTGTTCGTGAGGACGTTAATTTGTGGCATTTACGGTTAGGCCATCCTTCTTCTCGGGTTCTCGGCAAGCTTCATGGTGTTGGAGATTTTTCTAAAGATAGTAGTGAGTCTTTTAATAAGAGTTGTGATATTTGTCTACAAGCAAAACAAACTCGGCAAAGTTTTCCGGATTCTTTGAATAATGCAAAAGAGATTTTTGATTTAATACATTGCGACTTATGGGGTCCATATCGTAGTCCAACATTTTGTGGCTCTCGCTACTTTCTGACTATTGTTGATGATTGTTCTAGAGCCGTGTGGCTGTATCTTCTTCCCGATAAGACCAACGTTGCGAAACACCTTCAGAATTTTTTGGCTATGATTGAACGGCAATTCTCGAAGAAAGTCAAAATTGTACGAAGCGACAATGGAACTGAATTCCTTTGTATGTCACGGTTTTTCCACGAGAATGGCATTATACATCAAACCTCGTGTGTATATACACCACAACAGAATGGTAGAGTTGAGCGTAAACATCGTCATATCCTTGAAGTTGCTCGGGCATTACGATTTCAAGGGAACTTACCCATTGAGTTTTGGGGTGATTGTGCTCTTACCGCTGCGTATTTGATCAACCGGACACCTTCACAAGTTTTACACGGTAAAACTCCATTCGAAATTCTCTATGGTCATGCTCCATCATATAAACACTTGCGTGTCTTCGGCTGCTTAGCTCATGCTCACAACCTTAATCACAAAGGTGATAAATTTGAATCCCGGAGCCGGCGTTGTATTTTTGTAGGTTATCCTTATGGAAAACAAGGTTGGCGACTTTACGACTTGGACCGTGAGATCTTCTTTGTTTCTAGAGATGTGGTTTTCAAAGAACAAATTTTTCCTTTTTACATTGATGATACAAGTCCTTCGTCTATCTTACTTGCAACTCCAACTCCCTCACTACCAATTGATGAACCCGAAATCTCAGCTCCATTGACAACAGATGTCGTAGTTGTAACAGAACCTTCGGGATCTCCGACAATTAGTGTTGTTCCCGACGAAAACATATCATCGTCTTCACAAGAGGCTGCTCCGAAAATTGATCCACCGGTGAAACTTCGTCGCAGCCAAAGACAGATTAATCCTCCAACTCATCTCAAGGATTATGTCATTGAAACAATCTCTCGTCCCTCTCCTCCCTCCGAATCATCTACTCCACAGCCTCCCTCAGGTACGGACCATCCTTTATCCAATTATGTCTCATGCGAACGATTTTCTCCTGGTTATTGTAGTTATCTTGTTGCATTAACCACGGCAGTTGAGCCCCGTTCTTTTAAAGAAGCCATGAGTTATGAAGAATGGAAGCAAGCTATGAAATCTGAAGTTACTTCTCTCGAAGACAATCATACGTGGGATCTTGTAGACCTTCCACCAGATAAGAAGCTCATTGGTAGTCAATGGGTATTTAAAATTAAACTCAAAGCTGATGGTTCGTTGGAACGCTATAAGGCTCGCTTAGTCGCACTTGGAAATCATCAAGTAGAAGGAATTGATTATACAGAGACATTTGCACCAGTGGTTAAAATGACAACCGTACGTCTTATCTTGGATATTGCTGCTAAGAGAAATTATGAAGTACATCAAATGGACGTTCATAATGCATTTCTCCATGGTGATCTTGATGAGGAAGTTTATATGAAACCACCACCTGGTTTTTCTCAACCTGGTGACAAGCGTGTATGTCGTCTTCGGAAATCGATCTATGGTCTCAAACAGTCTCCCCGATGTTGGTTTGCTAAGTTAGCCGATGCTCTTCAGAAATATGGCTTCAAACAAACAAAATCAGATTATTCACTCTTTGTTTTTCATCATGGTGGAGTTTCTCTTCAGATTTTGGTCTACGTTGATGATCTTATCATCTCTGGTAATTCATCTTCTGCTATCAAAGAATTTAAGGATTATTTATCTACTTGTTTTCATATGAAAGACCTTGGCGCTGCAAAATACTTTCTTGGTTTGGAAATTGCTCGTGGTCCTCTCGGATTTTATATTTGCCAGAGAAAGTATGCTATTGACATTCTTAGTGAAGCTGGGATGCTAGGTTGCAAACCGATGGGTTCACCGGTCGAACAAAATCATAGGCTGTCTCTTTCTAATAGTCCATTGTTACCAGATCCGGCACCTTATCGTCGTTTAGTTGGACGCCTTGTTTATCTCGCATCTACTCGACCAGATCTTGCCTATGCCATTCATATTTTGTCACAATTCATGCAAAAACCGCAAGAAGAACATTGGTTTGCGGCTTTACGGGTACTGCGATATTTGAAAGGCACGATTGGTCAAGGTATTCTTCTTCGCGCCAATTCTTCGTTTCACTTGACGGGCTGGTGTGATTCAGACCACGCAAGCTGTCCCTTATCACGGAAGTCGTTAACAGGTTGGATTGTTCAGTTTGGTGATTCCCCTATCTCATGGAAAACCAAGAAACAGAAAACAGTATCTCAATCTTCCGCCGAGGCAGAATATCGCGCCATGGGAGCAATCACCAAGGAGCTGCGTTGGCTTAAATCCCTTCTTTCAGAGATTGGTATTGATCACGCTGAACCAATGTCCATTCGTTGTGATAGTCAAGCAGCCTTACACATAAGTGCTAATCCCGTGCTTCATGAAAGAACAAAATATATTGAAGTGGAGTGTCATTCTATTCGTGAAAAGATACTTGATGGTACGGTTAAAGCTTCTCATGTCTCGACGACGGAACAACTAGCTGACATTTTGACAAAAGCTTTAGGCCGTAAGGAATTTGCATCATTTTTGGACAAGTTGGGCATTCAAAACTTGTACGCTCCAACTTGAGGGGGGGTATTAAGGCTAAACGTGATAGCCACGTCAATAGGCACATATGTTAGATTTCCTTTTCTTTGGATATGATCGTATCTTTGTATCTTGTATAAATAGAGACCTATTAGGTCAATGATCAATAACACAAATCATTCATCTTTGATCGCCGCTTAACACTTAATCAGAGCAAATGCCCAGTCACCCAATTTGGCCATCAATCTTTGACGTGCTCTAACCGTTTGTCTTGGACCAATGATCAAAACCAAGAAAACAAGAAAGATGTCACGATAGTAAAGCTCCTTCTTCTTCCACATGTTTCTTCAAATACTTTGAACATATGAACAAAATCCCTGAAACAGTCAGAAAAACCAAAGACTGATACTTTGGATGGTACGCACGAATCGTTGTGATGATAGAAGTGGGATTGATGTTCAACGCAATGGGTTCCCTAGGAAATGCAGGAAGACCGGCCATGGTTTTAAAGAGAAGAGTGAAACGTTTGCTGGAAGAAGCAAAAAAGAATGGAGCAAGAAAATTCAGAGGAAGAAGAAGAAGATGAAGATAATCGAGGGAGGGAAACTGTATTTATACAAATTCGCTACCGTTTTATTTACCAGTTTAATTCGGGTCAGTATAAATTCGAGTCAGTAAGTTGGGTCAGGACTCGGGTCGGATTGTACCAGTTTAATTCGGGTCAGTAAATTGGGCCAGGATTCGGGTCGGATCGTTCTTCCCGTTCTATCGTAGGCACCACCGCACTACTATAAACCTAAGATTCCAGTTTCGCTCTGTTTGCCGATAATTTGATTGACTGGGGAAACAGAGAGATCCACCGATTGATTCTAGTGTTGGATATGGCCGGTGGGCAAGTGGAGAAGCGAGTCAAATACAAGAGCTCTGTCAAGGATCCTGGAACTCCTGGATTTCTCAGAATTGTATGAAGACGATTGATTACAAGACTTCTCTTTTATGAAGAGTTATATTATCTAGGGATCTGCTTAACTGTTTCTTTTGCAATTTCGCAGAGAGAAGGGATGTTGCTCTTCGTCCCTAATGATCCCAAATCAGATTCAAAGCTCAAAGTGCTCACCCAGAACATCAAAAGTATGTACCTTCTTCTCATTAACATTGCTCAAAGTGTTGATAAAAGATCTCCTTGTGATGATAGCAAATTTCTTTGTTTCTTCAATTTCTCAGGTCAAAAAAATACTAAAGAAGGATCAGATAAACCTCCTTGGCTCAATCTGACCAACAAGCTGGTTTTTTTTTCTCTTGCCATTTTGTGATTTAAGCTATGATAGACTACAGATACGTGATTTTTTGAAGCTATATCACTGTGTTCATTGAGGTTTACTCATCTTATGATTCTAGGGAAAGAGTCATATCTTTGAGTTTGAGAATTATCCCGACATGCATGCTTGCCGTGATTTCATCAGTAAGTTCCATAGTCCCATGGTTTGATTTTATTGATTGGGAAGTATTTCTCTTGTTTCTTTCGTGTTGTGTATGTAACCTCCTCTTTAACTATAAATAGCTATGGCCCTTGCTAAATGTGAAGAGGAGCCTAATAAATCCGCTGTCTCGACATCTTCCGAGCAACTCAGTATTAAGGAATTGGAGCTACGCTTCAAGCTTCTGAGAGAAAATAGGTATGTTATCGGAACTTTAAGTTGCCTTTTTTTGGGTTAAAAAAGTTTCTGGTTTCATTGGCTCATCAAGTTCCTTCTAATATGAGTAATTATAAAGTGAGCTGCAGAGATTGCATAAGCAATTTGTGGAAAGTAAAGTACTGACGGAAGATGAATTCTGGGCTACAAGAAAGGTTGGTTCTTTGTTTTGTTTTTTAAAATTTCTTGTTCTCTTCAATGTCGTCGTAGTTACCGACTTTATTCTGGTCGCAGAAATTACTTGGTAAAGATTCCATCCGAAAGTCAAAACAGCAGGTTGGGCTTAAGAGCATGATGGTTTCTGGTATCAAACCATCTACTGATGGGCGGGTATGATATAATGATCTCAACTCCTTCCTGGCAGTTATTACAGCCTCTTTAGTTAGCATGTTCATGTGCATGCTTTTGTAGGAAAGAAACAATGCATCTCTATGAGCACACACTGATGTGTTCGGCTGACTTATATTCATATGTTGATATATATCATACTATCATGTGACATCTCTGCTGGTTTACTAATCATTTTCTTCATTTTTCTTCTTTCAGACTAATAGAGTGACGTTTAACTTGACACCTGAGATAATTTTTCAGGTGAGCTCTTTGGTTCACTATGTTTGTCATTAGTGTAAGTGCTGTATAGTTTTCAGGTCGTCATCATAAGTTTATATATTTTATGGGGTTGAAGTTGTAGCTGGTGATATATTGGGTTAGAAATCCATTGATAGGTGTTCAGGATACTTGAACTTGTAGAGTCCAACGTGAGAAATCCATTGTAAGTGAGGAATAGAAACTTTTTTAACTGCCTTTCAGCCCACCTTCTATCTTGTGCTTGTGTAGCCAGTAAATCCATTGCAAGTATACTTAAATGTTAGTCCTTTTCTCACTTACGTTTTCTTCATTACGGTTTCAGATTTTTGCTGAGAAGCCGGCTGTTCGGCAGGCATTCATCAATTATGTTCCGAGTAAGGTAATAAAGACTAGCACACCATGACCATCTTTGTTTGTAGGTTTAATCTTCAAATACGGAGAATCTTAACTGGCTTTGGTAGTTATTTTCCTACGCCAGATGACAGAAAAAGACTTCTGGACAAAATATTTTAGAGCGGAATATCTCTACAGCACCAAAAATACAGCAGTAGCTGCAGCAGAAGCTGCTGAGGACGAGGAACTCGCTGTCTTTCTGAAGCCTGATGAGATATTGGCTCGGGAAACTCGTCAAAAGGTTAGGTTTCTTTTGTGGTTTAATCATCTTTCATGTCTTTTGTTTGTAAAGAAAATATTCGTGGCATATCCATCTGATTTAAATGTCATTTCTGTAGATTAGACGGGTTGATCCAACTCTTGACATGGAGGCTGACCAGGGAGACGACTACACTCATCTTATGGTAAGAACTAGGATAATATTAACGGTGTTAAGAATCAAACTCGTAACAATGTATGTCACATGCTTTGTTTTCTAGAATTCTCAGTGAACCTAATTATAATCGTTAAATCAAGAAATTTAGTTTCTTTCAGATAATTTGAATTACTACTTTTGCTTATCCACAGGACCTCTACTTTTATATTAGCATGTGTGAGAAGGAGCTCAAAAATGATATCTAGAAAACATTGATTTTAACATTGACATTGTGGTCTTTTTATGCGGTGGATAGGTTATTTACAATATACTCTATCATATCATCTTATATAACTTTCCCGTAACACAGGACCACGGTATCCAGCGTGATGGCACCATGGATGTTGTTGAACCACAGAATGATCAGTTTAGACGATCACTTTTGCAAGATCTTAATCGTCATGCTGCTGTTGTATTAGAAGGCAGAAGCATTGGTAAACACCTCATTTGAATCTTTTCATGTAAACATTTATGTTGGCCTTTTGACTTTAGTTCTTGGTGGTAAATGTACAATAATATTCCTTTAAATTGGAAGCAGATGTTGAGTCAGAAGATACGAGGATTGTTGCAGAGGCTCTCACACGGGTTAAACAAGGTTTGATGTTTCCATCTGCTATGTTTCATGTTTGCTTTTTTCTGTACTAATCGATGGCCAATGCCACACTTTGTATTCATCTGACTGTACTATCGATCTCTATTTTACCCCTGTTAGTAAGCAAAGCTGATGGTGAAACCACCAAGGACGCTAATCTGGAGAGATTGGAGAGAATGTCCCGGTTGGCAGGAATGGAGGATCTTCAAGCACCACAAAACTTCCCTTTAGCGCCGCTTTCTATCAAGGTTTGGCTTTCTGCCAGTATAAGGTTTTCGCAATTGATGATGGATGCTGCGTTGATCCGCTTAACCTTTCTTGTTTGGAATCAGGATCCTCGTGATTACTTTGAATCTCAACAAGGAAACGTCCTCAATGTACCCAGAGGAGCAAAGGGATTGAAGAGAAATGTCCATGAAGCTTATGGATTATTAAAAGAATCCATTTTGGAGATTAGAGCTACAGGATTAAGTGATCCGTTGATTAGGCCTGAAGTTTCCTTTGAGGTGCTATAACGATCCCATAATAAAATGTGTACTGACTAAAGAAACCATAACTTATTGCTTTGTTACCTGAGCTAAAAATTGTTAACCCTATTCAGGTTTTCAGTTCGTTAACCCGAACTATCTCAACGGCCAAAAATATTATTGGGAAGAACCCACGAGAGAGCTTTCTGGACAGATTACCAAAGTCCACTAAGGATGAAGTTCTACACGTAAGTCCGACATTTTCCAGTGTCCTAAGTGACAAGAAGCTCTATATGTACTGATTAATGAAGATTGGGTAGTAATGCCTATGGATAAGAGGACTTTCTTCTTTCATCTACAGCATTGGACATCAATACAAGAATTATTGAGACATTTTTGGTCATCTTATCCGATAACAACCACATATCTTCATACCAAGGTAATGTTATTGCAGTTTCCAAATCTCCCAATCCCAGAATTTGCTATATACATTGATACCTAGGCTTTCTTGGGGAACATTCAATCTAATTATTCACCAAGAGCAAGTTATTATACCAAATCTTTTTCGTGGATTCTTGTGATGTTATATATTATGATGCAGGTTGGTAAACTGAAGGATGCAATGTCCAACACTTATTCAAAACTCGAGGTAAGCTTTGAAATTCTTCATCTTTCAGACAGAATAAGCAACTGGGAGTAAATCTGTTCCTAATCTCTCCATACCAATGCGTTTACAAAAATGAAATTTGGGTTAATCAAATCGATGCAGTATTGTAGTCGGAATCTTATTGCATATGGTCTACTATACGATTTCCTTGATAATAAACTCCATGTAACTCAGGCAATGAAAGAGTCGGTGCAATCTGATCTCCGGCATCAGGTTTCTCTACTGGTTCGTCCAATGCAACAGGTTAGCTTCTTCCAATATCTACGGAAGAGTTTTATTATATCATGTCTCGGTTAAGTCTATTTTTTCTACTCATATTGCATCTATATCCAATTTATACAGCCAAACCAAGCCTTGCATTTCAATCCAGTTTTAAAATTGATCTTAATCGGGTTTTCTCTGCCAGGCTCTTGACGCTGCGTTCCAACACTACGAAGCAGATCTGCAGAGAAGAACAGCTAAGAGCGGCGGCGAAAGACCAAACGGCTACGTATAGAAGACAAAAAACAAAAAAAACAAAAAGGCTTTGCAAGTTCTTTGAATTGTTTCATCAGCCTTAGTTGGTGTTTTTGAGAATTTTCATTTGTTGCTTTTTGTCCGACCATTGAGATACAAAAAGGCGTTTATATGGTAGTAATATTTTCTGTTTTGTCAATAAGGCGTTTTTATTGTTAGGGAGACTGGGAGAGGGAATAATTGATATTTTTAGGCAAACTATACACAAAACTCTAAACACAAGAGTTGAAATCTTAGAAGGCTTAAATTAAGCTCATAGAAATATAAAAATTCCTTGCAAGTGCAACATTTATAGTATGACTAACATTAGCTCTGTTTTTAAGATAAAATCCAAACAGTCTAAAGAGGAACAATATCATAAGAGTTGAAAATCAAAATATAAAGTCTCAAGATATTTTTTTTTTTTTTTTTTTTTTTGATAACCCAGTATCCAGACCACACAGTGATCTGACTAGCCCACTGGGCCTAAGCCCGCGTCACAGGGATTTTTAAGCCTCCACTTAAGGGCCCCCTGATAAACTGGTGGTCTGGGGCGCCTGAGCAAGTCCGCAGGTAAATTCCCAGGTGGCCACAGGAGTGAGAGAGCGAAACTGCGTCTGGGGAGGATCGATCCCTGGCCTAGACCAACAGGGCGATCCTTCCAACCAAACGAGAACCACTAGCCCACCACCATGTGGTTAAGTCTCAAGATATGAAGCCTTTAAACACACTTAGATAAACTTCACATCCTCTACAAAGTTTAAAATGGTCTGAACGGAGGTTCGATGATGCTCAAACTCTTCAAATCCCTGAATATGGATTCTTGTAACAGTGTTCCTCTCGATATTGTAGAAGAAAATGTAGAAAGGGTTTGGTTGAAAGCTCTTGCATGGCGAAAACACAATCTCTCCGGTACCTGTCATTCCAACAAAGCTCTCGAGCCTGACAATGGATGGCAGTATGCATATACGTTTGGACCATTTATGGTCTCCAGCATCTTCTAGAACCCACAAGGCAGAACTTATTTCTTCACACCACATGTCGATATCGATATCCTGATGTACTCCTAATTTACCTTTGTAGTTGAACAAAGTTAACTTGGGAATAATTTTCATGTCTTTATCTAATTTAACAACGCCAAATTTCTCAAGCCTAAAGTCGAAGCAAACTATCTTCAAACATAGACCTCCAAAATAACTCATGTAATACAAAATACCATTTATGAATATTCCATCATCATCCATAGAAGAATGGCTAGGTGCTGGGTCTTGGATAGTCCTCCATAGACGTTTACCAGTCTCCAATGTCAAAATCCAATGAGTATTATCAGTCATACACAACACTTTGAAGTGTTTGCTGATGGGATCAAAGCCAAAATAGCTGCTTCCCCCTTTCAGTTTGGGTAAGGTTATGGACTCTCCCGTGACGGGGTTACAAATCACCCGAAATTTTCTTCGGCGATGTTGTAGGAAGACCAATCCACAGTGCGAGGTACAGATATCAGTTGGAAAATATTTGGGAAAAGACTTATAAGGAGAAGACTTATAAGGAGTGGCTACAAGAGAATATATCAATAAGAAGGTCATCTGGGATTCGGTCTGAGTATTCTCTTACCGAGTTTGTGATCAATAGATCCTCTAAGACCTGCTGCTTTTTCATGGCAGATGTTTCACTTCCCAATCTTGGATTCCAAGAAAGCCATAAAGTTGAAAAACCTAAATTACTCAACCGGTTAACAAGACATTAAACCGGGAGAATATTAAATGAAAGAAATTAAATTACCCATTTTTGTTTGTTCTTTTTGTCCCTAATTACGTAAATCAACAAATACCAAAGCAGAGTCGAATCATATTTAAAGTTTAAACCCAAAGATTTAAGGGTTTGATTCATTTATTCATTCCGTTCACAATTTCAATTCGTCAGGGATGATATTCTTTGTTATATTTACCAAAAGAGAGTACAAGCCAATATATAGCAATTACAGAAGAAGTGAAACAATCAAATATTATTGAGTATCCTTGACAGTTTCTTCTGTTATTAGTTGCAGATCAATGAACTAAAGAATCAAGAATTTGATCCAAGTTCAAATTCATACATACATTCAAACACAAAAGCATGGTCGGATTAGCGTCTAGAATTTGTTTGGAGGAGCTACGAAACCGTAAGCGCGGCGACTACCGCCATTGCAGCCTAATCTCGGATCACAATCGAGATGAATAGTTTCGTGAATCTTGTGGAATCCATTTCTGAATACCCCAAAACCAAAGACCAAACCGATGGCGATCACCACCAAAGCCAGGCACGTGCATAACATGCAAATCCTTCCACAACACATCTTTCTTCTTCTACTATTATCGATCACAATCTCCTATTGTTACCTCTCTGTTTTTACTTATGAGGAGATTTTGAGATTTGGGTAATGTTTTTGGTATTTAAGGCTATATATAGAGGGTTTGATAGTTTGTTGGTTGTGAGAGTGTGGGAGAGAAACGTGGAGATAGAGGCCTCAAAGAGAGGGAAATTTAAATGAAGGGATTATTAAGAGATTGGTGCGTGGACGTTTTATCTGTTTCTTGCTTTAAAGGTTAACAAAAAAAGATCCAACAACTTTTTCTATATATATGGGTAAATGGTGTTATCTTCTAGATCTTGGCGACAGAAAAAAAGAAAGAAGGTCTTCTTCTAGATCCCATTTTTTTCTAAAAACTTTATCATAAATTTAGATCAAGTGTTTGTAGCTCATCCGATTAATAAAAATGTTGTATTTAACTATCTACTAATCAATCATACTAGTAAACTAGAAAATTAAGCTCATCGATGCTTTAAGAAGAAACTAGAGATTAATTATCTTGATAATAACATGGCTTAAACATGGGCCTAAAGTGGACTGTTAAATGGGCCATGTTATATATCAACAACCTCAGCCCAACAGTTAATAGTTTCTACTTTCTACGGTTTGGTCGCCCGGAGTCATGCATGGTGGACGACGTTCGACGTTCTGTTATCCTAATTAATTGTGTTTTGATTTCCCGATAAAAATATGACTTTTCATATTTCTTCTCTATGAAAGAAAGTCGCTTATAAATTAATCTCAAACAGAGAGAGAAGTTTCATTTCTTCTAATCTAAACTTCATCAGAATCATAATTTTCTTACACTAATCTTCTGCTTCTATGGTTGATTCCGGCAACGAGAAGCTGCAGATTGGTGAAGTTACTTTAGCAAACCATGATTTGCATGTTACGAACAACAATGATCCGAGTGAAGTAGCTGAGAAGAAAGTGAAGAAGAGCAAATCAAAAAGTTCAAACAAAAGTAGAAAGAAACCCTCCGTAGAGACACCAACAGAAGCTAAAGGTAACCTCTGTTTTTCTTCTCTGTTACTGAATAGTATATAGCAGAAGGCCAGAAGTTATTGGGGAATATTCGTTGATTAGTTTACCCTTTTATTGTTGTATCTGTTTTTTCTTAAGACGATGAAAACGGCGAGGGAAGTGGCACTAGAATGGGAGAGAACCAGCAAATTTGTGATGCAGACCAAGAGGAGTCTGTAGATGGTCCTTTCATTGATGTTGAGGCCAATCTTGATCTTATGGGGACAATGGAACAAGGTAAACTTTAGTTTATATCAATTGTTGAATTCTGTGATCCTTTCTTTATCTTAGGGTGTTATAGAGCTGTAATTTCTTTGTTGAATAGACCTTCAAAAGGAGGTAGGAAATGCTGATTTGGTCATGATTGATTACCAAGAGAAGGATCTTGAGAAAGGTAAACTTTTGTTTTGTTTTTTTTTGTATATGGTTGAAGTTACTGATTCTTATCATCAGTTCTAGATGTTACACACTAGTAAGCCTTGATTAGCTTTAATTGTTGTAAATAATCTTCTAACTGAATTAAATCAAACTACTGATGATACTGAGAACGAATGCATCCAGTGGCGGAGCTAGAAATATATTTTATCGGGGTCATAATTGTATGCATAAAAACCTTAATAGCGTATACGATAAAAAAAATATAAAAACTCAAAACTACAAATGTGTTATTTGTTTGTTTCTTTAACCCTAAAAAAAATCATTTCTTAGATTTTCTGTATTTGCTGATTTTTTCTTGTAAATTATATATAGTTACTATACATAATGTTAAAGAAGAGTGTATGAATAACTTCAAAAAGTTAAGTACGAAAAGAAATCCTTCTAGTAAAAGAATAAATATCGTAAGAAAAAGAAACCAAAGTAAAATAAAGGAAACAAATCATTCTAGGAAACTAGGAATAGGAGAAAAATTATATTTACTAATGATAATATTCAAAGTAAATAGTAATCAGTGTATGATAAAAAAAATAAAGGAGTTAAATTGAACTCAAAAAAAGAAAATGAACGGTGATGGGTGCATTCATCCTCACTGGATGGGGTCAAATACGGTAGACCAAACCAAGTTCTCAAACAAATGCTTAATATTACTTATGATTTCAGAAAATCTATTGGGGTCAAGTGACCCCCTTATCATGCATGTGGCTCCGCCCCTGAATGCATCATAGATCTTGTTAATGCTTTGTGAAGCAATTGAAAACGGTAATTATTTCACTTTCTTGTTTTTCTTATCTGTAATAGTATGTATGTAATGGGACGTATCTATTGATTCGTAATTGCTGAATTTTGTGTAGAAACTGAGATGGGAACCAAGGAAAAAGATGGTGATGAGGAGGCTAAATCTGAGAAGCCTAAGAAGAAAAAAAGATCAAAGAAAGGCAAGACTCCGGCTAAAGAAGATGGTCTAGTTGCTTCTAGCTCAAGGAACGCTGAGGAATGTGTGTTTGTAACTACAAACATTGATACTCGTCTCGGCGTTCTCCTGGACAAGGATGATAGTGTATCTACTTTCAGAGGTGACTATTCATAATCTCTTTTTTTTGTTTGGCATTTCTTTTTTGTAACGAAAGTCATGTTTCTTTTGGTTTGTTAATTTACAGACAAAATCTGCAAAGAGCATGAACAGTGTTTCCCAAGTTTTGGGAAAATCACCCTCTCTGCTTTGAAGGTAACAATGTGTTCTTCATACACACTGTCGTTTTATTTTTGTTTAAGCAACAAATATTAAAGGAAGGATTGTTTTTTTGTTTTGTAGGTTAAATGTGGTTGTAAGTTTTATCATTTGGTTGATTCGCTGATTTTGAACATCGCTTTCCGAAGCAACGACTCGTTTCTATTTGTGGACGTGGTGAGTGTTGAGGAGAAGGGTATTATGCTGACTGGAGAAGCTGCTTTTTCAAACCCTAAGTTACTTGAGAGAGAGACCAATGATCTGACGATTAAGGAAGCTCCGGTAACACAAGCTGCTGATAAGAAAACTAGAAAGAGGAAACACAAAACTTCAGATAGCGCGCATGCCAACAAAAGTCGTAAGAAACGCTCTCTTGGTGACCAGTCAAATGGTAAAGGAGAGGTTCCAACTGGAACAATAGGCAAAGGTAACCTCTGTTTTTTTTTCTCTCTATTATGGTCTATGGAATATATAGTTGATGTTATTGAAGAGAGTGTTAGTTGTACGTGTTACCTTTGATTGTATAATCTATTTTAAGTCATTGAAAAAGAAATAGCGATAGTAACTAAATTAGCTATGAGGCGTGGGAATCACAAATTTTAGCATATAACAGTAGTTGAATTCTGTTATTGAGAGTTGCCCTTAATATATATATAATCTTTCGATGTTCTATAGACCTTGAAAAGAGAGAAACAAGTGTTGCTACGGTTGACCAAGAGAAGGATCTTGCACTTGTGGATGATGAGAACGAGAGTCACAAAGATGATGTTTGTTTAGGAGCAATAGTCCAAGGTAAAGTTTTTTTTTTGTTTACTGCTAACGTTGCTAATTTTCATATCTAGATGTTACCACCATGGGTACATTATTAACCCTTGATTAGCTCCAAGTGCTGCAAATAATCTTTAAGTGCTGAATTGTTAGACGTCAAGCAATCTGCTGATGTTGAGAACAAAGATGGTGTTGATGCAACTTCGGCATCTTTACCAAACCCGAGAGGAGACAAGCCGGTTAGAAATATCCTTGTATTAATGGCGCCTGTTCCAAACAGTAATTTCTGTTCTTTGTTTCATATTCATTTTCTTTTCTATAATCATATGTAACGGGGACGTTTCTATTAACTTGTAAGTTGCTGAATCTGTGTAGAGAAAGGAAGGCCAAAGAAAGATGCTGATGAGGCTACTTCATCTGTGAAGGCTGCTAAGAAAGGAAGGCCAAAGAAAGACAAGTAGGAGAATGTGGAAAAAGATGTGAAGAAATCAAGCAAAAAGTCAATGAAGAAACAGTCTTCGGAGGTTGTGGAGGAGGAGGCTTAAGTATTTGTCATCTGAGATAGAAAAAATGCTCTGGTATGAGCATCATTGATCTCATTTCTGTCTTTTTTTTTATTCTCTATGCTACTGAACATTGATGCTTTTCCCAGTTTCAAGTAACTTATTTCCGGTTTTTTATTTATTTATCATGAGGTTGGTTTTAGTGTTTTAATGCATGATTTCATTTAGGCTCCCAATGTTTAGCAACACTTTACTTAACTTTTTTCAGGTAAGTCGTTAGACTTTTTTGGGCTTCTATTTGGGTTAGTGATACAAGATAAAGCATGCATGCGAGTTTCTTTTCTTCTTCTCTTCTTCCTCTCCTTGCGCTGAAATAGTTTATGAGAGAAAGCTTGCCAAAGAGAGCGCCAAAGACCAACATATTTTTCCTCTGTTTTCATCTCCTACTAGGATATATAAAGAAGAAAGACTTGAGTGATTTCTACTTTAATATGATCATTTTATCCTGCTTGCAGGTTTCATATAAACTCGTTAACAAGAGATTGGGTTTTGATTAAGCACTATATATGGCCCAAAAGGCCTTTCTGTTAGTTTACTTGGCTCACGTTCTCGTCTTCTTATTTTCCCGTGGACTTGTCTTCTCCTTCTAGATAACTTGCATATTCCTCGGTTCTTTTGATTCCTTCTCTTGACACATTCGATTTTGTTTTCTCCTCTAAACATCAATATTGATGAGTTCAGGCTTTCTTTGTGTTGAAGTTATATACTCGTATATTTCAGACACAGATTTAACTTGGTTCGTAGTTGCATTGGTAATAGATGTGTGACCTTTATTTTAGAACAAACCGTCCAATGGTCGTGCATGTGGTGGGCCTTGTACCAGAGATCTGCGCCGCTCTATTAATGATCACTACAACACTAGATCTTTTCGCATGCAAATATATTTTCTTCTATTTTTCTTTAGTAATTTTTTTTTTCTAATATTATCTATGAGTAAATTATTGTTTCTCTTTTAGCTTTCACTACAAAAACGCATATTATTGTCGATGATAAACATCCCAAATGTTCGGTTCATGTCATTTTCGATTTTTATATTTTAAAGGTGGAGAATCTTTCATATTTAACAAATTACAAGCATTGTAGTGAGGTTATTATATATGGTGTATCATATATATTTAGATTTACTATGTTTTAGAATTTAAACTTTTCAGATAATCGTTTTAAATCAAATTAAACTTATAATTTATCTCATAGAAATTTGGAAAACACTTTATATAATATTTTAATATCTATGGTAAAAAAAAAACAAATCGTGATAGACCAGTGGTTGAAATATTTCTTCAATGTTTTTTTGGAGTTTTTTACTGCAGTTTTAATAATTTTTAGTCATCTGCAAATATTTTTATTCACATATAAATCCAGATTTTAATATGGAAATCTCATGCCAAATCTCAAACTAATCATCCGATATTTATTAAAATCTGGATTTATATGTGAATGAATATATGTGACGCATATTTGTCATTCATAAACAATGTCAAATGATAAGCTATGTTTATAAGTTTTCTTAAATATGTCTCGGATTTATCCCATATAATTGACTAACGTTATTCTATAATCAAAATATTGATTACAAGAAATATAAATTTACGGAATTACCTTTCCAAATTTTATTAAAATAAATGTATGTATCTTATTATACTATTTTTATTTTGCATTTTCGTGTCCGCTAGATATTAACACGTCATCGATAACGTTCTATAAATACCCTTTCTCTTGTCCAACTTCTTAACTCACTCTCGAAAGTAGCGTGAGTCTCGACGTTTCATTATTTTTTCATCCATTTTTTTATTTTCCCTACAAGGAAGTAACAATGACCGTTGGTGCCGGAATCAACGTCACCGACTCCGATTTGGTGGTGCTAGGTCACCGTGTTCTTCACGGCGTTCCGGAAAATGTTTTAGTTACTCCAGCTTCAGGAAACGCCTTAATCCACGGCGCGTTCATCGGCGTCACGTCGAATCAAACCGGAAGCCACCGTGTCTTCTCCCTAGGCAAACTCGAGTACTGTTCTTTTCCCTTTCTTACACATCTGTTAAATGTCACATACTGTAGTTTGTTGAATTACTTGACGCTTAGGGTATTATAAATGTTTTTTGTTTTCGATATGTGACTTTAATTTTGGAGTGTTTTTTTTTTTTTTTTTTCTTGGCAGAGACTTAAGGTTTATGTGTGTGTTCCGGTTTAAATTATGGTGGATGACTCAAAGAATGGGTACTAATGGGAAAGAGATTCCTTGCGAGACTCAATTTCTAATCGTAGAAGCAAACCAAGGGTCTGAGTTAGGAGGAGGAGATCAATCTTCTTCTTATGTTGTATTCTTGCCTATTCTTGAAGGAGATTTTAGAGCTGTTCTTCAAGGGAACGAGGCTAATGAGCTTGAGATTTGTCTTGAAAGCGGTAAATATATATAATCCACTAATTAATTAGTTTGGAATTTTTGTTAGATTATCTCTGAGATTTATGGTTTGTATGGTCAAGGTGATCCAATTGTTGACCAATTCGAGGGGAGTCATTTGGTTTTTGTGGCTGCTGGATCCGACCCTTTTGATGTCATTACCAAAGCTGTCAAGTATGTGACGTTTCTTAACTCAAACTTATTATTGATTTTGTTCTTTATATCCAAAGTGTTAAGAATCTTTGTCCCAGGGCTGTTGAACAACATCTTCAGACATTTTCGCACCGAGAGAGAAAGAAAGTAAGGAAACTCTGAGACGTTTTATGTGATCTTTGATTATATATACATACCAAAAATGAACTCTGAAATTTCCCCTGTTTTGGTTTTGTTCAGATGCCAGATATGTTGAACTGGTTTGGTTGGTGCACTTGTGTTGTTTTCTTGAGCATGTCTCTGTTTTGGTTCCGTTTAGTGTTTACATTTGAGAAAGAGAAGTAAAGCTTAGAGAGAGATAGAACAACATAAACAACTTCTCCGTTTTTTCATACATGATCACATCATTACACAACACAACTTATAGAGAAAGTAGAATAAACTATTCTCCAACAACTACTTAACAACTCCCACTAGTCTTGCTTAACTCTAAGACATAGACTAGTTCTACAAGTAACCCAAAAGTAACTTAACAACTCCAACAGTGTCTAAAGTACTAAACTTCTCTTCTCTGGTTTCTTGATTACTTTAGTTTAGTTTGAGAATCAAATTGGCATTTAGTCAACACTCCCACTTGCCATTTTGTACCTCAAACCAAGCTGTTCACAAAAGACATCAAAGCTTGGTCCTGCCAAGGCTTTAGTGAATATATCGGCCAGTTGTTCATCACTTCTGCAGTACTCCAGTTTGATATCTCCTTTTCTTTCTGATTCTCTGACAAAGTGATATTTGATTTGAATGTGTTTAGTTCTCCGATGCTGGACTGGATTCTTACCAATTGCAATGGCCGATTGATTGTCACAATAAATAGGCACTCCTCCTTGATCCACGTAGTTCAGTTCTTCTAGCAACCGTTTCAACCATAGAGCTTGATTTGTCGCAGCACACAAAGCCATATATTCAGCTTCCGCAGTAGACTGGGCAATAGTATCCTGTTTACTCGTTTGCCAAGAGAACACTGCAGAACCAATGCTGAAACAATAGCCAGTAGTTGATTTCAAGTCTTCTCTGCAACCTCCCCAGTCACTGTCTGAATATCCGATTAACATTGGCTCCAAAGTTGCAGTGAACATCAAACCTGCATCAATGGTCCCTTTGATATATCTAAGTACCCTTTTTGCTTCTTTGAGATGTTTTCCAGTAGGTTCCTTTAGATATCTGGATAGATAAGACGCAGCAAACATTAAATCAGGTCGAGTACCTGTTAGATATAAAAGACCTCCCACCAGACTTCTATAAATTTTTGAATCTGCAAGACATTCTTCTTCTTCTTGATCTTTGCGCTGAGGTACCAATGGAGTAGTCACGCTTTTGCAATCCTCCATATTAAATCTTTTCAGCAGTTTCTTTGCATAGCACTCCTGAGAGAGAAAAATTCCTTCTTCACTTTGCTCTATCTCCATCCCCAAGAAGTAATTCAATAACCCCAAATCTGACATCTCAAATTCATTTTTCATAGCCATCTTGAACTCGTCTACCATATTCTCATCATCGCCAGTGACAATGAGATCATCAACATATATGCAGACGACCAAAAGCTTCCCATTGGTTTCTTTAAGATACAACGCGGGATCGTTTTCACTTCTCTTGAAGTTTTCTCTCTGGAAAAACTCATCAATCCTGCTGTACCAAGCTCTAGGAGCCTGCTTTAAACCATAGAGGGCTTTGTGTAAACGTAGAACATGATCCTCTTTTCCTTCTTCTTCAAATCCCAGAGGTTGTTCTACATATATCTCTTCTTCTAAATTTCCATTTAAGAACGCCGACTTGACATCCAATTGAAACAACTTCCACTTTCTTTGAGCCGCGACTGCGATTAGCAACCTAATAGTTTCATGTCTTGAAACAGGTGCAAACGTTTCAAGATAATCCACACCATATTGTTGTGTGAAACCTCTTGCAACTAACCTTGCTTTGTTCTTCACAGTGTTTCCTTTAGCATCGGTTTTTAGCCTGTAAATCCACTTTACACCAACCACATTTTTGTCGGGTGGTCTCTGGACAAGCTCCCACGTTTGATTCTTCTCTATCATGTGTATTTCTTCTTCCATAGCTTCTTTCCATTCTGAGTGCTTTGCAGCTTCTTCAAACAGATTAGGCTCCTCAAACACAGTATAACATCCTTCACTTACATCCGAGTACTCAATGTCTGCAAAAGGTGCAGTAAGAAGTATATCACCAAGTGATCTAGTCTTTTTGGGTGCCAGACTCGAGTTTTCTTCAGGACTGCTAAGACTTGACCTTGGAGCATATGGCTGAGTTGTCCTTCTTTCACATGAGTCATCATCACTTGAACTGGATTCTTCATCTCTGGGACTTTCTTCTTCTCTGACATCAATTTCTGTGGATAGATCACAGTGCTTTATTACTTTCTTGGATTTCCAATCCCATTTGCTTTCTTCCTCAAAAATGACATCTCTAGAGATGTCAATCTTGTTTTCTTCAAGAAGGTATGCCCTGTATCCTTTGGTTTGAGAGCTGTAACCGACAAAAATTGCCTTCTTAGACTTGTCATCCCACTTCTTTCGTTTTTCATCTGGTATATGCACATAGCACACACTCCCAAACACTTTCATGTGGTTTAAAGACGGTTTAGTACCATTCCAGGCTTCCAGTGGAGTCTTGTTCTCAAGGGCTCTGGTTGATGTTCTGTTTTGAATGTAACCTGCAGTGTGAACAGCCTCAGCCCAGAATTTTAAAGGCATGTCTTTAGCTTTGATCATGGCTCTGGCCATTTCCACCAAGCTTCTGTTTCTTCTCTCTGACACTCCGTTTTGCTGAGGAGTATACGCCGTTGTTAGTTGTCGTTCTATACCGTTTTCTTCCAAAAACTTGGTGAACTCTCCAGATAGATACTCTGTTCCTCTATCTGTTCTAACTCTTTTTATTTTGCAGCCGCTTTGGTTTTCAACTAGATATTTGAATTTTTTGAAAGTAGCAAAAACCTCTGATTTTGCCTTCAAAAAATATACCCATACCATTCTAGTAGCATCATCAATAAAGGTAAGTAAGTACCTGCTACCACTTAGCGATGAGTTCTGCATTGGCCCACACACGTCACTATGAATCAGTTCCAGCTTTTCTTTTGCTCTTGACTCTGATTGCTTTGGAAAAGGTTCACGGTTGTGCTTGCTTAGAATGCAGCTTTCACATTTCTCTTTATCTGCTTTAAACTTTGGTAACCCAAATACCATTTCTTTTGACTGCATCATACTCAGATTTGAGTATCCCAGATGACCAAGCCTTCTATGCCACAAACCAGCAGCATCATCCCTTGTCATCATCGCATTTTCTTCATTAGACGGCCACCTTATGTGAAAACTCCTGTTTTCCATCGGAACTTCACCAATATTTCTTCCCAATCGATCAAGAATGATGCATTTTTTCCTTTTGAACTTCACTTGATATCCGTTTGTAATCATCTGTGGGATACTTAGAAGATTTTTACCAAGTTTCGGCACAAGGAACACATCCTTTATGATTCTCTTGCCTTTCTTAGTCATAACCTCAATATCTCCTTTGCCTTTAGACATCATCACAGCTCCATTTCCAACTCTTATTGGAACCTTTATGTCTGTGTTGATCTTTGTGAACATCTTCTCATACGGAGTCATATGGTTCGTACATCCACTATCAATAAGCCATATGCTTTCTTCTTTTCCTTTTGTATCTTCTTGTCTTGCAGTAAACATGTGAATCTCTTTTTCTTCATCATGTTCCAGCATGACCCTTTCTTCTGAACTTTTCTTCTTAGTTCCACTTCTTTCTTGTTCTCTGTTTTCTTTGATCATTCTCTTGTTCATTGTGGTTTCCTGTACCACTGCCTTGTTCTTCATCTTTGCTGGATCTTCTTGACCCGCCATTCTCACCTTGATGTAGTCAACTCCAGGAGTCATAGCGAGCTCTGATACCATGTTGTTTTCTTGAGCATGTCTCTGTTTTGGTTCCGTTTAGTGTTTACATTTGAGAAAGAGAAGTAAAGCTTAGAGAGAGATAGAACAACATAAACAACTTCTCCGTTTTTTCATACATGATCACATCATTACACAACACAACTTATAGAGAAAGTAGAATAAACTATTCTCCAACAACTACTTAACAACTCCCACTAGTCTTGCTTAACTCTAAGACATAGACTAGTTCTACAAGTAACCCAAAAGTAACTTAACAACTCCAACAGTGTCTAAAGTACTAAACTTCTCTTCTCTGGTTTCTTGATTACTTTAGTTTAGTTTGAGAATCAAATTGGCATTTAGTCAACAACTTGGGATGCATTCTATACCAATGTCACAGCCAAAGACGTCAAGCAAGGTCTTGAGAGGTACTCCTGAGTCTTTACTTTTGAAGATGGCTTTAACGTTTAGACTGTGACTTAACCAAACCTGAAACGATTATCTGTAGCCTCAAAGCTGGTGGGGTTACCCCAAAATTTGTCATAATTGATGATGGATGGCAATCTGTTGGCATGGATGAGACTAGTGTAGAATTCAACGCTGATAATTCTGCCAAGTAAGTAATTAAGCTCTCTTGATTCAGATCTAACTTCTTTCTTTAGGCTAATAAACCACGATCTTTATCTTTTGTGCTTCCTTCAGTTTCGCAAACCGGTTAACTCACATCAAGGAGAACCACAAGTTTCAAAAGGACGGCAAAGAAGGCCACCGGGTGGATGACCCTGCATTGAGTCTTGGACATGTTATCACAGACATTAAGAGTAACAATTCACTCAAGTATGTTTATGTTTGGCATGCGATAACCGGATATTGGGGAGGAGTCAAACCATGTGTTTCTGGTATGGAACACTACGAATCAAAGGTTGCGTATCCAGTTTCTTCACCAGGAGTTATGTCCAACGAGAATTGTGGATGTCTAGAAAGCATAACTAAGAATGGACTCGGTTTGGTGAATCCTGAGAAAGTCTTTAGCTTCTATAACGACCTTCACTCATACCTTGCATCGGTTGGGATCGATGGTGTCAAAGTCGATGTCCAAAACATTCTTGAAACTCTTGGAGCTGGACATGGAGGTCGTGTCAAACTTGCAAAGAAGTATCACCAGGCTTTGGAAGCTTCCATTTCAAGAAACTTCCCTGACAATGGTATTATCTCTTGCATGAGTCATAACACAGATGGTCTCTACAGGTTAGCATCTTGACCTACACAACGTTGTTCTCACTGATTTTATCCATAATCATTTATTACAATCCCTTCTGATTTCTTCTTGTAATGATACTTTAGCGCAAAAAAGACTGCTGTTATAAGAGCATCAGACGATTTCTGGCCTAGAGATCCTGCATCGCACACGATCCACATTGCTTCTGTTGCATATAACACACTTTTCCTTGGAGAGTTTATGCAGCCGGATTGGGACATGTTTCATGTACGCTAAACTAATTCAACATTAACAAACTTTTATGAACTTGTGAATGAATCTATCTGTTTTCATGCAGAGTTTGCATCCGATGGCTGAATATCATGCAGCAGCTCGCGCGGTTGGAGGATGTGCTATCTATGTCAGGTAATCATAAGATTCAATAGCATTTAACAAACAAAGTATCATAGTAAAATGAGCTGCAAGTAACTCTAGACATTGGAACTTGTTAAACAGCGACAAACCGGGACAACATGACTTCAACCTATTAAGAAAGCTAGTACTTCGAGACGGTTCCATACTCAGAGCAAAGCTTCCCGGAAGACCAACCAGTGATTGCTTCTTCAGTGATCCAGTCAGAGACAATAAAAGGTATCTTGTTTTCCCTTACTTGGGAAAGAAGAAAGCTTAAATCTACACTAACTCTTGTTGATAATTTTGCAAGTCTTATGAAAATATGGAACTTGAACGAATTCACTGGCGTTATGGGAGTCTTTAACTGCCAAGGCGCTGGATGGTGTAAGAACGAGAAGAGATACTTAATCCATGACCAAGAACCTGGGACAATCTCCGGTTATGTCCGAACCAATGATGTTCACTATCTCCATAAAGTCGCAGCCTTTGAATGGACAGGAGATTCTATCGTCTATTCTCATCTCAGAGGTAGTACACAAACTCAAACATTAGTCTAAATACTCTGATTGTACTAAAAACTTCACTTTTCTCTATCAGGAGAGTTAGTGTATCTCCCAAAGGATACATCTTTACCAGTCACATTGAAGTCACGTGAATACGAAGTTTTCACGGTGGTTCCGGTGAAGGAATATTCCGATGGAACTAAGTTTGCTCCGGTGGGACTTATGGAGATGTTCAATTCTGGAGGAGCCATTGTGAGTTTAAGATACGATGAAGATGGGACTAACTTTGTCGTTAGGATGAAACTTCGGGGCAGTGGTTTGGTTGGGGTTTACTCGTCGGTTCGACGACCACGAAATGTTAAGGTGGATTCAGACGATGTGGAGTACCGATATGAACCGGAATCCGGTTTGGTTACGTTTACTTTAGGAGTTCCGGAGAAAGAATTGTATCTTTGGGACGTGGTCATCCAACTTTGACTTTTGAGGATTGTGTTGTGTGCTCTCATTATTGGTTATCTATTGATTCAATAATTATTGATCTGTATAATTGTATCCGTTATGTATTGATTTGTGTGGGTTAATCTCTATGATTTATCGATCAGACCAATACAAATCAAACAGATTGGTCCGGGTTCGTATTAGTATAGCTTCACATGCATTATTAGTTTCCTCATCATTTTCTTCTTTCTCATTTATCAGCGGTCACAAATATATGTAGCTCATGTAACAATTAGATGTAAGACATAAATGTGGTTATCGATATATGATTTGACAAATAACGGCCTATGCTATAAATTTTACACAAGCTCATCGCATATATTTCAAAATTTATTAGCGACTAAAATAATATTGATATACTGTGATAAAGATTTTATTCGAGCCTAGTTCATACTTGAATAAATTTTTGTGAAGTATATTGTTCTATTGGTATGACTAAATAAAAACTCGACTATTATTTGGTGTACATGAGATGTCCCTCCAAATCACGGCTCCACTCGCTCTCGAGTGAAGCCTGAAGTAGCGGGAGCCATGCATGATTCGTTGCTGGTAGTTGAAGAATTATATGATCTAAAATGCTTATGAAAAAGTAACTAAATGATCTGGACTTGAATTTTTATTTGAAATCATCGGTCGCTTTACTGCTCGTTTCAATTCTACAAGATATTTTTGTTTCTCAAAGCCGACTGTTGTTTCTCAAGTTGTTGTAGTGTTTTAGATTGTTGAATTTTTGAAGAACAATTCGTTGGTTCACTCATAGGAGTGATTGGTCATTGGTGAACCTCTTTATTGAGCTCCTCTTAGTTTAGCAAAATAAGAATATGCCATGTCATATTACATTTAAAAATAATAAATTAAAAAAAAAACAAATTAAGAAAAAAATATATTTTACATTCATGGAGATGAACACATTTATTAAGTTCTGATAACAATATAGCTAAAAATGTTTTCATCAAAATCAAGCCACCACTAAACAAAAGTTCTCACATACTCCAAACAAAAACAAAAACAAAAAAAATCTTTTATATTAACGGTTTCATTAGAGACAAAACATCAACAAAAAGGCTAAATTTGTAGCTCCATAGCTCCAACACTTTAGTAAATAAAGCCTGGCTTTCTCCAAAACAAAATATTCGGAAATAAACTCGTTGGCTATCCTGTCGTTTTTAAGTAAGGATATCGAACACAAAACTCATCGTGAATACCATTAGCCTCAGTTTCCGAAACAACTAACAATTGTAAAGAAAACAAATTTAAAAAAGTATAAAGATTTTGTTTTTGTTTTTTATTTAAATTCTAATTTATTATTTTTGTTTAAATATAATATTATATGATATATTTATATTGGCTAAACTAAGAGGAAGTGAATAAATAGGTTCACCCTTAAAAAGTGAGTGAATCAAAGAATTGTTCATTTATGAAATGTGTTTTAGAAATATCTCTTAAGTTTGAAGAGAAGTGGTGTTGGCAACTTAGTTTTACATATAGTACATCGCATGTGCAAGAGAAATGTTTCTTGTTTATTCATGAAATGTTTTAAAATTAAGAAACATTTTTTTTTTTTACATTTAAAAGAAAATCTCTTAAAAATAAAATATGGTAGGCCGCATTTTTAGAATTTACATAACTAGAAATGGTACCTTAAATAATATATCATTCTGCATAATTACTTAGATCTCTGACTTGGATGTCGTTGTTATCTTCGTAAATTTGACGCCGTTGTTGAATCAGCATGATCAAAGATTGTTGCAAATGGTGTAATTTTATGGTGCAAAATTTATTTGTCCTGCAATATGTAAAATATCATGGTGCAAATTTAGTTGTGCACAATAGAACAGGGAGACAACTATGTAATGATATCTATCTATGGTAGTAGATCGGTGCATTTTTGGCAACACTTCCACTAATAAAACTTGCAAAGCATTCTTAATTACCCTGAAGAGGACTCCTAAACACACCCAACCAAATGTTTTTATAATCGAATTTTGGTTTTGATTTTGGTCTAATGATTTTGATTTGGTTCGGTCTAGTAATTGATATATTGTTTGAAAGTAAAAATTAATAAAATATAAAAGATTTATTTATGTCCATAAACGAAAGGAATCGAATCAATAATAAAAAAAGATTGGGATTACTTGATGCGGTCGATAATTATTTTATTCTGGACTATGGTAAGACGTCATGTTTAGGGGGTACACTTAGTTTCAATTTTTAACTAAAACAGTAAAACCTGATTAAAATTTATCGACCGTAATTGCTTTTTTTCCTATATTTAAATCTTTACAGTAATTCACAATTCACATATATATATAAACTGTCCAATAATATTTTTTCTTTTTAAGTCTGTTTATATAGAGTATCTCAATATTATTTGAAAAAACAAAATAAAATCGAAACTTTGTCTTCAGAATTAGTAGAAGAAGGAAAGTTCCTCTCGATCACGCTCTTCTTTACTGACATCTCCCAGATTCTTTATCTCTCAATCAAAAAAGCACAGATCACTGAGATCACAAATCTCTGAAGAAGACGAAGCAGAAGAAATCAAAGTTTTTGTTTTTGAAAGTGATTTCTGCAACTTCTTGTTCAAGTCTTTCTTCTCTGACCCTTGGTTGACTTCTTCTTCTTAGGTACTAAAACTTTTGGATCTCTTTACCGTTTCTTTAATCCCTCCGAATCCGATCCTCTTTATTGCTTCTATTTGATTCTTGGTGGATGATTTGTCGGTTTAGGGTTTGAAATTGGTTGGAATTGGGTTTGTGTTTAGTTTAGATTAACACATTTTCAGTTGAATCATACGAGCTTGTTCTGGATTCTTGTTTTCCCATTTGGCTACGGTTACTTTACTGTGTAAAGCAATGTTCTTTGATGTTGATGATTGATCTCCTAAGCATTTCCAAGGTTTGGGTTTATAAAGTGATTCACATTTTACAAGTTTCTTTATCTCCAGGTTATAAAAGAAGACAACATTGTAGTGTATCCTCGTTTTCATGTTGTGTTAGCACAAGTCTATGGGTTGTTGTAAGGTGCCAGCTCTTATTCAGGCGCAGGTAGAAGTAAGTTTGTTCTCTATCCATCACTTCTTGTCTTGATCATATGACTCCTCATTGTCAGCTTTATTGAAAGATTGCTACTTTAAATAGATGGGGTTGGTTAATGATGTTGAGCACAAAAGCCTTTTTAGAAGAGATACAGATTCCCCACAAAGAAAAGCCGCTTCCTTGATGGAACAAGGATCACTTTCTGCAAGTTTTCGAGAACGTGCAACTAAAACACCTATGAACAGTGTGCTACAGAGCTTCAAGATTGTGATTTTATCGAATAAACTCAATCTTTTGTTGCCTTTTGGTCCTCTAGCAATACTACTTCACTACTTGACAGATAATAAGGTGAGCAGTTGTAGTTTTGGGTATTAATCATAGCTGTTTCAATTTTTCTTGTTATGTCTCAAGAAATGATTCTTGTTGTGGCTCAGGGATGGATCTTCTTATTGAGCTTAGTAGGCATCACACCATTAGCTGAACGTCTCGGATATGCCACAGAGTAAGCTGTTGCTCGCACTTGTAACTCTTTAAGTTACAATGTTATCATTCTATCAGCAAGACTTATGTATAAGTAACCATTTATTTTGTAACAGGCAATTGGCTTGTTACACAGGTTCAACTGGTATGACTTGGTTTCTTCTGATAGCCATTCTTCGTCGGGTTTACTTCCTTTTCTCCTCAATATGTTTTTGACCCGGTATACAAATTTAACAGTTGGAGGCCTCCTAAATGCTACATTTGGAAACGTGACAGAGCTGATCATATCGATTTTCGCTCTTAAAAATGGAATGATACGCGTTGTACAGCTGACACTTCTCGGCTCGATCCTATCTAACATGTTGCTTGTACTTGGCTGCGCCTTCTTTTGTGGCGGGCTTGTATTTTCCCAGAAAGAGCAAGTCTTTGACAAAGTAGGCATATCATCACGTGTTCTTGTTGTTCTGTAACCTGTACCATGTTTCTGAGCTCATTTCTTCTGCAATACAGGGAAATGCCGTTGTGAATTCGGGATTGCTTTTGATGGCTGTCATGGGGCTACTCTTCCCCGCAGTTCTTCATTACACGCACAGTGAGGTTCATGCTGGCTCATCAGAGCTTGCTCTCTCAAGGTTCAGCAGTTGCATAATGCTCGTTGCCTATGCTGCTTACCTCTTTTTCCAGTTAAAGAGCCAGCCGAGTTCTTATACGCCTCTTACCGAGGTTTGTTGTCTTTGACCTTTCGTTGACTTTGATTTACTTTGGTTTTTTCTTACATAAGCCTGGAAACGATAGATTTAGATAACTACAAATATAAAATTGTTTCTTACAAACTACAACCAGTTTCATCATTTGGTTTTTTTCTTTTTCGAGTTTTCGCTAGTAGATCATGACTAGGAAATTTCCCTTTTATTAACCGATGGCCATAAAACTGAGCGGTTGCTACCTCTTTCCTCTATGGACTTATCTCTGCTGTTTGGTAAACACTGTTAATTATAGGAAACAAACCAGAACGAAGAAGCTTCAGACGATGATGAAGATCCTGAGATCTCCAAGTGGGAAGCTATCATCTGGCTTTCAATCTTGACGGCTTGGGTCTCTCTTCTTTCCGGCTATCTTGTCGATGCCATTGAGGTGAATAGCGACCTGCTTTTTTTCTTTTCTTTTTTGAACATATATTATTTCTTATGAAGATCTTACAAGATTAAAACTTGGCCTGTTTATTCGTTCTCATATGATCAGGATTCAGGACAACATTGCAATGCTAGTTTATGAGTTTGGCTTATGGTTTTGTGTTATTTGTTTTTCAATCTGTAACAGGGTGCTTCGGTCTCATGGAAGATACCAATCTCTTTTATCAGTGTCATCTTGCTTCCAATAGTTGGGAATGCGGCCGAGCATGCAGGTGCTATTATGTTTGCCATGAAAGACAAGCTGGTATGCAGACAAGTCTCTTGCATAATGGTCTTGATTCTCTTCATTAGGGTTCTAAATTTTTTATTCTCCTCTGCAGGATCTGTCTTTGGGAGTGGCTATTGGATCCTCAATTCAGATTTCTATGTTCGCGGTACGTATAAGAAATGTGAATTTGGCTGTAGTACTGAACTTTCTCTGATAGATTTGGTCAGAATTCTGATAGCTTCAACTTATACCTGATTGGATTCAGGTTCCTTTCTGTGTGGTGATCGGATGGATGATGGGTGCACAAATGGACCTAAATTTTCAGCTATTTGAGACAGCTGCACTGTTTATAACTGTTATTGTTGTAGCTTTCTTTCTTCAGGTGGGTTAACCTTGAAGCTAATTATGAAACCAATCTCGAATATATTCTCTCATCAAAGCTGTTAAATGGTCTCTGTGTGTTTGTTGTGATGCAGGAAGGGACATCAAATTACTTCAAAGGATTGATGCTCATTCTTTGCTATTTGATAGTCGCTGCTAGTTTCTTTGTACACGAAGATCCTCATCAAGGTTAGTGTTACAGTTGCTAAATATTTCCTCCTCTGTGTCAACAAGAAAACCTCTTGTGTCATATACTCATATCTCTGCTGAAACGTGTTTTTTATGTTCTTATTTCCTGACAGATGATATATAAACCAACACAAAAGAACACAAGCAGTTTGTATCCTAAAACTAAAGCCTGATGATCTCAGGAACACACCATCTTACATGTACATTTGAGATTCTAGAGTTTGCTTCATAACATTTGAAAATAGCCCCATTTTACGGTTTTACCTTCCCTTACATTGTCTACTTCCCTTAGGGGCTTAGGGTTACAAATTTGTAAAATTACCTTGATAACTATGATGGGAAGATTGTAATGTCTCTTCTTTTCTCTGTGTTGTTATCTTAATAACTTACTACGGGTCCTCCGACGTTATAACTTATAAGATTGCAGAATTTATTCTGAAAGATTGTATCTTGGATCAATAGCTCTTAAGATGAGTTCCAGATGGATTTGTTGAAAATGTGGATCAACAAAAGCAGCATTGAGTCGAGATTCGGGAACCATAAGCTGTAAAACAAGTTTGAGCTTCAAGATATGGAAGCGTGCTTCAGTGTCATACCTTTAAGGAACACAGAAACTAAGAAATGGAAACCTTTTAATATTTTAATACTTGAGTTCCATAAACAATTCAAAGACCATCTGTTGTAACTTCTTCCCCGAGCAAGGAGTGTGGATGCTTATCGTGCTTGTAATCATGTGTCACATGATACATACACTCTTAAGGAATAGTTAAGATGAACAAGGACTAGACTTTCTGAGATCTCGCGATTCTTTATCCCACCAAAGCACAGATCAATGAGATCACAAATCTCGTGTATGGAACTATATTTGATGTTCAGCAACTTCTTCAAGTCTATGGGGTGGGGTAAGGTACCAGGTTTTATGCAGGCGTACGTAGAAGTAAGTTATACCATGATAATATCTTGTCTCAGTTATTTGACTCCTCATTGTCAGCTTAAGCAAAAAATTACTGTCGTAAACAGATGGGGTTGGTTGATGAAGTTGAGCTTAAAAGCCTTTTGGAACAAGAAACAGATTCCCCACAAACAAAAGCAGCTTCTTTGATGGAGCAAGGATCACTTCGAGAACGCAGAGCTAAAGCGCCTAGGAACAGTGTGATCCAGAGCTTCAAGATCGTGATTTTATCAAAGAAACTCAATCTTTTGTTGCCTTTTGGTCCTCTAGCAATACTAGTCCACTACTTGACAGATAATAAGGTGAGCAGTAGTAGTGTCGGATACTATTCGTAACATTTTTGTTTTTTCTTGTTAATCAAGTCTCAAGTAATGATTCTTGCTGTGGCTCAGGGATGGTTCTTCTTACTAAGCTTAGTAGGTATCACACCTTTGGCTGAACGTCTCGGATATGCCACAGAGTAAGTCGTTGCTCACACTTGTGACTCTTTAGTTACCATATTATCAAACACTGACCGTTTATGTTTTGTAACAGGCAATTGGCTTGCTACACAGGTTCAACTGGTATGACTTGGTTTCTTCCGTTACACTCTTCTTTTCTCTTAATATGTTTTTTTACCCGCAAGACAAATTTCACAGTTGGAGGTCTCCTAAATGCTACATTTGGAAACGTGATAGAGCTGATCATTTCGATTATCGCTCTTAAAAACGGGATGATACGCGTTGTACAGTTGACGCTGCTTGGTTCGATTCTGTCTAACATTTTGCTTGTACTTGGCTGCGCCTTTTTCTGTGGCGGCCTTGTGTTTTCCCGGAAAAATCAAGTCTTTGACAAAGTAGGCATATATCATTCTTTTTTTCTGTTTAGTTCAATTCTTGTTGTCTCTGAGCTTATTTCTTCTGCAATACAGGGAAATGCAGTTGTGAGTTCGGGAATGCTTTTAATGGCAGTCAATGGACTACTTTTCCCCACATTTCTTCATTACACGTACAGTGAGGTTCATGCTGGGTCATCAGAGCTTGCTCTCTCAAGATTTATCAGTTGTATAATGCTCCTTGCCTATGCAGCTTATCTCTTTTTCCAGTTAAAGAGCCAGCCAAGTTTTTATACCGAGGTTCCTTGTCTTTTAAGTTAACTACAAATATAAAATTGTTTATTCCTCATTTAAATGTTTTCTTTTTCGAGTTTTCAGTCGTAGAACCACAGATGATTCTTGCCAGTTTTACGGGCTCTGACCATTTTCTTTTTATTAAACCGATGGCGGTTTCTACCTCTCTCTTCTACTTAAAACTTTTCTCTGCTGTAAATTATAGGAAACAAACCAGAACAAAGAAATGTCAGAAGGTGATGAAGTTCCTGAGATCTCCAAGTGGGAAGCTATCATTTGGCTTTCAATCTTGACGGCTTGGGTCTCTATTCTTTCTGGCTATCTTGTTGATGCCATAGAGGTAACTAACGAGCCGTTTCTGTATTACTTTCTTATGAAAATCTTACATTATTAACTTGTTCTGTTTATTCATTGATCAGGACAACACTGTAATGCAAGTTAATTACGAGTTTTGTCTTATTGTTTTTCTGACTGTTAACAGGGTGCTTCAGTCTCATGGAAGATACCAATCTCTTTTATCAGTGTCATCTTGCTTCCTATAGTTGGAAATGCGGCCGAGCATGCAGGTGCTATTATGTTTGCCATGAAAGACAAGCTGGTACGCAGACAAGTCTCTTGCATTTTGATGTCTTTGACTCTTTTCTTTAGGTCTAAATTAATTCACCTCTACAGGATCTGTCTTTGGGAGTGGCTATTGGATCCTCTATTCAGATTTCTATGTTCGCTGTAAGTATATGATATGTGAACTTGCGTCTAGTACTGAAAATTGTCTGAAAGATTTGGTCTGATAGTTTGATTGGATTTAGGTTCCTTTTTGTGTGATGATAGGATGGATGATGAGTGCACAAATGGACCTAAATTTCCAGCTATTTGAGACGGCTACTTTGTTCATAACTGTTATTGTTGTAGCTTTCTTTCTCCAGGTTGGTTAATCTTGAAGCTAATTACTAAGCCAATCTTAAGTGTATCTCTCATAAGAATTGTTAAATCTCTCTCTGTGTTTGTTGTTATTTAGGAAGGGACATCAAATTACTTCAAAGGACTGATGCTGATTCTTTGCTATTTGATAGTCGCTGCCAGCTTCTTTGTACACGAAGATCCTCATCAAGGTTGGTGTTGAATTAGCTATATATATTTTCTTTGTTTCAACAAGAAAACCTCTTGCGTCATATCTCTGCTGAAATGTGTTTTTGTGTTGTTATTCTTGATAGATGATATATAAAGCAAAAAACACAGAAGAACAAATATAGTTTGTATCCTAAACCAAAGCCTGATGATCTCAGGAACACACCATCTTACATGTACACTTGAACTTTTGAAGTTTTGTTTCAGAACTACTGAAAGCAGCTAGCCACATTTAACGTTTTTGCCTCCCCATAAGTTGTGTACTTCCCTTGGGACTTAAGTTACAAATTAATTTATAAAATTACATTGATAAAAATTACTTAATTAAGTTAACCAAATCAAAAGAATATGCGTGTTGTATAGCAATGAAGATAGACTCCCAAACAAAGAAAAAACAGCCAAAGGTTCGAGAGAAATACTAACATGAAATAAAACATCAAACATCAGCCATGATTATAGTTAATTTTGGTAAAATAATAATGTGGCGTTAAATATTCCTAAATAACAAAAGCAAATCCATAATCATTTTTATCACTTGTTGAAATCAAATATAGTACAAAGGCATAGAAACGTCAAAGACATAATAACACCAAAAAACTAGTTTTGTAGTGTGTAAATTGTACTAAAAAGGGGAATGACAAGAAAGAGAAATGCACGTGGTTTGGGACAAAGCAAAACGACGAGAAGTTACACTCGTCAATTGCAAAACGAGGGTATGAGCTGTGTCATGTCGATCGTTTTCAATACCTCCAAAAACCTTACGAAGTGGACCTCATGCATATAATATACTCCGTCCATATATAGGCAGAAAGAACTAAAACCACACATCGTTTTCTTTAGTCTGGTCCTTCAATATCTCTTTAATTTGGTTCCAACAGTCAAAAATGTAAAAACTATAGTACCATTCAGTTACTACTTAAGATAGCCAAAAGTTAAACAGTGAAATTTCCAATTCTTTTTTCACTTTGTGGGATCCGTTGGTTTTAAACCCATCAGCCTATCAATAGGACCCATCTCTTGTCTGAAGAATAGTTAAATACAGTACATTTTTTAACCACATTACCAACTCTAGTTCTACTGTACGGATTGATTTTAGAGAGATTTTGATTAGTTACAGTTTGACTTACTAGCCCATAGATATGTGTGTTTAAATAATTTCTACATCATCAAGAGTAAATAAACATATAATACTGTACATGTTTACATTGGTAATTGGTGTATTGTGTGTGGTAATACTTTATTTAAAAATATTCATCGATTATGGCAAAACATCACGGGAAGAACAAGAACAGTTCAAAACTTGAAAAGGTGAAAAGGAAAAGAAGGCAAAGAGTTGACTCCATGGATTAAAGAGACTGTGTCAGCCTTAATCTCAAAGCGATCCAAAACCCCAACATGGATGTTCTTCATTATTATTCTAATTATGGTATTAATAACTTTTAAAATACTATCTTTACATTATTATATTTTAAAAAACTACCACAACTTTCCAAAATTACTTAAAGGTACCAAACAAGTGTTTAAGCAAGTGTTGTGAAGAGTTTTAGAATCTTCATTACTTAATTGACTTACAATCTCTTATGACAAGCTGAAGAAAACAAATTAAAACCTTTTTTGTATTTTCTAATAGATGATGGAATTTCTAAGAAACAAAACTAAAAGTGGTGAATTTTTAAAATTATCCTTATATAAGTTGGTGTAGTAAATTACAAGTACAGTATAAAAAATGTTGATTTACAATCTATCGTTTTGCTTTTATTTTTAAGAAAAAACATATACCATTTTTTTTTTGTATACAATGCTGTCAAGACATCGTATACTAATAAATAAATAACAGTACTTGTAGAATAATCTCATGCTTACATAAACATACGCAGACAGTTTACGTTGTAGTAGGACCCAATATCACACAAATTTTTGAGAGAGAGAGAGAGAGTTTGCACTGTTTTCTTTATAACAAAGAAGACCGGCGCATTTGACCTTAATATGTAATAAGGTTTGGAATTCGAGAAATATTTCAGAAAGAAAAAAAGAAGAAGATTGCTTGTGAATCAGGAAAAGCAAATCTCACAAGTCTTTGAGAATACAAATTTTTTGCAGTTTTTTTTCCTGACATGCTAGTATGGTTAAAACTACTTTTTTATTTGTAGTTTGAATGTTTCATCATTAAGTATTAACTACAACTCCACAAGTTAGAATATATTATATTTTAAATACAAAAAAACTTCATTGATTAGCTTACATTTAAAAAAATCTTCAGTATATATGACCAAAGTAACCATTTATTTTTCAATAGTAAAACCTTTATAAGAAAAAGTGTTACTCTCTCTTCCATTAAGCATTGTTGTATGATTTCATCATACTTTTCGTGTAGTGGATCATTAACAATATACATGCGTCATGAAACAAAATTTAAACTGTATGTATACAAGGAATTCTTGATAATATACCAAACTCTACTATATAAAAAATGTGTAGTATTTTAAAAAAACGTAAGAAATGTAAGTACAAAGTGCAAGGGGCAACGAAAACGACTAATAACTGCAGAATATTTGGGGCATTGGAATGGGGTAGATATTATTTATGGCTGTCAACACTATGAAGAAAGTGACATTTCCTTTGATTCTTTTTTTTATAATTGAATTTTGTAAAAACATTTATTCAAAAAGGACTTTTGGTCAGCACTGCACTGCAAAACGGAGATTTCGCCATCTTCTTTGTCACGATGTCAAGTTGCTCTCAATTCTTGGATTCTCTATATCCCCTTCCAAATCTTTCTTTTATCTCTTTCCTACTAGTATTTCTTTTCCTCATTTTTTTAACTTTTTTTTTGAATATTCCTTACTTATTTTCATTTGAAAATTTAGCTTTATGTAATTATATGTGAATATATGTGTAATATACTCGTACAAAAACTTTTTATTTCGGAGAAGAGATTTACCCGCACCAAGTGTCGTTAGTTCAACTGATAAAGACTTTAGGCGAAGCTTAGAGGTCGCCGGTTCGAGTGACGCTTGGGACGAAACTAATATTACATGCTGTGGTTAGCCTGGAGGGATTACGGGTTTTGACCCAGAACCTCCTCGTATTAAAAAAAAAAAAAACTTACCCGCAAAAATATGGGAATCTTGTAACAATAATTATGTAATAAGTACTGTGGTAATTTGCTGGTGAGAGTTTCCGAGCATTAAATGATTTTTAACTCGGATTTATTTGTCGGCACGTAATTGAAGAAGCCAAGTGAAAAATTTAATGGCGAATGATGGTTTGATGATGCGTTTGTACAGTAGGAAAACAACGACAGTGTCTTGTGTCGTTTTATAGCGGTAAAAGTAAAAAAAAAGAAATCATTCACATACAAAAATCATTTGATAATGATGTAATTTTTTTTTTTTTTGCCGACTGAATTTATTGTTCGAAACTGTACAATTTTCTTGAACGTACTGTTATGTTTTGATGGGGCCTTTCTCATTTATTGCTGGACCCGTTTTATTTGTAATTTGTATACAAAAACAAATAGGAATAGTGAAGAAATTAAAATAAATATATTGGAAAAATATGATGCATAGCATATATAATTGTTGATACGAGTTTATATATGGGTGAAAGTTTGGAAAATGAAAATATATAGGAGCTGTGTATAAATGTACTATAGTGAAGTATTTATGAGAAGAACACACAATAATTAAATTTATAAGAATGTTAGTATTTTCTTTTAATGCTTAAGAAATGGACAATCCTAGTATGAATCTAAAATGATGGGATGCATGCATTAAATTAAACAGGCTGAGGAATCTTGACACGTGTCCATATCCATATGTGGTTGTACGTAAAAGTCAACTTAATCCGATTAATTACCACCACCCTTTTTTTTTATTTCTTCTAGAAAAAAATAGAAAAACGTTACGAAAAAACGTTACTACTAACGGCAAGTGTTTAAATTGTCATATCGTATACGTTACAAAGATTATTGACTAGTTATTTATTCAACCTTTTTTTGTCATTTTATTTTTTTGTTCATTGACTAGTAAAAAAACTATTATATTTTTTCTAGAGGCATTAAATATATATAGAATTAGATAAAACGTCAAAACAAAATAGCTGAAAAAGAATAGTAATCTAGGATACTTTCCAACTACAAGTCTTTAAACATTAGTAAATTGAAAATAAATAATCCAAGATACAGTAATTGTCAAAGTTTCCACATAAAGCGAATAACAAATTAGCGATATTTGAAGAAGTCTAAACACAAAAAAATTATGCATCAAGACTTTCTTAAAAAAAAAAAAAAGCAAATTATCTTCTGGTAAATCATTAACACAAAAATCCTAAATTTGAACAAACCAATATCTTAAAGGGTATGATTTGAGTAAACTACATGTGTTTCATAATATAATCTACATATTTTGAAAACAAAATACTATACATTATACATTTACATCAAAGAATAATGTGTACTACCATATTAAACAGTTTGGGGAAACAAATTCTATAAAAAAAATTGAATTTTGGTAGAATGTTGGGGTGAATTTAATAGACATTGTAGTCAATAATTAAATACTCATGGGGGAAGAAAAGGACACGCATGCAAAATAGAGACAGACCAAGGGTAACAAAAAGCTACTGACCAACGCTGCCATTACACACTTTCTTTCTTTTACCTTCTTCTTTCTCCATTGTTCACTCTGATAAGGACCATTGGACCCAACACTACACAATTTTACCAAACCTAAATAATTTTTCTCTCTTTTTATTTTTTTAAAAACAATAAAAAAAAGAAAAAAGAAAAGAAGAGAATATTATTTTATTAAGTAGTAGCGAAAACTCAAAAGAGTAAAGAAGCAGAAGAAAGAAGAACAACACGCGAGAAACTTCAGATCTTTCCTCTCTCCGCATCTCCCTTTTTTGCATCCTCGTGTAATCATCGTAGAAGAAGAAGAAGAACCCTTTTGTTACTTTACTTTCTCTGGAAAATTTCGTATCTTTGCGTGTTTTGAGAATCTTTCTATCCTTCTCGGATTTGGATTCCGATTGTTTGGAGTTATCGATCGGAGAGATCGTGTCACATTAAGGTAAAAACAGAGTTTTTTAGAGTTCTGTTTCGGTTCTGTTTTTTATGGTTTGTCGGTGGGTTTACTGTTACCTCCTCCGAGAATCGAGGGTTGAGATCCGTATCATCGTTCTTCAATCGGCATTGCTGCGATTTCTATCGTTTTTTTTGTTTTGTTTTTCTGAATCACTGATTCAGCGGAATAACAGAGTTTGATTTCGATGTTTCTGATTACTAGTACTGTTTCTTTTTAACGGTTTCTGTCTCATTTAAAGTTTTGAGATTGCATTTATGGCGATAGCTAAAGTAATGCTTTTTTGTTTTGTTTTGTTTAGGAGATAAGTCTTTAATGCAGAGAAATCGTGTGTAAATGGATTCTTAAGCCCCACTTTAGTTGCAGATCTGAAGCTTTTTTATCGAGAAGAACAAAAAGGTTTAAATAAGTTCTTGTTTCTATGTCACTGTTTTTGTTGTAATGGCTGAGGCAAATATCTTGTGGGTTTGGTTCTGCTTTAGTTCTTATGTTCACGGGGAATCTCCGCTTTGAAAGTTTATGGCCGTGTAAAAGAGATATATATTTAATGCCATCACAGGAAGATTTATTGTCTATATCCTTAGCGTCATGAATATGATTCAAAACCCAAGAAATATGATGATTCTTGATTTAATTTGTTTTGACAAGTTTTGTCTTCTGTTTCTCCAGGTTTGCTTTGTTTCATAAGTGATGGTTGTATGACTCACATGCATGTCCTCTGAGCTCGTTTAGCATCAAGAAGCTTTCCCTTTGAATTGATATGTCAGGTAAATTATGTTGTTTGATGTTTTGTCTACTCAAGTATCCGTTTTTGGGTTTCCTGTGGATCAATCTTGAATTTGAGATAGTTAGATATTCTCATTTACTGAGACTTTGCAGATTACTTACTTTGATTTTTTTTCTATTGAAGGTGTTGAAGAAATCAGTACATTTGACGAATTTAGGGGAAGAAGATCAGACTTTGAAATCTCAGAAGATGAGAGACGCCGCTCAAAAATAGGGAATTTTAAGAAGAAGGCCATCAATGCTTCAACCAAGTTCACTCATTCTTTGAAGAAACGGGGCAAAAGGAAAATTGACTATCGGATTCCTGCAGTCTCCATTGAAGATGTAAGGGATGAAAAAGAGGAGAGCGTTGTGCTTGAATTCCGCCGTAAGCTTCTTGAGAGAGATTTGTTACCTCCTAGACATGATGAGTACCATACTCTTCTGAGGTTTGTCTGTTCTTTAGTAGCTAAAAGTATGATCAGTTGCTATTACTCTTTAGCTAAAAATATGACGTGTTGCTAGTACTGTCAAGCTAACCAACTGTTCATTTGAAAATGTAGGTTTTTGAAAGCTAGGGATCTTAACATTGAAAAAACTATCCAGATGTGGGAAGAAATGCTTAGATGGAGAAAAGAGTACGGAACAGATACCATACTAGAGGTAAGGAGTTAATGATTCAAGTCTGCTTGTTTGTTTTGTCATACAAAAAATAAGTAATTTCTCGTGTACAGTCAGGTTAAAAACCGATAAACAATGGTTGAAAACAGGTTAAAACGTAGTATATCAATATTCTTGATATTTGGATGCAAGCTCTTATAATTTTTTGCTTCTATGTATCTGGATGGTAGGATTTTGATTTCGAAGAGCTTGAAGAAGTTTTGCAATACTATCCTCAAGGTTATCATGGAGTTGACAAGGAAGGAAGACCTGTCTACATTGAAAGACTTGGAAAAGCTCATCCAGCTAAGCTTATGCGTATCACCACCATCGATAGATATTTAAAGTACCATGTGCAAGAGTTTGAGAGAGCTCTCCTTGAGAAATTCCCTGCATGCTCAATTGCCGCAAAGCGCCGAATCTGTTCTACGACTACAATACTGGATGTGCAAGGATTGGTAATTATTTAAGTTCTTACCAAGCTTTGGAATTTTTCTGCATTGTGTTGTTTTGAAGCAGAACTTGCTCCTTTAGTGCTTCTAGATTCTTATCTGTGCAGTGTCGTGTTAATGACAGGGAATTAAGAACTTTACACCAACAGCTGCAAATCTTGTGGCTGCCATGTCGAAGATAGACAACAGCTACTACCCTGAGGTACTTGAGTTTCTCAATTTTACATCTCATATCTTCTTCACATGCATTCTCGGTTGTTTGAAGTCATCATCTTATTTTGCAGACGTTGCACAGAATGTACATTGTAAATGCTGGAACAGGTTTCAAAAAGATGCTTTGGCCTGCTGCTCAGAAGTTTCTTGATGCAAAGACCATTGCAAAGATACATGTACAGCCTTTCAGCCTAGTTTTCTATTTTGTCAACTATTGCCATGTGTAGTTTATCTTATCTCTGTCAATGCAGGTGCTAGAACCCAAATCTTTATCTAAGTTACATGAAGTCATTGATTCAAGGTAGCTTTCTTTCTATTTAAACTGGACCTGAAAAATTTCAGATATCATGTCTAGCCAATACTTATGAGCTCCGGTGCTCTGTGCTTTAGTCAATTGCCAGAATTCCTTGGAGGTTCATGCTCTTGCTTTGGTGATGGAGGAGGGTGTCTTCGCTCTAATAAAGGACCCTGGAATGATCCTGAAATAATGAAGGTAAAATCTACATTTTATTAAATTTTGCTTTTACTTTTCGAGGATGCTGCTCCTAAGGAACTTTTAAGTAGGAGTTCAGCTTCTAGTCCGGCTTTGTACATGAAGCTCATTTTAGATCTATGCCTTGTTTAGCTCATCTACCATGGCGAATCATCACTTTTTCGGCAAATGACCAGGAAGCTGAGTGACCCGCATAATTCTTCAGCCTACATAAGTATACATCCATCGAAGGTAAATGAATCTATCAAGCCAATTCTCTGTTTGTTGTAAAACTTTTTTTCCAGTAATATGACAATGCAACTTTGGATTTTCAGGCTATACAAGCTGAGACTTCAGCAGCAGAGTCGGTATCTTGTTCTGATGTTCCTACTTCTCCAACTGGAAGATTATGCTCAGCCTCTGCTCATGTGAATTCAGCTTATGAGGAAGTGAGTTCTTGTGTTAGTATAGTACATTTGTGTCACAGAACACCTTAGTTTGATATTGACCGGAACAATATGATCTATGCAGGCTAGGGCATCAGATGTTAATGGCTATTATAGTTGCGATGACAAGTTTACCATACCTGACAAAGCTACTAACAGAAAAAACCAAGAAAGGCAATCCCTTTACCAAATGCCCGAACTCAATCAAACTACTCTCGGTTTAAAATGTGAAACATCTCCACCAGGTTATACTTCTTATTCAGGCTTTTCTCATAAAACAATTTCATTATATATATGGCTCTTTTTTAGATCAAATGGTACTTGGTGCTAAATATTACGGATTTCCTATATAGTTTTCTCACCTTCTGAATTTCGTCTTCCCTCTGGTATCTCCTAGGTGCTCCCATCATCCGTTGGCTTCATGATTTAAGGGGAACCATTGACAAGATACAATGTGAGAACCTAGCGAAAAGGCTGCTTTCTTTAATGCTGAAACTAGCTGCAGTTTTCCGTTATACTCCGCTTGAGCTTCTGAGAAGCCAGACTACAGTCAGCCCTTCAAGTCCAACAGAAGATGACAGTAGGTGTAGTTTCATCTCAGCTCCTAGAGAGCCCACAATGAAAGACCGGATTCTTCCATGTTTGGAGCGTATTCAGGAACTGGAGAAAAGTTATGAGGATATCCGGAACAAACCCGTTGCAATACCTGTAGAGAAGGAGAGAATGTTGATGGATTCTTTAGACAGAATCAAGTCAGTTGAGTTTGATCTCGACAAAACAAAGAGGGTACGATACTTTTCCTGTTAGTTTTTAACCTTCAAACTTATAGATTCAGTATGGACTCATAATATTTTCATTGGTTGCAGCTTTTACACGCCACGGTGATGAAACAAATGGAAATAACTGAAATGCTGCAAAATTTACGCGATTCCCAACTTCATGTAAGTACCTAAACTGCCTCAGTACAGCAACGAACAACATTGTGATGGAATAACTAACACACTCGAGACTGTTTTTTTTTTTGTGCAGAGAAGAAGAAGATTGTTCTGTTAAAAACCATAAGAGAACATCTGAGTTTTGCATAAATACAAATCTGCACATACAGAGAGAGGGAGAGAGAACCGGAAACTAAATGTTAGTTTCTTTAGCTCCTTCCCTTCTCTTCTAACTTGGTTCACAACTTTTTTCTCCTTTCTAAATAGGTCCCTCTGCTTCCACTTTTAGAGTTATAAAAAGAAGAAGAAGATGAAGATAGGGACAGAGAAAACCTCTGATGATCAATCCTGTCTTTGATAATTATAGATTGAGAGGTCAGAGTATTAAGAACCACCAAATCCTTTTGTTGTAATCAGTGTAGATAAGAAACTACACTAAGCTTAAACAAATGAGATTTTGTAAATCTTTTTTAAGGTATTTTGATAACGAGTAAACACACTCTCGAGTCTCTGAAGAATCCATTTTGTTTAACATGAAAGCAAAACCTATATTATTATTATTGATTTGCAGTTGGTAATGTTATGATTAGAGTTTTAAAATCATCAAGGTTACATGATAATGATGGCGACTCTTACGAAAGCAATGAGATAAAGACAAAACAACCCTCGTAATCAGAACCCTGTATACGAATTATGGAAGGGTATAACCGTCAAGTTATAACAAAATAAGAAAATTTAAATCAGGAAAAATAGAGACCGTCCTTTTCCACTGTGAACGAAGATAAATCTCTCTCTCTCTCTCTCTTCTTCTTCTCCGTTCGTGCTCTGGACTCGCTCTCATTTCGATCCGATGATAATTTATGCAACTCGAAACTTAATTTAGAATCATACTTTTTCTCTGGATTTGGCTGACAAATCCGTTTTCAATAGCACGAATTGCTTCGCCAGGTGAATGAATCTATCGATCCTAGGTTTTCTCCGCCTCTGATTTTTCATGTTCCTGAGTTTCTGGAATTGTTAGGGTTTGAGTTCTTGAAGAGGCATTTGGATTATTTATTTTTGGTTTCGTTTCTCCCCTCTTCGATTATGTCGGTAGTTTAGGTTTCTGGGCATGATATTTGTGTACAGAGAGATTGCAGGTTTGATCTTACTTTCGAAGCGTTTTGCTTGTTGGATATTGTTATAACCTCATGGAGTCCTAATCTAGATGGTGCTTTCATGCTTTATTGTTCACTAAATGTGATTTATGTCACAATTCTATGCTTTCAGAGTTTAGTAATAAAGGTGCTTTTCGATATATGTAGGTGTCTTTTATTTATCAACTGAACTATGTCTAATTACCAAGGGGACGATGCTGAGTACATGGAAGATGTGGATGATGAAATGGAAGAGGATGATTTAGATGAGGATTTTCGTGGGGATGATATGGCTGCCTCGGATTCTGATGTCGACGAGTTTGACTACTCAGTAAGTATTCCTGTATGAAGTCTCAAATGATTATTTGAAATGTATGCTAACATGAATTAATAATAATTTCTGCAATCTCTTACTCTTTTGTGTGGGTTCTTTGGTTTCAGAATAATAAAATAGCTGATACTTCAGCTGACCAAGCTCGGAAAGGGAAAGACATCCAGGGGATTCCTTGGGACAGGCTTAGTATTACCAGAGAGAAATACAGACAAACTAGACTAGAACAGTATAAAAATTATGAAAATGTCCCTAATTCTGGTGAATCCTCCGGGAAAGTAAGTCTTTCATTCTCTATGTCTCGTATGTTGTTGTCAGTATGTTTCACTAGTATTGGTTTCAATTGTTACATATCATTTTCTTAATTGAATACAGGATTGCATGGCCACGCAGAAAGGGGCCCTTTTTTATGATTTCTGGCGGAATACAAGATCTATCAAATCAAGTATTCTTCATTTCCAGGTTCATATCATTGAAATATATCTATTTTTTATTCAGTCGATGTTCATTTTTGGTAATTCAATCAGTATGTCATGTGTGTACAAATTGCTACAACTGTCCACTTAAGTTAAAACTCAAAAGATACGGATTCGTAGAATGTTTATTCTGCTAAAAACTATTTCTACGCTGACATCTAACGAAAAAATTGTTTTCTTTGTATTGTAGTTGAGGAATTTGGTTTGGGCAACTTCTAAGCACGATGTCTACCTTATGTCACAATATTTGGTGAGCCACTATTCTACTTTGACATCTGGAAAGCATGAAGTTCTCAATGTTCAAGGTCATGTTTCCCCATCTGAGGTTAGTTTGTTCTAGAATGGTAAAAGATTCTTCTTTAACACCTACATCAGTTAACGGTGGTTCTTTGTTCTTTTTCTTTTTCTTGTGTGAGTGCAGAAACATCCTGGAAGTTTGTTGGAGGGATTTACAAAGACTCAAGTGAGTACACTCGCAGTGAGAGATAAATTTTTAGTGGCCGGTGGATTTCAAGGAGAACTTATATGCAAGGTAAGCTCTAGGGTTTTTACGAGCCATGGATTCCACACAACAATTACATGCAATCTAATCAAGGAACTTCATCTGTTTCCACATTTATTTGATTCAGCATCTTGATAGACCTGGTGTGAGCTATTGTTCACGTACAACTTATGATGATAATGCTATAACCAATGCTATTGAGATTTATAACAAACCCAGGTATTTTGCATGTCTTTTGCTTGAGGTTGTTTTTGGCAACTTGTGAAACTTACATCTTCTAACCGATCTTTTGATGTCTGTCTGTCTGCAGTGGGGCACTTCATTTTACTGCCTCGAATAATGATTGTGGAGTCAGAGATTTTGATATGGAGAGATACCAGCTTGTTAACCATTTTCGCTTTCCATGGCCGGTGAACGTAAGTCCCCACTTGTTTCTTGGTTTTTGGTTTTGGCTTGGTATAAGTTGATCTGTAGCGCTTGTGGCAGTAATTTCAGTTACAATTACGTTTTGTAATCGAATATCTTCTTTTACATTACGAAATTGTAAATGTAGTTGTACCCACAATTATTTAACGAAAGTTTTTTTTTTGTATGGATAGCACACATCTTTAAGTCCTGATGGTAAATTATTGACGATTGTGGGAGATAACCCAGAAGGCCTTCTGGTAGAACCCAACACTGGAAAGGTACAGACACGATCTCTGTGTTTAAGTATCTTTAAATACATATGCTTTCTGAACTAAATTTGGAATTTTCGACAGACGCTGGCAACATTATCAGGACATTTGGACTTTTCCTTTGCATCGGCATGGCATCCAGATGGGTTCACTTTCTCCACTGGTAACCAGGACAAAACCTGCCGGGTTTGGGATATTCGTAACCTTTCTAAATCTGTTGCTGTCTTGAGGGGTAACCTTGGAGCAATCCGATCCATCCGCTACACATCTGATGGGAAATACATGGCCATGGCTGAGCCGGCTGACTTTGTCCATGTGTATGATGTCTCAAACGGGTATGAAACGGAGCAAGAGATCGACTTCTTTGGGGAGATCTCGGGAATATCATTTAGCCCCGACACAGAAGCACTCTTCATCGGCGTTTGGGACCGCACTTACGGAAGTCTAATTGAGTATAGCCGGCGCCACAACTACTCCTACCTTGATTCATATCTATAATCACCCGACATATCAGAGGAATAAAAGAGCCTACACATATGTGCCGCACTCTCCTGTCGCTTTGTTAAACTGAGAAAACCTGAGAAAAGAAAAACCATAAAACTCAAGTTGATCTCTAATGGTGTAAATGATGTGTTGTGCAAGTACTAGTAGGAATGTCACAGAGAGCCGATTTAGTTAGTTGATTTTCTTTTATCTGAGTGTTTGAGTTTATGTATTTGTACATAAGTGTTGAGGTTCGGCGTGAGTTTGCTTCAAGTCTCAAATCTAGGCAAAGAGACTACATTACTCGAGTTTCTGGCTCATTATTTGGCTGTGTTAACTTGTAGAGGAACTCTGTTTGAGCTGTTTCTGCCGATTGTTGTATCAATTACATAATGTTTCATAATGATTCTGTTTCCTAGACTATAATGTCGATTGTGGACTAAATAGAACTAAAGAAAAAGTGGGGTCTTTTAAGTGTATCCTACTAAATTAGAGGGGTTCAACGCAATTATTCCTTTGAAAATCTCATAATCCAGAAAGAACCAACGAGACAATGCCACATCATCCATCCGTAATCGTATCCTCACAAACAAAATCTTCTTCTGCTTCTTCTCCTTCTTCACAGAAGCCAAAACGGATCACTCAAGATCATAAATCCAAAACCACTCATTTCTCTTTCACTGAAAATTTTCTTAGAGAAGAAGAAGAAGAAGCAAAATGGCCACAAGCGCATCAGCTTTGCTCTCACCAACCACATTCTCCACTGCAATCTCCCACAAAAACCCTAACTCCATCTCATTCCATGGCCTCCGTCCTCTCCGTCTCGGTGGCTCTTCCTCCGCCTTACCTAAACTATCAACCACCTCCGGAAGAAAATCATCCTCCGCTGTCGTGAGAGCTGAGCTAAGCCCTTCCATCGTCATAAGTCTCAGCACAGGTCTCTCCCTCTTCCTTGGCCGTTTCGTCTTCTTCAACTTCCAGAGAGAGAACGTCGCGAAACAAGGCTTACCGGAGCAGAACGGAAAAACCCATTTCGAAGCTGGAGATGATCGTGCTAAGGAATACGTCAGCCTCTTGAAATCGAACGATCCAATTGGATTCAACATTGTTGATGTTCTTGCTTGGGGTTCTATTGGACACATCGTTGCTTACTACATCTTGGCTACTTCCAGCAATGGATACGACCCAAGCTTCTTTGGATGATTCATTTCAATCTCTCTTCTCTCGTATATGTATATGTTTGACTTGTGTTGCAAGCTATCTAATCTGTTCTCTATCTCTGTTTCTTCACATTCCTCTGTTGTTGTTGTCTAAGACTTTCCCTTTATTTCTCCATTTACAAAGATTGGTTTGCAGAGTTTTAAGAAGAACATAATAGTATACACTATGGAAACAGAGAGATGAAATCACATTTTCACTTACGCTCAAGATTTCGATTTAGTTTGAGCTAATGTTCGTACGAAATACTTGGGTGATTTGGTGAAGCTAGTTTCATACCTAAGAGAGAGTCTAGATGTAATATCTCAGAAGAAAATAAAGCCAATGTCTCAACAAAAACAGTATGATCAAAGATAAAGTATACAAAAACACCAAAAACAAAAAATAAAACTTAAGTTTAGATCAAGTTATGGCTGCAAATAAAAAACCATTGTAATACGGAAGGTAGTGTCTATGGAAATGCAAGTCTGAATCCTTGTGATTCACATCCTCAATCAAAGAAGACTTGGAATGTTTCTGGACCTCGAAAAGAAAGTGACAACTCCTCGATCATCTCATCTATTGTTTCTTGAGCATAGGTTGTCGGAAAAGAGATTGTCGCATACTTTAAGCAGCGAGCATTTCTCAAGATGTATTTAGCCACATCCATCTGGTTCTGCAGCAATCCATACATCTCACTCCACTGGAACGTTTCGAGACTCGACAACAAACATTTAGGAACACAATTCAATTGATTGTCCCAATGATTTGGTAGATTTACACGCCTGTCTGGATGATCCTGTAATCAAACATGAGAAGTTAGGCTTAAACATTATAGTAAATTGAACCAAGAGAATAGGTTTCTAACGAAGAAACTTACTTCTATCACGTAAGTCTCGAGATCTCGTAAATTAGGAGAATCCCTGAGTAACCGAGCAAGTAAAATAGACCAATCTGAATCACATGAACATATCTTCAAATGTTCAAGCTGGTTGAAGACAAGACCCTCATGATATAAAGACTGCACAAGATCACAACGGTTTCAACCTCAAGAAAAAGAGGTTTATTGTATTGTTCGAAAATGAGATTGATAGATGGATGGAAACAGATTACCTCTTCTTTGTAGACTCCTAAGCATAACGAAAGCCGCTTAACAGATGTGAATGATCTACAACACTTTTTGATATTTTGGAATGTCAATATAAAATCTGCCTCCTCCAACTTAGGCATAGCTTCAAAAGAGTAGGCGTATTGAGGACTATCACTATCACCATGACTGTCTAGCCTTTCATCAGTGACTTTGAGATACTTCAAAGAAGGAGTATTCAGCATAAGCCCATCAAGATCACAAGCAATAGACATCTTTAGGGTTAGTCTCTGCAAGGACTTGACAATCACACTCATTTTTCCCAAATTGTCAATTTTATCTCTTTCCACAAAAAGATCCTCAAGAACAGGGCAGTTGGAAAGAAGTCGTTGAAGAGAATTTTCATCCGAGTAAGTCACACGTCTAAGGAACAATGTCTTCAGGGAGGGGAGACATACCGTACCAGGAACATCCACGAGAATCTCGTCTTTCAGTGTCAAGATCACAATCGATTTGCAGATATACAAGCTACTAGGCAACTTAGTTTGACGCTCCCCAAAATAAAAAAGCTTGAGACATAACTCACGGACGTTTTTATAGATTGCAAGTGAAACCCAAAAATCGATATCTTCAGGTTCGATTGATCCATTTAATCCATACCTAAACTTGAGACTCAAGCTTTCAATGGCCGGAGCTTTATGTACTGGCAGATTCAAAGAAATAAATCTAGCTAACTCCTGCCCTCTAGACTCTGAATAACAACTATAATCAAACTCCAGTTTAGGTAGCCACATCCAAAGAGACTTCCATCGCATCGATAGAATACTAGTGCTTACAGCATCTTTTGTTGGAAGAAATGAAAGTACCTTCACGAGCAATTCGTCAGGCAACTGACTGAGCTTGTCCATTTCTTCACAATCTCAACGTTTCTTTTCTTTGTTTTTAACCAAGATTCTCTTATCTTGAAGAATAAGAAACTTGGAATCTGTCCAAGAAAAATAGTGAACACAAGTAAGAACATAGACAAGGAATAATAAGACAAAGGAAAAGAAGAAATATAAGAAACTTTTCAATTGCACGTTTAGGCATATAGAGAAGATGATTACTCTTCTCTAGGATATGATTTATTGCCTTGTCTTGGGAAAACGAACAGGTTTGTTCTCTTAATTAATTTTATCAATGAATAATGAAGGAAATGTTTTTTTGTAAGAAATTAAACTGTTTGTAATAAAGACATGGATTCCAGAAAGTTTAATGGAAAATGCTCACCAAAACTTATTGTGCTTGTTACATTCGTACTATCCCATTCATGTCAATCTTGAAATAACATATACTACCTATAAGTGTTCAAGTTCCATATATTCAATAAGCCTACTTGAAATTAGATCAGTAAAACTTTTCATGTAAAAGTCGTCCGAACCAGAACTACTTATTTTATTTTTCCATGTAAACAATTTTGTGTTGTATTGGCTTCCTCATGAGACAAGCATGCACATTACATTTTTTTTTAATAAGAATGTAAATATCATTTTAATGACAGTTTAGCCTTTACAATGAGCTTAACCTAAAAGATATTTTCATGAAGCTAACATGGTCTCATGCTAAAAAAATTTAAAAACAGGGAAGCATAAATTTTCGAGATTCATTTCATCATAGAACCTTAAGCGATTAAGCTCTTGGTTAGCGATTTGTAACTCGATCTAGACGGTCCCCTAAGCGAAGCGAGATCAGCAAAAGCAACAAAGGAAAGCAAGAAAACTGAAAATCTACAAACAATCAAACTTTTCATGTGAATCGAATGTCTCACTTGATATCTATGAATATATAGCAAACAACCCTAATTAGAGAAACTCACCTCACTTTTTCGGCGAAAAAGTATTCTCGAACTGAGAAAATTCTTGACTCGAACTCGGATTTGATCTCGCTTACCCCTTAATTGTGTCAAGATTGTAGAAACCTAATCTATTCTTTTCCATCCATTGAAATCGTCTCCTTTTTCTTTATCTTATCTTCTCACTCGAGGGGAAACTTATTTTCCTCCGCCTCGTTTCGAAAGTAAGAAAATTTAAACATATGCGACGTCGTCTTGTTTTATTAGATGGCATCCTAGTAAGCATTATATGACGGTTTGAGAAAAAATTGAAAAATTTAATGGTTGATTCTCCGAGATACGGTCAAAGTATGTGTCATTTATTCGCTAATTTGGGTATAAAAATTTAAAGTAATTAAAATTTGGGTAATTCTAAACATATATCATTTATATAAAAAATAACTTCCCATAATGGAAATCCAATCTACTAGTATCTATCCATTGAAATCTTCACATTTTCTCTGTATCTTATCTTCTAATTACTTGAGGGGAAACTTATTTTCCTCAACCTCGTTTTGAGAGTAAGAAAATTTAAACATATACAACATCGTCTTGTTTTATTAGTAAGCATTATATGATGGTTTGGGATTAAAAAAAAAATTCAAAATTAATGGTTGATTCACAAAGATGCGGTCAAAGTATGTGTTATTTATTCGTTAGTTAATTTGGGTATTAAATTTTAAAATAATTAGAATTTGGATATTTCTAAACATATATCATCTAATTTGGATATGAATTAGTTGGTTTCCCTCTAAACCCAAGTTTGAATCTGGTATCTCTCTCCTTAGGTGGAGACTTCATACATTGACTTCTCCGCCCAAACCATCCGAAATATTTGAAATAACTCTAGTTATGTAACTTTGGTGTTTTTTAAAAATATGAATATAGTCATATATAACAAGAAAGCCCTATGCTAGCTTAAACTAGAATGAATAGATAGATGTCTCTGCGACCCAAAACAGGTTTAAAATACAAGCATGATGCTAACTTGAAGTCTTGGAGTCTCGACTTTTTGAGGATGAACAATGTTAGGACGATTTTTTTTCAAAAACAATGTTAGGACGAAATTAAGTCAACTTTTGAAGCATAAAGTTTGAACCATTTCATAAGCCGCGTTCAAATTATATGATATATAATGCGAGTGTGAATTGTAAACGTAATAACATAAGTGTGACATCGTCAGCTCCAATGAAGGTAATTGGAAGGAATTACAACATCTTTTTCTTGTACAAAGAGGTCGTCTGAATTTCGTACGACGGCGTGGACCAAACAAAGCAAGAAACTTGTAACAATACCAAGAACCAGGCTTTGGAGGCAGTTTATGAACCACAATGCCCAAAGCGAGCCAATGATCAGCCCAACAACGATAACACGGTCACTAATATGTCGACCGTACAAGACCAACGGATGGTCTCTAAAGAAATATAGGAGCATCCACATGACCGCAAAGGAGGCAAGCGTGAGAAGAGCCACCGGATCACCGATCAAGAAGAGTGTGACCAAAGCTGCGGTTAAAAGAAAATAGTTGACAACAAAGTGGCAAAGGTTGAGTTTAGTACGCGAGGCTGCGGAGGAGAAAGAGGTTGGACGGTCGATGGAACCGAATGCTAGGAATTCTGACCACCATGGACGGTAGCTAGAAACAGAAGCTATTAGATTGTGCACCGACATGGAGATAACATCACTGGCAGAGAGACTTGTCTCCTCCGCCGTGATTAGAACATTCTCCGCCGGTGCTAACATCCCCGGACACCACTTTTGAGTTCTATAGTCAACTAATATAAACCGAAATTAAAAGTTGTGAAGGTATATAGCAAAACAAAAAGTGGTTCCCACGTTGATAACGTTATGGGCTGGGCCAGTTTCATTTAAGGGCCCATAGAATTCGGGTCGGATCCTCTTCAAAATTGTGTGATTCGGTTCAGCGATGTCTCTTCTCACTTCTCAAAAACAAAGAGCAGAGGCAGAGACGACTGAGTAGAACCTGGATTCTGGTTCGGCTAATTTACCATTCTACCGCTTGAACTCGTCTTCTTCGTCAAGGTAATCGTCGATTTCAGATGGGTTTCTTTGAAATCTAGATTCCAATTTTGCTTAAATGCCGATAGTTTGATGGGTTTTTGCGATTTTGGGAATCTGAGGCTCGCGGTGGTGAAATTTTCGTCTTTGAATTTAGGTTTCTCGAGTCTGTTTAGTTCTTTAAAGTTGCAGAGATGATGAAGAAGAAACATCAATGTTGGATTAAGCTCAAATATGAATTCTGTAGTTCATTATAGCACAAGTGTTGTAGTTCGTCAAGCTTGTCGCTTTCTCTTCACATCGAGGAGATTTTGCAATGGTAGCATCGGTGGTGATGTAACCGATAATGGGACCGAAGAGCCCTTGAAGATATCCTGGGAATCATCGGAGATGGATTGTGGGTTTGACGAGGAGGAACATGGTGAGAAAATCTCTATTAGAAGAAGGTTTATGGAGAGTGCTAAGCTCGGTGCGTCTCGGGTTCTCGATACTTTACAGCAAGATTGTCCCGGTTTCAATACGAAATCAGCTTTAGATGATTTGAATGTTACAATCTCAGGACTTTTAGTGAGAGAGGTTCTTGTTGGGATCTTAAGGACACTGAGCTATGATAATAAGACAAGGTGTGCTAAGCTAGCTTACAAGTTCTTTGTGTGGTGTGGTGGACAAGAGAATTTTAGGCACACTGCGAATTGTTATCATTTACTTATGAAGATCTTTGCAGAGTGTGGTGAGTATAAAGCCATGTGCAGGCTAATTGACGAGATGATCAAAGACGGTTATCCAACAACGGCATGCACATTTAATCTGTTGATATGTACTTGCGGTGAAGCAGGCCTTGCTAGAGATGTCGTGGAGCAGTTCATCAAGTCGAAAACTTTCAATTACCGACCTTACAAACACTCTTATAACGCTATTTTGCATTCTTTGCTGGGGGTGAAACAGTACAAGCTGATTGATTGGGTTTACGAGCAGATGTTAGAAGACGGGTTTTCGCCGGATGTTCTGACTTACAACATTGTAATGTTCGCAAACTTTAGGTTAGGGAAAACAGATCGGCTTTACAGATTACTCGATGAAATGGTTAAAGACGGGTTTTCTCCTGATTTATATACATACAACATCCTCCTCCACCATCTAGCCACAGGAAACAAGCCTCTCGCTGCTCTTAACCTTCTAAATCATATGAGGGAAGTAGGAGTAGAGCCCGGTGTTATCCATTTCACTACTCTGATAGACGGGCTGAGCCGAGCTGGGAAGTTAGAAGCTTGCAAATACTTTATGGACGAAATGGTGAAAGTTGGGTGCACGCCGGATGTTGTTTGTTACACTGTTATGATCACAGGCTATATATCAGGTGGGGAGCTCGAGAAAGCAGAAGAAATGTTCAAAGAGATGACAGAAAAGGGTCAACTCCCGAATGTTTTCACATACAACTCGATGATCCGTGGGTTTTGTATGGAGGGGAAATTCAAAGAGGCGTGCTCGTTGCTCAAGGAAATGGAGTCAAGAGGGTGTAACCCTAATTTTGTGGTGTATAGTACACTGGTGAACAATCTTAGAAACGCAGGGAAGGTTTTAGAGGCTCATGAGGTAGTAAAAGACATGGTGGAGAAAGGGCATTATGTTCATCTTATTTCAAAGTTGAAAAAATATAGAAGATGTTAGTCTTTGTAGTTTTTATTTGGGTTTTTAATAATAAAACCCCTCAACTAAAGATGAATCGTAAAAAAAATCCTCAACTATATATTTAGTGCAAAAACCCCTCAAGTTTAAATATGTTCATGAAAATTCCCCTTCGTCTCCAGTGTCGTTAAAATTGGACAGACTACAGTTAAATTGAAACTGAAAAACGACATATATACACTTAAACAACATGAATTGTAAACAAAAACAACAAAATCTTCTTCTATTTGATTATAAATCCTCAAACCTAAGTTCTAAAATTCTCAAGGTGAAAAATCTAAATTGATGAACCCTAATTTATCGTAGTAAAATTCTCTGAAGTTTATGTGGTATAGAAGTCGATTAGGAGAGATTCTGAAAAACGTTACGTTTTAATTTGAACTGTAGTCCGTCCAATTTTCACGACATTGTAGACATAGGGGAATTTGCATGAACATATTTAAAGTTGAGGGGTATTTTCACTAAATATATATTTGAGGGGTTTTCTTTCGATTTATCTTTCTTTTTATTTCAAAAGGCTTTTTTCAAATCGTCGATTAATCAGATGTTTTTTTTTTCTCACTTCTCATATTCCATTCTCAAACATGATTTAGCAGAGTGGTTGTGTTAGTAACTTAGTATTAGCCATTGATTTCAGAAATTCTGAAATTAAAATAGCCAACGATTAAAAAAAAAAAAAAACATATCGTCGACAGCAGGGTTCGAACCTGCGCGGGCGAAGCCCAACAGATTTCAAGTCTGTCTCCTTAACCACTCGGACATATCGACTTGCTGAGCAGTATCTAACATAAAATTAATATATTACTTCTAAAACCACACTGAGCCCAATAAAGGCCCATAAATGGTGGCTTGGCTTGAAACTTCTAGTTGACACTGAAGGTTCTCTTTACGACTCCTGCCGCGTGTTTCTTTATCGAGAGAGACGGTAAAAAAACTCACTCGGAATCTGAATCCGATCAAATCTGAACAACACCGGCGACGAATCTCTGCGGCGGAGATTTAGATTTCATCCCGGAGAGACGAAATTGATGCTATCGTGAACTATCACGGCATAGGGATGATATGTTGGTAACAGCCAATTGAAATCAGATATGTCATCGGGAGGAGCCGGAGAGTACAACGAAGACAGACATCTGTTGCGATCCACCGACGGGGATGAAGTCGACATTGGCGGAGGAGTCGGCGATCTTGATGTTGAATCTCAGTCTCCGGCTGTCAGAAGTGGAGCTGGAGGAGTTAGGGATCTGTTCAAGCATCTAGATCGGAGATTTTCACTTTCCGGGCGTCGTTTAAGCTTTAAACGGATGGAGAATATCAGAGTCGATAGAGAGCGCCACAATCCGTCTTCTTCTTCCGCGTTGTCGGCTGCTGGAGTAGAAGATGGTGGTGGTATCAGTAATTTACATAACGTTGATGATCGAAATGACGAGTACGGGTTTGATGAAGAAGTTCTCGGAGATAGTGCTCCACCTGAGTGGGCTCTGCTTCTCATCGGTTGTCTTATCGGTGTTGCCGCTGGAATTTGTGTCGCCGGATTCAATAAAGGGGTACGATCATCCATCAGATCTCGATCTATATTGATTCGATTTGATACTATTTTGAGTGCTGATTCAATAGAGTAGTGTTTTTGTCTTAGGTTCATGTCATTCATGAGTGGGCATGGGCTGGTACTCCCAATGAAGGTGCTGCATGGCTTCGTCTACAGAGACTTGCTGATACTTGGCACAGGATTCTTCTAATTCCGGTCACTGGAGGTGTTATAGTAGGAATGATGCATGGTTTGCTTGAGATCTTAGACCAAATCAGGCAATCCACTTCTTCTCAAAGACAAGGACTAGATTTTCTTGCTGGTATTTATCCAGTGATAAAGGCCATCCAAGCTGCTGTGACCCTTGGTACAGGATGTTCACTGGGTCCTGAGGGACCTAGCGTCGACATTGGAAAGTCATGTGCCAACGGTTTTGCACTCATGATGGAAAACAACAGAGAAAGGAGAATAGCTCTCACTGCAGCTGGTGCGGCTTCTGGGATTGCATCTGGTATAGTATACACCCTACGTCTTTTTAAACAGCTTATGCACCTTCTGAATTGGTATAGATGTATTATTGGATTGTCAATGCGCAGAACAACAACATAGCTCCTTCGCTCTAGTATATTGCTGTTTAACATTAGCTTTAATCTGCTGAATTTGACTAATAAATGTCCATACTAGGTTCCTGGTATCTTTTTGGCTTATGCAATCTTTATGGCCCCTGGTTCTTTTCGCTCACTCTCTTGGTCCCAGAAGTGTGTATGTACTTTATAGCCTACAAATGTGCCTATGGTTCTTAGGTTCTATTACTGGACAAAGCATATAGCTGAGAGTATTTACTGAAAAATAGTTTACTTATGGCTAATTTGAAGTATGATTTATGGGTAATGGTGTTTCTTACTAAAGATAAGAGCCCTAAGATAGGCACTACGTTTCTCTTTTTTCCCAGGCAGGAACTCAATTCGCTGCACTGTGGCTTGTTCACTGTTATAATTCTGATTTTATTCAGTCTTTATTTCTCGTTACAGGTTTCAATGCAGCAGTGGCGGGTTGTTTCTTTGCTATCGAGACCGTTTTAAGACCTCTACGGGCCGAGAACTCGCCTCCATTTACCACTGCAATGATAATATTGGCCTCTGTTATATCATCGACCGTGTCAAATGCACTGCTTGGGACTCAATCAGCTTTCACAGTTCCCTCATACGACCTTAAGTCAGCTGCAGGTATGCTTCTTTCACTGTTAATCTATATTGCAAACCTTCCAGTTAGTCTTGTGGTAGGATTTTTTTGTAGCTTATATGAATCTTGGTATCTTTGAGTAATGAAATGCCGATATTTATTTGCTTCATCGAGTGTTTGTGTATAAGTTTCCGAACATGTTTTCACTTGTCTCCAGAGCTCCCTCTGTACCTGATATTAGGCATGCTTTGCGGTGCTGTCAGCGTTGTTTTTTCTCGTCTCGTCACTTGGTTTACGAAGTCATTCGACTTCATCAAAGACAAATTTGGTCTTCCTGCTATTGTGTGCCCTGCACTAGGTGGTTTAGGAGCTGGAATTATTGCTCTCAAGTACCCTGGAATTTTGTATTGGGGGTTTACAAATGTTGAGGAAATCCTGCATACTGGAAAAAGTGCTTCAGCTCCTGGAATCTGGTTATTAGCTCAGTTAGCCGCAGCCAAAGTTGTGGCTACAGCTCTTTGCAAAGGCTCTGGGCTTGTAGGCGGTCTATATGCACCAAGTTTGATGATTGGTGCTGCTGTTGGTGCTGTATTTGGGGGTTCGGCTGCTGAGATTATTAATAGAGCTATTCCTGGTAATGCTGCTGTTGCTCAACCACAAGCTTACGCTCTGGTATTGTATTCCCTTTGTCGCAGGCCCTTGCTTCAGTGCAGTTTTTCTAAAATAAAATTTTAGTACTGTCCAATTTGATTGTTATGAAATCTGACACATCGTTTTATGTGATGCAGGTTGGAATGGCAGCGACTCTAGCTTCAATGTGCTCTGTTCCTTTAACATCAGTATTACTGCTGTTCGAGCTAACGAAAGATTATAGAATTTTGCTTCCCCTCATGGTAAATATTCTCTTTCCCGGTCTGTTTCAGTGGTGCTTATCGTGGAAATTCGCTCAAGTAGTTTTCGAGTTTACCTGTTTAAATAATCAAGCAGTAAAGCCCTTGTTGAAACTATGCATTGTACCACACACCATGTCACTGTAATATTACGTTTTTAACCAGAGTTCGAGAGCTAGTTAGGTTGTACGTAGATAGAAAACATTATTTTTCCACTAAATATCTGCATTCTGGTTCATATTTTGATCAAGTTGTTCTTGATCTGATCTCTTTGTCGATTTCTACTAACAGGGAGCTGTTGGTTTAGCAATATGGGTTCCCTCTGTGGCAAACCAAGGCAAAGAGAGTGATTCATCTGATGGTCGTAACACAGGAAGAGGATACTCTACCCTTTTACCTTCCGAGCGTAAAACCGAAGGCGTCTGGAGACACACTGATGATGCTGACTCCCTTGAGCTTACAGTCATAGAGAACCCTGACCATGATTCCTTTTTGGATGAAGAAACTATTCTGGAAGACCTAAAGATAATGCGGGTTATGTCAAAGAACTACGTGAAAGTTTCTTCAGGAACAACTCTAAGAGAAGCAAGAAACATCCTTAAAGACAGCCACCAAAACTGCCTTATGGTGGTCGATGACGATGATTTTCTAGCCGGAATTCTAACACACGGCGATATCAGAAGATACTTGTCAAATAACGTCTCTACAATCTTAGATGTAAGTAGTGATACAAAACAAACTCCCTCAGTCTCATTACTTGTCTCGTTAAACTAAAGGTTATTTGAATTAAGTCTTTTGTCTCTTGCAGGAGAATACATGTCCGGTTTCTTCTGTGTGTACTAAGAAAATAAGCTACAGAGGCCAAGAACGTGGTTTACTTACTTGTTATCCAGATGCGACGGTTGGTGTAGCCAAGGAGTTGATGGAGGCAAGAGGTGTGAAGCAATTACCTGTTGTAAAACGAGGTGAAGTAATTCACAAAGGAAAACGAAGGAAACTGCTTGGCCTCCTTCATTATGACTCCATTTGGAGTTTTCTCAGGTAAAAAAAAACCATCTGTGTTTACTCGACTCAAAATCGAAATTGACCAAAAACCAAAGTTAATTGTTTTGTTTTTTGTAACGCAGAGATGAAATGAGTCGTAGGAGATCGATCAACGACCGGAGAAAAGACAAAGAGGTTGGTGCAAATGGGCATTGATTGGGTTTGTCCCCATTTTGGTATAGCTTTTTAATTTCTTCTTTTTAATTTTTGAGGTCCAATTGATTAGAACGAAGAAAACAAGATCGTAAAAATAATATTAATATACACCTCTGTATTAGTTTTGAAAATATTGTTCTCACTAAAGTAACAGACTCATATCATATAATCAAAAGAAATCTAGTGAAATAGATACTACATTTGTTGGCCACTCTCTATTTAAAGCCGAACTATTGTTTGGAAGTCTTTAAGCTCTTGCCAAATTTCTCGAGCCAAACCAAATTTGCAACCCATCCTTGAACTTAGAGTTAGCTTGTTGCGTAAAGCAGTGAAGTCGATTACGCGCATGCCGATCTATGAGTTTGTTAAGCTTCTCCGGAGGAGTCGGGATATCGCCATGTCTTCGACAGTTCCGTTCACGCCAAATAGAGTGAACTGAAGTTTGGAAGACATACCTAAGGATAAAGTTTGTAGTGGAAGCATATGTGGAACCAGAGAGCATCAAAAGGAGATCATCATAAATCCATATTACTATATTCAGAATCCACAATCTTATTATAAATTATTGTTTTTATTGCATTATGATAATGCCATTATCCACCCTTACATTGATTAATCTAATAATATGCTCATGGTTGATTTTTTATTATTAAATTAGATTTCTTTTGCATGAATGTGATGTACAACTGTTAAATTAAAGTTGGGAACTAAATCTTGAAAATGTTTCATCTTGATGAGTAAATCATATACAGAAGATCCATAAAGATAGCGTAATGACTGAAAATGGACCCATGATTTGCACTGAAAAGAGGCTTTTACAGTTAACTTGTTAAGAAAATAGGGGCAAAATTAATAAACGGTTGACTAATTGATTGGAATGTGATTGAATTTTGTTGGCTATAAATAAATATTGGTAAGCGGGTGACGAAAATGTGAATTGCTTAGCTTTTTCTTCATTATTAGGTCGGTTCTTAATGTCAAACAAAATTATCAAAATATAAGCGTAATCATATTCGATAAATCAACAAGAAAAGTGCAACTAAACTAGAAAATCAATTTTAATATTCAAAGTGTTATCTCCGATAAATCATTTTAGATATGTGAACTTTGTATATTGAAAGGTGTCGAGAGTCATGCATGAACTATTCGTCAATTTCCTTTTACCTAATATTAATAATGATACGTTGGACCATTAAAATGTCTTTTTCTGCCTTTTTTTAATTTCTTCTTTTACAAGTTATGGACTACTAAAAAGAAGAAAATAAGTATATCCATATAAAAAAAAGTGATTATAATTTAGACAAATAAGAGAATAATACTGGGTTGATTAGGATATGGGTCATCATTAGAAAAATAGTCGTTTTCATGAAGTCATCATCCACCTTTCATTACACACAAAAAGGACCAATTACATTTTGATTAATGATGGTATTATATATAGAATATGTAACGAAAATTGGAATATAATGTACGTGAAGTACTTATAACGAATTTTCATTTTAATAACTATTTAATCAAAATTTCAGTAGTAAAAGAAAGAAGAAGTCATAGATTTATGATTGTTTTAGCTACAAAAATCTCATCTTTCAAATTTAGGGTGGGATTAGTAGCTTTGAATTGCGACGATATGGATTTACGAATTTCGATGTTAGCCTGTAACTAATCACAAAAACGATACTAAATAAAATATTTTCAGTTTTGTTGTACCGTTCTTTTTACTCGTTATTTTGAATCGTTTTTTACTATATATACCGTTATTCGTTTTCTCTACACGTTTAAAAATTTTCCATGCTTTGTGTTACCAGTCCGATCTGACCACAAATTTTTCTTTCAAAATATTATACTTTATTTTTTAGTCACTGAATAATACTTTTTTTTTGTCAGAAAGTCACTGAATAATACTATATCACACCAAACATATATATGTACTTAGTGGGCATGGGGAGAATCTTTAGAGAGTAGAAAGAGGTCACAAAATATGCGCTCGTGCGGAAGAGAATACTGACAAAACAGGTACCCGGCCCAACCCTACGGCCCACGCGCGTCGAAACCGATTCCGGCTTTTCATAAAAACCCTTCCTCTTTTAATTTCTTTTATTATCTAACCTATAATTATTAAATTGATTTCCTAGAACCATTCTCTTTTTCCTCACCATATTTTTAATTCAAATATTCCGACCCTATTGTTATTTACATCGAACATCACACAAGCTAAATAGTTTAGAACCATACTCTAATTTTTTAATGTTTTCAATGTGTATAAACTATGTTATGAGTTAACACTTCGAGAAATTTTTTTGTTTTTCCCGTGATCGATAGCTCATTTTTACATGTGAATGTCACGGATTTTGGAATTAATGTTCAATTTTCTGTTTATTTATTAGCTAGGTTGCATGGAAACGGAAACGGAAACGCGGAAGCGAAACGTGTGGAAACGTCGAAACGGATTTTTAAGAAAATTACGTAATGGAAACGTTTTGGAAACGTGTATATATATATATGAAAGAATGAAACATTAAACATCAAAATAATATTAAAAACATATTTTAAATAGTATAAATCATTAAAAAAATTAAATAGTCTAACTAAAATAATGATAACAACACTCAAAATCAAAAATTAAGACCATATATTATGATCACAAATAATAAAATAAGTGTTTCATATTCCTCATACTAATTAAGATTTACAGAAAAAATATCAAATATATACTTATATTTCTAAAATTAATTAATTTTTATGTTTCAAAAGAAAAAATTAAGTTTCCGATGTGTTTCCATCGCGTTTCCAAAATGACTTTTTAAGGAAACGTGTTTCCATGACGTTTCCACGCGTTTCCAAGAGTTTCTGATTCCGAAACGTTTCCGAAACGGGAAACGCACCTCGGATGGAGTTTCCATGCAACATAGTTTATTAGGCTTGTATTTGGTTTATTACATATTTACATGTTGGCATAAGTGCTATGGAAAAGTATATAAGGTCTCATTTAATATTTATATACTACCCCAAAATGAGATGTAAATACTTTTTTAAAAATAAATTATTGGTATCCAACATTTAGAGAAGCTTTTTGAAAAATGATTTTTGTAACTAGTTTTGGTATCCAACATTTAATATTTTTGTTAACTAGAATTGGGTCAAGCAAAAACTTATTCAACATTTCAACTTGTTGTATAACTAGTTGAAGTAAGTGTATATAAATGTAAAAAGATCTTTAAGGTGCTTCTCTTAGTTTATTCACAAAGTGTACTTATAGACTAACTAATAGAGCTATTAATTATGGGCTTAGGTAGAAATTGGATAAAATGCTACATTGTCAAAAAGTTAAACGGCAAACTACATAAATAGAGACAAAACACGAGGCCACAACAAATATACAAAAGGAAACGAAAAGGACCAAAGGCAAAATTAAGAACAATATTTGTTAAATTTCTTTTAAATTTAATAAGCTAGTGCTTCGTGCCGTGTAGGGTTAGAAAGTTGCATAAATGCGTAGAAACATACGAGAACTAAGGAAAAAAGTAGGCCTTTATCGTAACAATCGTCAAATGTATCATATTTTTATTTTCTTTGTATAGGTTAGGTGTTACTACTATTTATATGGGAACAAGAGACCTATAATCTCGATACGTGCCGGTTAATTCATCTAACCCCCAAAAAAGTAAGATAAAGGGTGATAATAATTTATTAGAAACGTTAAATAAATCGAATCCTAGTGTTTGACTAAAAGTCCCATTAAGATTTTATCACCAACGGGCAAAAGTGAAAGAAAAAAAAACAGCTGTTGTACATATTTGAAGATTATTTAGCGTTTTGTATCCTAAATAATAAATCTCAAATATCTCAGTTCTATTTTCTATTTTATAAATTATATAGGTTGATTCGGTCGACTTAAGTGAAAACGCACTAAAATGTTATAGAGTATACTACTTTCCGAAAGACTACCACACTGCCTATTCCAAATTTGGAATGCTTTTCAACTAATTCTTGTTTTCAAAAAAATTCAAACTATGGAAATAATGTTTTAGCACATTCCCAAATCTAACCAATCACTGAATATGTACAAATCTAACCAACCACAACCATGCGGACAAATATCTCACAGTTTTGTTACTACGTACTATTTGAAGGTAACTCATAATTAGTAGTTAGAATATGTACACTAAGATAACTTTTCTAAAGCAGTAAAATTGAATACTAAATCATCAAAACAAGTAACTACAATAGTGAAACATTTATTTTTCTGATTAAAATAATGTAAGATTATTAGATAGAGATTACAAAGAGAAAACTAATCTTTAGTATCATGATTATGTTTTTCTCTTCTTTTTCTGTAGGATTATGTCTTCATTTATCTGCTTTTCCTTTTTTCTTGTCCTTTTTTTCTTCTTCTTTTTAAAATTTTGTTCTCTATTGCTTTTGCAATTTCCCCTCAAAGATAAAAATTAAAAAACTATTGAAAATAAATAAAGAAATCATTCACTTTAGAATTAGAGACCTTTGATATTTCTTTCCAAACAAAGACTAAATAAACCATAAACTCCTCAATTACGCAACGATTAAGAAACAGAACTTTTTTTTCCGAGAGAAATTCACTTTTTGTTGTTCTCTTTCTCATTTCTGGGTGATGGTCTTGCTAGAAAAAGTTTCCTCTCTATGTAAGCACTTCTCTCTTTGCTACAGAATCTTAAACCATCTGATTTTGGAAAGAACAGAAGAAAAAAAATCGAAACTTTGTTTTTTTTTTATAATCCGACCATCTCTGCAACATCGTACTTGAGCAGCAGACACAGTATCTAACAGACAACCTCTGTTGTCCTCTTCATCAGCGAAACTCTGTCTCTGCCTCTCTTCTTCCGTCACCATCAAACTTAGTTTCTACTCTTCTTCGTCTTCTTCTTCTTGAACAAGGTTCTATATTTAGATCGACTTTTCCTTGAAAAATATTTGTTTCTTTGTACCAAAAAAAGCTTACTCTGTTTTTTTTTTGTTGTTTGTTTTTTTCAGGAGTTGAGCACAGTGAAGATAAACTTTTTTTTCCTTCATGTCCGTAAGAGAAGATTCTTACTCGTTTCAGAAATTCAATTCAACCGCAGAAATTCAAAGCTTGGAGTTTCAACATCTATAAAGGAATTTAATCGAACACTTGGTGTGCCAAATGAAGCAGAAATGGCTGTCCCTGTTAGTGTTGATACTCTGTTTCTTTGCGACTTCTCTTGTGATGGGCATTCATGGAAAACACCTAATCAACGAGGACTTCAACGAAACTGCTCTGTTAATGGCGTTCAAGCAAATCTCTGTAAAATCTGATCCAAATAACGTTCTTGGTAACTGGAAATACGAGTCGGGTCGTGGCTCATGTTCTTGGCGAGGCGTTTCTTGCTCTGACGACGGTCGAATAGTTGGATTAGATCTCCGAAACGGTGGACTCACCGGAACCCTAAACCTAGTTAACCTCACGGCGTTGCCTAATCTCCAGAATCTTTACCTGCAAGGAAACTATTTCTCCTCTTCCTCTGGAGGAGATTCGTCTGGTTCTGGTTCTGATTCTGATTCTTCCGGTTGTTATCTTCAAATTCTGGATTTATCTTCGAACTCGATCTCAGACTATTCAATGGTGGATTACGTTTTCTCAAAATGTTCGAATCTGGTTTCTGTGAATTTCTCCAACAACAAGCTCGTCGGAAAATTGAATTTTGCTCCGTCGTCTTTAAAGAGCTTGACGACTGTTGATCTCTCTTACAATATCTTATCGGAGAAGATTCCTCAGAGTTTTATCTCAGATTTTCCGGCGTCGTTGAAATATCTCGATCTAACTCACAACAACTTATCCGGCGATTTCTCCGATCTCAGTTTCGGTTTCTGTGGGAATCTCAGCTTCTTCAGTCTCTCACAGAACAATATCTCCGGCGATAAATTCCCAATTACTCTACCTAACTGCAAATTCCTCGAGACGTTAAACATCTCTCGGAACAATCTCGCCGGAACAATCCCCGGCGGAGGATATTGGGGAAGTTTCCAGAATCTAAAGCAGCTCTCTCTAGCTCACAACCGTCTCTCCGGCGAAATTCCACCGGAACTTTCTCTACTCTGCAAAACCGTAGTGGTTCTTGATCTCTCCGGAAACGCTTTCTCCGGCGAGCTCCCTCCACAGTTCACCGCCTGCGTCTCCTTACAGAACCTTAACCTCGGAAACAACTACCTCTCCGGTGATTTCTTAAGCACCGTCGTGAGTAAAATCACCGGAATCACTTACTTATACGTTGCTTACAACAATATTTCAGGCTCTGTTCCAATTTCTCTCACCAACTGTTCAAATCTTCGTGTTCTTGATCTAAGCTCAAATGGTTTCACCGGAAATGTTCCGTCTGGTTTCTGCTCTCTGCAAAGCTCTCCGGTTCTTGAAAAAATTCTCATAGCTAACAATTATCTCTCAGGAACAGTTCCTATGGAGCTTGGTAAATGCAAAAGCTTGAAGACAATTGATCTTAGCTTCAATGAGCTTACTGGTCCGATTCCGAAAGAGATATGGATGTTACCGAATCTGTCGGATTTGGTTATGTGGGCGAACAATCTCACTGGAAGAATCCCAGAAGGTGTTTGTGTTAAAGGTGGAAACTTGGAAACTCTTATCCTCAACAACAATCTTTTAACCGGTTCAATCCCTGAGTCGATCTCGAGATGCACCAATATGATCTGGATCTCTCTTTCTAGTAACCGTCTGACCGGGAAAATCCCTAGCGGGATCGGTAATCTTTCCAAGTTAGCAATCCTGCAGCTCGGGAACAATTCCTTGTCCGGAAATGTTCCTCGCGAGCTCGGGAACTGCAAGAGTCTGATATGGCTTGATCTGAACAGCAACAATCTAACCGGGGACCTCCCGGGTGAGCTAGCTAGCCAAGCCGGGTTAGTAATGCCTGGGAGCGTTTCAGGTAAACAGTTTGCATTTGTGAGGAACGAAGGTGGAACAGACTGCAGAGGTGCAGGTGGGTTAGTAGAGTTTGAAGGCATTCGTGCAGAACGATTAGAGCGGTTACCAATGGTTCATTCGTGTCCCGCGACACGGATATACTCAGGCATGACAATGTACACATTCTCAGCAAATGGAAGCATGATATACTTCGACATCTCCTACAACGCAGTTTCGGGTTTTATACCTCCTGGTTATGGTAACATGGGCTATCTCCAAGTCTTGAATTTGGGACATAACCGGATAACTGGAACCATCCCGGACAGTCTTGGAGGATTGAAAGCGATTGGTGTTCTTGATCTATCTCACAACAATCTTCAAGGGTACTTACCTGGATCGCTGGGATCGCTTTCTTTCCTCAGTGATCTCGATGTCTCTAACAACAACCTCACTGGTCCAATCCCATTTGGAGGTCAGCTTACAACGTTCCCTGTCTCTAGATACGCAAACAATTCTGGCCTCTGTGGTGTTCCTTTGCGTCCGTGCGGTTCAGCTCCTCGGCGGCCCATTACCTCCCGAGTCCATGCAAAGAAGCAAACTGTTGCAACCGCTGTGATCGCTGGAATCGCGTTTTCTTTCATGTGCTTTGTGATGCTAGTCATGGCGCTTTACAGGGTGAGGAAAGTTCAGAAGAAGGAACAGAAGAGGGAGAAATACATTGAGAGCCTTCCAACTTCCGGAAGCTGCAGCTGGAAGCTCTCTAGCGTTCCTGAACCGCTTAGCATCAACGTTGCTACATTCGAGAAACCGCTGAGAAAACTCACTTTCGCGCATCTTCTTGAAGCTACAAACGGGTTTAGTGCAGAGACTATGATCGGATCTGGTGGGTTTGGAGAAGTCTACAAGGCTCAACTCAGAGACGGATCTGTTGTGGCGATCAAGAAGTTGATTCGAATCACGGGACAAGGCGATAGAGAGTTCATGGCTGAGATGGAAACAATCGGAAAAATCAAACACAGAAACCTTGTTCCGCTTTTGGGATATTGCAAGGTTGGTGAAGAGAGGCTTCTTGTCTATGAATACATGAAATGGGGAAGCTTAGAAACCGTTCTTCACGAGAAATCATCGAAGAAAGGCGGAATATTTCTAAATTGGGCCTCAAGGAAGAAGATCGCGATTGGGGCTGCAAGAGGGCTAGCGTTTTTGCACCATAGCTGCATTCCTCACATAATCCACAGAGACATGAAATCAAGCAATGTTCTTCTGGATGAAGATTTCGAAGCACGTGTCTCGGATTTTGGAATGGCGAGGCTGGTCAGCGCTCTAGACACACATCTGAGCGTGAGCACACTCGCGGGTACTCCAGGATACGTTCCACCGGAATATTACCAGAGTTTCCGGTGTACGGCCAAAGGGGATGTTTACAGCTACGGAGTTATACTTCTTGAGCTTCTCTCTGGTAAGAAACCAATTGATCCAGGGGAGTTTGGAGAAGACAATAATCTCGTCGGGTGGGCGAAACAGCTCTATAGAGAGAAAAGAGGAGCTGAGATTCTTGATCCCGAGCTTGTAACAGAGAAATCAGGCGATGTTGAGCTGTTTCATTACTTGAAGATCGCGTCTCAATGCTTGGATGATCGACCGTTCAAGCGGCCCACAATGATTCAAGTGATGGCAATGTTCAAAGAACTCAAGGCTGATACAGAGGAAGACGAAAGTCTCGATGATTTTTCGCTTAAGGAAACTCCATTGGTCGAAGAATCGCGAGATAAGGAGCCTTAAGAGTGATCGAGAGAATTGGGAATGCTTTGTTACTTCTTCCAAATTTTGGTGTCAGTGTATATAACAGACGAAGCTTGAGCAAGACAAGTGAATCGGGAAGAAGAGGTAGACATTGACGAGTTCTTGTAGCTGCCAAGCTTCTGATTTGGCTTGGAGGTTTTTTTCTCTGTAGTTAACTTGTTAAACACGGTAAGAGAAGTTTGTCGTTGTAAGGTTTTGTAAGTTCCCGTTTAAGAAATTATTCGATCATGGCATTTATTTTAGAAAGTCGGAACTAAATTTTGTTAAGAGTGTAAAAGAATTTGATGTCTTATTTCGTTTTCCGTTAGTTTAGAAAGTCGAAACCAAAAAATTGAGTCTCAACTCTCAACTATTACATTTCTCTGTTAGTCAAGGTAAAGTATCATGTCCTAGCAGGAAAAGGATACTGTACATGAAAATACTAAACGGGCTGTCATGGACCGAAATTTTAAAAGCCCATTAATGAGCTCAGGCTGCCATCACTTGCTTCTGGTTTATCCAGTTTTGTATTCGATTTCGTAACTTTTTGTGTATTATATAAATTAGTGAAAGAAAAAAAAATGTCTATACGATATTATTACACTCGAAACATAGAAATTGGTATGTATACCTAAATCGGTGTGAAAGGAAAATAATCTATTCCTAAATCCTCATACTTATTTAGTTTCTATCTGTGGGTGAATATTTTAAGAGATTAACAGTGGGGAGTGACAATACATAGACAGACTTACAGTATATGATTATGGCTATTTAAAGAAAACTATATTCTTCTAAATTTTATATGCACTTGCCATTTTTCTTGGTCAACAATTTTTTTTGTCATATTTATGTTATTTCCGTATTTGAGTTAACCACTAAAGATATATGAGTTTTAAAACTGAACCAAAATTAACCGAAATGTTTTGGTTTACACATGGTGAAGATCATACCGGTGGTACCACCAACACAAATTGATAAAATCTTATTATTTTGTTCAATTATAAAGTTTACTAAGCAACATTTTGAAATTTTAATATTTTTATAATAATGTTGACTCGACTGGCAGAGTCCGATCGAGTTTAATAACACTGATGTTTTTTTTACAACATCAATTAATGATTATTAGTTTAAAATTTATTAATATAGTAATTATACAAACAATCTATATATTTTTTTTGTTACTAATTGATCTAACAAATATAAGATCACGGTGATAATCAATCTAGTTTAATTATGTTATATTAATAACGTTTATTAGTATGATGTTTCATATATGATGACATTAATATAAACCGATCTAGTATATATAAGTTGACTGGACTGGTAGAGTCTGATCGAGTTTAAAAACACTGAATTTTTTTGACAATAACAATTATTGTATAATGATTATTAATTTTTGTTCGAAAGAGTAATTATTCTCATGCAAATTGTATGACCTAAAATTTATTAGAATATACGAACAATCTATATATTTGTTAGATTTTTTTTTTACTATCTCATTTAGGAAATATAAAATCACGGTGATACTCAATCTAGTTTAACTCCGTTATATTAATAACATTTATTAGAATAATGTTCCATATAGTGCGACATTAATATAAACCTAAAAAAAAAAAATATGATAAATGGTTATTTTTTAAATATGGTTTAAAATTAATTCGAATGTACATAAAACATATATTTTTGTTGACTGTTGATTTAATAAACATAAGATCGCAATGTTACTCAATCTAGTTCAACTCCGTTATATTAATACCATTAATGTGTGGGATACGGAGATATTTCTATAAAACACAAAATTAAACAGGTAATAACGGTTATTTTTTTTAATCCGGTTTAATTTGTTATGTACACTAGAATTTAGTGATTTTATAATTAAATTAAATTTATTAATGATAATCCCAATCACGTCGAAATTTAAATGATTTTAAATATTATAATCAATCAATTTTTATCATTATGTTTACCAATAAAAGTTTGTATATCGATAATGAAGGAAACTCGGTTTTGTTTTCATTTTTTTTTTATCATTAGTCTTTCGGTATTGGTTTTACTTAACCGAACCGAAGTACAAACCAAAATAAAAATTAAAAAAGAAAAACTCTTTAAGGATTGCTGACATAGTGAATGACGAAAGTTTGACCATGTAAAATTGTTTCCAAAATAAAATGGTTACAAACTTTGCTATATAAGAACACTATATTCCTCCTATGCAATACATACCCCCTCTATCTTTTTCTTTCGTTTGCGGCTATCTTCTTCTGAAGAAAAAGGTTTCTCCTCTTACATCTACAAATTATGTCGTTATTTCATTAATATACCAATCATTTGATTCTAAATCTCACAAAATTATCACTTTTACACTAGATTCTGTTTCTTGACATCTTAGGGGTTTGTCAAAAATGAGTGATTTTGATGGAAACTTCATAGAAATGACGTCGTATTGGGCTCCACCGTCCAGCCCTAGCCCAAGAACGATATTGGCGATGCTGGAGCAAACCGACGATGGTATGAATCCGATAAGTGAGATCTTCCCTCAAACCAACATACCAAGAGATCATGATACTGATCAGTCTGGACAAAGATCTGGTCTCCGTGAGAGATTAGCTGCAAGAATAGGATTCAGTCTTCCAACACTCGATGCAGAAAACATGAGTCCTTTGGATGCATTTTTCAGGAGTTCGACTGTTCCTAATTCTCCTGTCGTTGCAATCTCTCCAGGATTTAGCCCATCAGCACTATTGCAATCTCCCAATATGGTCAGTGATTCTTCACAGGTAAGTATTACTGTCTTTTTTTGTTTTATGATTGTTTTAATTTATAATACATATATAGTTTATATGATAAACAGTAAAAATATATCTGTAATTGAACCAATATTTGGGAATATGATTACGTATGTTATTATAATTCTATTTCGTGTAACATATATAAAAAGTAGTAATATTGTTGTCAAAAAAAAAAAAAGGTAAATATCTATCGGTAAACACAGAATCTATTATTTCCTTTTGTTTAAGTTTGATACTATTTTTCATACCTATTTTCATACTTTTTTTTTTTTTTCTTTTACAAATGTTTGTCCCGGACTAATTTATTTTGTTTATGATTTTATGAATAAATTTTGATGCCCTGTAATTTTTTTTTCAAATGTCTTTTTTTAATCTACGTTTACATTTACATAAAATTACGTTTGAAGCCATCGGGATCTTTAGCCTCAATTCTAGAACCCTAACTACAATAGTCTTTGGTACCTTCTTGTTCCAGATTATCCCTCCGTCTCCAGCCACCAATTACGGACCTCCGGAGATGGTGGAAACTTCCGGTGAAGACAATGCAATGACGATGGCATTCAACAATGATTTTCCTTATCAGCCGTACAATGTTGATCTGCCTCCTCTAGAAGGTAATTGATTTGCTTGTGTCTCAAGTTTGCTTCCATTCTCAATTTTCCGAATCTTTTTGTCAGATTTTTCTTACTTGTGAAACAGTCTTTGATGATATTCCAACGGAAGAGTCCTTTTATATCCCATCTTATGAACCTGATGTTGACCCAATTGGAACTCCTTTAGTGGCTTCCTTTGAATCTGAACTCGGTGACGTTGACCCAATTGGAACTCCTTTAGTCGCTTCCTTTGAATCTGAACTCGGTGACGTTGACCCAATTGGGACTCCTTTAGTCGCTTCCTTTGAATCTGAACTCGGTGACGATGCCCATATCGACATCATTTCCATTGAAGACAGTGAGAGCGAAAATGAAAACAAAGATGAAGACGACGAGGACTACCAATTCGATTACGAAGACGAAGACCAAGATGTATATCTAGATGAAGAGGAAGATGAAGACAATGTTGCATTAGACGATGATGCTCAACCTTCAGCTCCAAAGAGAAGGTCCCAACAAAACTTATAACATCATAATCAATAAAACTTTGAACAAAATCTTATTTAAGTTAACCATTACATATATAAACTCTTGCAGGAGATTTGATCAGGCATCAAACAATATTGGAGCCACAAGAACAAGCAAGACACAAAGGGTCATACTTCAAATGGAAACCGACGAAGACAATCCTAATGATGGTTATCGCTGGAGAAAATACGGTCAGAAAGTCGTCAAAGGAAATCCTAATCCGAGGTTGTTATATATCTCACCATCTTCTTTGTCTCTTTTCCCTAACCGATTTAATCATCTTACACATTAATGTTTTTTTATATGTTAATGTGTAGGAGTTACTACAAATGCACAAACAATGAGTGCAAAGTGAAGAAGCATGTGGAGAGAGGAGCAGACAACAATAAGTTAGTTGTGACTACATACGATGGGATACACAACCATCCTTCACCACCTGCACGTAGAAGCAATACCGGTGGAAGGAATCGGTCTGCAGGTACAACAATGCCTCAAAATCAGATGGATCGAACCAGTCGGTTAGCTAGGGATCATCCTCCTCCGGCTCGCACACCTGTGGAGATGAGGCCTTTCTCTTCGATGGCTCCACAAGTTGATCTGACACAGGTTTATATGAGCGGAATCTCTAAGCTGCCGAATATACCAGTTTACCAGCTGAATCCGGGGTTTATGTACCGGAATGATGAACCGATGATGAATGTGATGCCGGATGGTTCAGATGTGTACCCGATGATGAATGTGATGCCGGATGGTTCAGATGTGTACGGTGGGATCATGAACCGCCTACTTGTTAAGTTTGGTGTGGACATTTAGATGTAACCCTTCTTTTTTTTCTTATAATCCTCATCGTCAATGATATACAACAACTTGTATTTTCATGATCAGCTTAATTATAAATATTGAATAAACTATTTCTTTTCGATGCTTTCACTCATTTAATTTCTAACAGTTAGAGATGTTTAATCTAGAAAATGGAACCAATCTAACTAATAGAAATTTTGATTTTCTAATCCAAACTAATTAAATTCAAGCAAAACCGAGGAAAAAAAATTATGGGCTGATTAGTAACGAGCAATTGTGACATCTCCGAGAAACAACAAAAACATAAAAGAAAAACGAAATCAACAGTCAGCGAAATAAATAAAACAACTATGAAAATCAAGAAAACAAAAAAATATCATTGATGAACATATACACATGTTCGTAAGATGAACAAAATCTCTATAACGTCATCACGGTATTGCTTTGTCTACATTCGGGAAAGAGCAATGGCGTCAGTCATCACTTACTTTTTCCAGAAGTGTAGACAAAGAAGCACAGAGATGACGTGTTACTATTCTTCTGTAGTCGCAAGCTCTAAACTCTGCAGAAGAACAAGTATCTGTGTGTAATTTATAAGAGGCCTGGCTTCTCTAGGGTTACAACAATCTGAAAACCCTATAAGAATCTCTAGCGAAGTCGCCGCCGCTAAAAGGAACTCGAAATAGCGTGTTGACCAAATTTGTATAACATGGGCTAAGCCCAACTTGTTTTAAAAGCCCAATATTTACACAATCTGCAGAATAAAATTAAAATATTCAAAATCTGAACCGAAATTCGAATTGAACCGGTTTCTACGAGGTTTGTCTATGGTTTGAATTTAAACCGATGGTTAAATGAGCCGGAGAAGTCGGTAAGAATATGACTAATCCTGCGTCCAAACAATATCTTTGGTCTTTCTAAATCGTGTCAACGGCTCAAAAGGGGAAGAAGAAGATTGAAGAAGCATTGGAGATTGAGAATTCAGCCATGGAGGAAGTGACGAGATCTGTGTTAGCGGAGGAGATACTAAAGCGTTTAGATCTGGAGAATCTCTGTTCCGTTGCCTGCGTTTCCACCACTCTCCGCTCCGCCGTTGTCTCCGGCGTTCTACCTTCTCTTACCTCTCTCGATCTCTCTGTGAGTTTCCGATTCTCTGCAATTCGGAGGTTTATGTATCTGGAAATTTATCGAATTTTCGTTTCTCTTAGATTTTCTCTCCGGACGATGAAACTCTGAATCATGTGCTGCGTGGTTGTATCGGACTTAGTAGTTTAACTCTGAATTGTCTCCGCCTTAACGCTGCTTCTGTGCGTGGGGTTCTCGGGCCACATCTCCGAGAGCTTCACTTGCTCAGGTGTTCGCTTTTATCCTCCACCGTCCTCACTTCCATCGGCTCCCTCTGCCCAAATCTCCGGTATAATTTCCATGAACTTTTTGATAGGTGCCTCAATAAATTCTCGTGCTTTTGGTTATGAAAAAGGTGAAATTTGACGAAAAGTCGCAATTTTTGTGAAATAGACTAATTGAATCGAATCGAATCCTCTGTCTTTACTTATTGGGATCATTAGATGTGGCTTCTGTCAATCATATTCTCTGTTTATATGATTTTTTTAGTGTGAAGCATATGGAGTTGAAGTGATGATAAGTGAGTAATTAAGAGGGTTTTTTTTGGTTGAATTACAGGGTTCTTACCCTGGAAATGGCAGACTTGGATTCTCCCGCTGTTTTTCAGTCTAACTTGACGCAGATGCTTAACGGGTGTCCGTATCTGGAGGTAATTTGTTAAAGCTTGCTGAGGCATTGGTCCAAAGAAGCGAGAAAGTGTGAAATTGAATTGGGTTTTATATTCTTGTGATGCTTGCAGTCTCTGCAACTTAATATCCGAGGTATCCTAGTAGATGCCACCGCTTTCCAGTCTGTTAGATTCTCCTTGCCAGAAACTCTCAAAGTTCTAAGGTTACAGCCACTTCTTGAGTCTGAAGCAATTCTTCTCATGAACAGATTCAAAGTCACTGGAACTTATTTGTCTCAGGCTGATTATAGTGCCTTGCTTTCTCCTTCACCTTCTTTTACTTTGCAAAGCCTGTCTCTTGTCCTGGACTTGATATCTGATAGGCTAATCATAGCTATCACAGGTTCTCTTCCTCAACTTGTCAAACTGGACCTTGAAGACCGTCCTGAAAAAGAGCCATTTCCTGACAGTGACTTGACTTACACTGGGCTTCAGGCTCTGGGTTATTGTCAGCAACTGACAAGCCTCTCTCTGGTTCGAACTTGTTACAACCGCAAGATATCATTCAAAAGAATAAACGATATGGGTATATTTCTTCTTTCCGAGGCTTGCAAGGGTTTAGAGTCAGTGAGGCTCGGTGGGTTCCCAAAAGTCAGTGATGCTGGTTTTGCATCGCTCCTTCACTCATGTCGGAACTTGAAAAAGTTTGAAATACTAGGTGCTTTCCTGTTGTCTGATTTGGCATTCCATGACGTCACAGGGTCTTCCTGTTCTCTTCAAGAGGTCAGACTCTCGACGTGCCCTCTCATAACCAGCGAAGCCGTGAAGAAACTGGGGTTGTGTGGCAATCTCGAGGTGCTCGACTTGGGCAGCTGCAAAAGTATATCAGATTCTTGCCTCAACTCTGTTTCAGCCCTGAGAAAGTTAACTTCTCTGAATCTCGCAGGAGCTGATGTAACTGATAGTGGCATGCTTGCACTTGGTAAGTCAGATGTTCCCATCACGCAACTGTCTCTCCGCGGCTGTAGGAGAGTCAGTGACAGAGGAATATCCCATCTGTTGAACAATGAAGGAACAATCACCAAAACATTATCAACACTTGATCTCGGTCACATGCCAGGAATCTCAGACAGAGCCATCCACACAATCACACACTGTTGCAAGGCTTTGACAGAGCTGAGTATCAGGAGTTGCTTTCATGTAACAGATTCTTCGATAGAGTCGCTGGCTACAAGGGAAAGACAATCAGAGGGAGGAAGCAAACAATTGAGGAAGCTCAATGTCCATAACTGTGTAAGCTTAACGACTGGAGCACTGAGATGGTTAAGCAAGCCGTCTTTCGCAGGTCTGCATTGGCTCGGATTGGGACAAACACGATTCGCTGGTCGAAAAGAGACGGTTACAGCTACGATTTGTGGACAGAGGCCATGGCTCACGTTGTGCTTTGATGGATGTGAGCTTGGATGCTGTGATGGTTGGGAATTCCACACGCCACAACGCCACTGAAGAACTCAATTGTCTCACTAGTTCATGTATTGTATAAAATCGTTCAGAAACATGATTCAGTAGGATGTGTAATTTATTTAAACTTCTTATACTCATAAGGTCAAAGGTAGTTTCTTATATTTGTAAACTTGCAATAGTAACATGCAGAAAGAACCAAAAACCATGTGATTCGTAAAATAGTTTTTTAAGTTTTAACTAAAACAATTAGTGAAGGATATAAACGATTAAAGTGCCTATATATATATTAGCCTGAGCAGATGGCAACATACACTTAAAATCTGGAGCAAAACCAAGCCAACTACTGAAGATTTGACTTGTGATTGGTTAAGTGGTCACATTGATTAGTTAGTTAATTATGAAAAACAAAATACCCACATTTTCTTATTTATTCACATACTCGCACATTAACGACAAATGTTACCTGAATCAACATCACGTGTCGGTTTCACAAACCGAACACCCGAAAACCAGTCTCTTGTCTTCTCCTTTACATTTCTTGTGGAGTTCCTACAAATTAAAACATTAATTTTCTGTTAGTTCGTTACAATATAGTCATCTATATATTTTTCCTAGCAATTTTCTAGTGTCCTTCAATATATAATTGGTCCACTCACATCTCTTGACTATTCACCAAAAGTAAATAAAAATTTCTTATAGGGAAAAAACCCGAAAAAACCGCCATCTATTTTTTTTGGCCGTTTAATACGTGTGTTTTTAAATTTGGAATAAAAATACCTCATTTAATTTCGATTGTCTTTTAAAACTATCGTTTTTTAAAACTCGGTAATTTCGAACCTGAAACTTAACAGTCGTTACTGGGGGTAACGGAATTATTTAACAGCGTTAAATTTTAACCCCGCGTCTTTATATACATATATACAATCTGTCTGCAATACTTCCAGTTATAGTTTATGTGGCCCGGTGGTAGCAGGTCTCTTTTGGAAACCACCCGACCCTGGGTTCGAGTCTTGAACCTGTTTTTTTTTTTTTTTTCCCTCTTTGTTCTTCACTTCATCTTCTCAGATCTCCAATGTCCAAAGAATCAACAAATCATTTTTAAGAATCACATCGGATTTGAAAACAAAATCATGATCTTGTGGGTATTGTGATAACCCATGAATAATTCGGAAAACAACTTTCAATCTGAAAAAAATGAGAGATTTTTGATATTGAAAATTGGAAATCAAATTACAAATCTCTCTCCTTTGCATCATCGGACACCTCTTGGATTTCTTTATTCAATGAAATCTGCTTCGAAACAGCATATTTCACATCCTCAAACAACACAAATGATCCCAAAGCATTCTCCGATTGATTAAGAGAAGGATTCACCAACGTACCATTCCAAAGAGAGAGAAGCGAAAGCTATTGTTGTCTCGGAAGATACAAAGCACGAAGCTCAGATTCCTTGACACGATTCGACAATGGATCCAGCTTAAAACTCGAGAAATTCGCAGAAAATAGTTCACAAGGACCGGTGAAGAAGACGAAGAACAAAAAAAAAAAAAAAAAACAGATTCGAGACTCGAACCCAGGTCGGGTGGTTTCCAAAAGAGATCCGCTACCACCAGGCCACATTAACTATCATTGGAAGTATTGCAGACAGATTTTATATATTTATATAAAGACGCGGGGTTAAAATTTAACGCTGTTAATAATTCCGTTACGTCCAGTAACGACTGTTAAGTTTCGGGTTCGAAATTACCGAGTTTTAAAAAACGATAGTTTTAAAAGACAATCGAAATTAAATGAGGTATTTTTATTCCAAATTTAAAAACACACGTATTAAACGGCCAAAAAAAAAATAGATGGCGGTTTTTTCGGGTTTTTTCCCATTTCTTATATATAGTTGCATTCTTTTTTTTTTTTTTTTTTTTTTTTTTTTTTATAGATATATTAAAAATGGAGCGATTACATTGGAGCTTGGGTACAAAGCAAGTACTGTTTTAAAAAGAAAAAAGTGAGATATATGGAAAATCAAAAACTTGGTTAACCTACTGCTGGAAGTGGCCAAACCAAAATATAGTTGCATTCTTTGTATATTAAGTAGTCAAAAAGGTAGTAGCAGAGAGATTCAACGTAAATTGATATAAAGAACTAACCAAAATATTCAGTAAATAAAATTACTGGATCACAAAACTTTGGAAAGTATAAAAAGAGCAAAAGTAAAAAAAGTCAAGAAAAAATAGATTGAGATTGATGGATGGAAGTAAATAGAGAGTGGGTGTGTCGAAGAGCATGAGGGATTGCTTCTGTCAGTAAGCATATGAAGTATTTATATTTCACCTAAAGCCCTAAATCCATTTTCTCTTCTTCTTTTTTATAAATATTTTTTTTGACAAAATATTATCCATATATAAGGCCATGGATGCTTTTTAAAAAATTCTTACAAGATTTTTCTTATAAAATATTTTATTTGGATATTAACTTAATTTGTTGGGTGAAGTTTAGGTTTCTATCTACACGCAAAATTGGCTTTCAGCTCATGACAACGTACGTCATCTTCTTCCCATCTTTGTTACATATTTCACCGTCTTGTCATAAGTAATTATTTGATGTTTGATATTCGAGTTAAAAAGTATCGGGCTGATAGGTTATTTTGATATTCTTCCTTAACAGTTAAAATAATGGTATTATCGACCCCCTAATATATAATATTATCACTAACGCCTTCTCCTGTATCAGCATATAGTTGACTTTAGATATACTAAATATGTTGACAACAAAAAAAACAACTAATATAATTTTTTCAACGTAGTATTTTATAAATTCATAATGAAGATTATTAGGAGATACATTGGAACAACAATTAGTAAAATGGGAAAAAAAAAAAACGAATAAATAAATAGATGATATATACATGCAAGTTCGGAAAAACGGTCTATTTCTCCCCAAGAAGTATTGCATCATAACAGATAGAGCCCAAACTTTAACCTCGGTCCTAATGTCCATGAAATGAAAGTTCTATTCCTATTTTCCCATAAATTCAAAGTTCAATACCTGAATGTCCCCGATTTAATAGTTCGAGAGCTAAAACCACACAGAACTGGGTTTAATCGGTTTACTGTATTCAAAACCGATAAACAAACCAACTAAACCTACTTATAACCAGATTAAACCCGTTGACAACCCGATTTAACCGAATACATTTAATTTAATTAATTGTATAATATTTTTGGGCAATTTTTATTGAATAATTAAGAAAATAAAAAAGAAAACACGATGGCTTTCTTCTTCGGTGAACGGTGATGTCGATGCCGGTGATGGTGGCTATAGATCTATTTTGCAACGGCTCCCCTCTTCTTCTTATTCCTCCTCTCCGCCCTGATCTGCTTCACTATTGGAGCTTCATCGGCTTTGATTAAACCCGAATCGAGACCATCCGACATTATCCCATCCAAATTGAAAATTCATCACTGAATCCGCCATTGTCGGCTTGATGGTTTGTGTTGATTCTTTTCTGGGTTTTGTAATTTGTTTCCCGATTGATTTTAAGATGAGAAATTGAACAAACAGAGAGATAATTCAATAAAACAATGTAATAATAGAGATGTTGATTTGGGGTAATTAGATTGTTGTATTTGCAATGTTGCAATTGAACAAGTTTATCTTCAATAACAACACAGTGATTAATGGTGTTTGCAAAAACAGAGACGTGGATAAAACACTGGAGATTGTTAACGGTGCTTCAATTTTTTCAAAAAGATTTGGAATTTGAAGACAAAGAATGAAGAAGAGACGAACAACGTGCTGCAATTTTTTCTTTTTCTTTTTTTTTTTGTTTTATTTATTGAAACCTTCTATATCAAAAGAAAATTTGACATAAGTGGTTTGGTATCAGTTTGATTGGTTTTCTATTAGATTTAGTTCGTAAACCGATTTAACCTAGATTTATGGGAAAATAGATGAAAACTATGGATTCGGGGAGATATAGATTGACAAATATTGTTTCGGGGACATCTAGCATGTAGTCATAGATTGGGCTCTATCTGTTATGATGCGATACTTCTCGCGGGGAAATAGACCGTTTTTCCTGCAAGTTCACAATTCATTTACCATATATGGTTGATCATGAGAAGGATCGGATCTAAATCTGATCATTGCTTTTTGAATTCAGACATAACTAGACGCGTGTATAATGAATATGCGAATAGATATGTGTGCAATGTTTTATTTGTATGTATGTATATAATATATCAATAAATGTGTTAGGGTTAAGAGTGGAACAGAAGGGTATGAAAAAAAGGGAAGAGACGGGAGGCAACGAGACACGAGAGACGAGAGAGATACCTATGAACCACGACTTTTTTTTTTGGTTTAATGTTAAGATCTATGAACCACGACTTGTGTGTTTGTGTTTCATTAATTAAAAATTACTAACATAACTATATAGTATTAAGATCAACCTTTTTCATTTGTTAAACATACTCCTATAACATAAGTATAAATAAGCACACCCTTTTGTTTTATTTTTGACAACTTTGATGCTTTTGTTTCACCCGACAAATCGGCACCTTTTAGGGTTTTCATTACCTGTTTCTTCCCCAAAGACAAATGCCCTTTTTTACCCCATTAATTTACTAACTCTCGATTTAAATATTAATTACTTTGATTATAAATAAGGGAATCGATCAGTACCTTTCTTGGAAATAACGAAAACCCATCATTTTTTAACTCGACAATGGAAAAAGAATTTTCGGGAAACAAGAGGAAACCAGTGGTTGTTTGATTATTCCCCTAAGATTTTCTCTGTCGACACTAACCCTAATTACCAATTAAACAAATGTTTTATTTTTCATTTGGCATCCAAATGGGTGGTCTTAGTTGTCAACGTAAGTATATATGATACTAATGTTAGATATTTTAGTTGTAATTTAATTTGGTCAGACGTTGGCTTTTCTTTTATAGGAATTCTGTACGTATATATTTACAGAGAAAAAGTCTAAGTTATTTTTCTTTTAGTTTTCTAAAATATATTTTATAAGAAGCTGCTAAAGTCTTAGTTGTCGTATGATTTTTTTTTATTAAGATGCTGCTAAATCTAAAAAAAGTTAATTACTAATGTCGTAAATCTTGTACGAAAATTTTAAACAATATTATTAGCATGCGAATATACATAAAATATAAATATAAACATCCACAGAAGAAAGTTTGGAGAGAAACAAGATTTTTGTCCAAGTGATCCCGTTCTCAGAGCTCCGGCCTCCTTAAGCCCTAGACTATATAGTGTACACAGCTAAAATACAATCTTCTATTTTACCAAATCAATGAAATCATCATTTGTATAGTTTTACGGTAAATGAATAACGTCTTATTATCATCTACACTTAGTACATATATATACGGCTCAGTCTTTTTACTTTTTAGAATGTGTTCGTGCCAAACGTAACGTACCCCAATGCCCAACATTATTGAGACCAAAATATTCATTTTCACATTTGTAACACTTGATTAGGGAGTTGTTTTCGGATGATGATCTTCATGATACTATAAAGTATAAACCATATATAACGATTAATGTCAACTCAAAACCAAGCAGCTGAAACGTATTTGGTTTAGAGTTTTTTGGGGACGGATACGGAATAATGATGTTTTTCTTTTATGCGAAGAATTATGAGTTATTAAGTAATTAATTAAACATCAATTAGACATGAGTGAATTGATAAATTTCCATACTTTTCATAAAGTAGTGTTGACTTATTTTGTTTCATTCGTCAAATCTTAACACATACAAGAAAAAAAAAGAAGATATTATTCCTCATTCATCTCGAATTGGCTTTCATTTTTAATCGATTGTAAGTATGCATTAATTAGGGATTAATGGACTTCAATTTCCTGTGACATTATAACCATATATCTCTAATTTAAATCAGCTAACTACAAATTAATTGACCGATGTTACGTTTTTATCTCATTTTTGACGTAGGAACTTTACAATATTTTTTTATCATTTGGATTTTGACTAAATGGCTTGTAAAAGCTAGCTACAATGTTCCATTTTAATCGAAAACTTTATAAAAGAAGACTAAATTATAGGCTTGTGAGACAAAGAGGACGGTCTCTTATATATTATCATCAAGACTATATATATAAATTACTAAAATAAAAAGAAAAAGAAAAGAGCATGAGAAAGTGGAATCTCTCAAAAGATCGAAGAGACAGATTAACAACTCTCTCGTGCAAATTATATTATTAAGCCGCTTGGGTCCAAATAAGGCCATTTCCACAATTTTTAAGGTCTCTTTAAATTTATAACTGTGACGTGACTAATTTAAATCGGACGATTTCAATCAATTAGTTAATAAAACTCACCTAACATCAAAACTTATCATATCGTGTATCTTATATAATATAGAAAGCCTCCACGAAATTTAAAATACATTTGAATCAGATCAGTGGATACATAGAATATCAAATCTTAAAATGCATCTAATATACTAGTGGATCGACTACTTGAATCAAATAAAAATAAATAAAGAGACAAAATGGGATTATATATGTCAAAACGATACACCTAAGATTGAGTTTGACAAAAAAATATAGATATTAGTAGGTTAAACACAAAAGATTAGGTTGTCTCTTTGTTTGAGCTTCCCAAGAAACAAAAAGACACACATCCCAAGAATCCTCCGCCGTCGACAATCTTCGCCGGAGCCATCGTCCTCTTCCGTCATCTGCTTAATCATTTTTTGCCCTAACACCAAAAATTATCGATCTTTTTTTTGTCTATTAGACCTAGAATTTGTTTTTTTTTCCTCCTCTTTGGATCATTTCCACGATGAAACTGAAAAGAGGAGACGATTTTGCCAGCCAAGAAACAAAGAATTGTTAAGGAACTGAAGATTATATCCTTCTGAAGGATAATGGAGTCTAAGAAGAAGCTTAGCTTGAGACAAAGCAAAGCTTCCAATAGGAACGTTAACGAAACCAAATCTCTTCATCATCTCTTCCCAAATCTCAAACCTCCGATGTCGTTGCTTTCTCTCCGTTGCTTCCGCCGCCACAACATCCAAAATCTCCTTACCAAACCACCGTTGCTCTAGGGTTAGTCTCTCTCGGCTATTTGGTGGCAACGTCGCTTCCAACGAATCAAAGATCGCCATGTAATGATCCACTGCCTCGGAGAATCTATTCAAGAACGAGTGATCTCCGTGATTCGCTTCTCTCTCCGCCATTGTCACGATTCTAGGGTTTAAGCTCTTGATCGCTGACAAAAAGTGACCTATCATATCTCCATCGTCGTTAAAGATTTTGTGGAGGAAGTGAACACAATTGACGGCAATGGTCTCTCCTTGTACGGCGGAGAGAGCTAACAATCGGATCTGTAGCAAAAGTCCGGCGAGATCTTCTTCTACGATCACTAGCGTGTGAAACTGGAATTGGAGACCTAAAGAGTCAGCGAACCGGGTTAACCTGTCTCCGGTTCGGTTTAATCCGGTTACGTCTCGACCGCATCCGGTTATGCGGAGAGATGGAGGTGGACTGTTAGGGTTTGATGACCTCTCTGCTAGGGCTTGCATCAATGGAGGCCATTGAAGTCCTTGTGATATATCTAAATCAAGTATATGTAGAGCTCCGTTATCGTTTGTCTCCGTCGCGTCGAGGATCGCTTGGTTCGCCGTTAAATGACCGAACCGAATAAACGGCGTTAGTTGATTCAGCCAAAGATAGTAACAAGACTCGAAATCAGAATTGTTGTTCTTGGTCCGAAATAAGAACTGTTCTTTGCATACACTGCTCGTGAACACCGTGGAGTTACTCGTCGTCATTTCGTTTGTCGTCCACGTGGCAACCGTTTCAGCCGTCGGATTATGTTGTTGACGGTTGATCCGTTCGGACAAGGCTTTTGTGAAGAGGTGGACAAGTCGCTCGGTGGAGTCACCGTGAGGAGAAGAGTTAAGGGACAGGATCGAGAGTAAGTTTTGAGCGGCGGTGAAGTTTGACTGGGAGACAAAATTCGCAGCGGTGAAAAGGAGACGACGGAGGTGATGGGAGGCGGAAGTTGCGGCGGAGGAGGAGGCGAGGCATAAAGGAGGAGGATTATCGGTGGTGGTGGTGGTGGCATCTTCGGAGGAGGAGCTAGAGGATTTGAAGGAAGTAAGCATTTGATAAGATAGAAAAAGATGCTTTTGGTTCAAATGATTCGTTTTCTCTCTCGATCAAATGAGTCTTTTTCAATGGTAATAATAAATATTATTTCCCTTTACCTGAAGGTATATTGCTTGTATTATTATAATATTATAGATAATCCACACTAGCTATAGCATGTGTACACACATATATATATAACATAGTTTTATGGATAGATATGAAGATGGACCGACCAAGCAATTCAAGGGTCCACAAGAATCCTCAAGCTGGTTTAGGGTAAATTATATTTAAAAAAGTTTACTATAATCCCACAATAGTTTAATAACTTTTAGTATAAAATTATGTATTTTTTTGTTCTTCATAATCTCGCTAATTTGTAAAACTAAAATTTAAAAATATTTGAGTGATTTTAGAAAAGGTGAATCATTCCATTATATTATAATTTATTTATAACTAATTAAGACTTAATCATGTAGTTTAATAATTTATCACCTCATGTTGTAACGTTACACTTTTAAACTTAATACCATTTGGTTTCAAAGTCGCTAAATATCCTCTTGAATTGATATCTTTGTAGCCAAGGAATCTTTCATTTATTCATGGACGTGCACTAAATAGACTAAATCAATTACTCCCTCCGTATTTTAATAAGTGTCGTTTTAGGATTTTCTTTTTTTAAAAATTAGATGTCGTTTTCAAATTTCAATGCAAAATTTCTTACTTTTTAATGTTTTATGATGTCATAAAACATTAAAAAGTAATAAATTTTGCATAGAAATTTGAAAACGACATCCAATTCAAAAAAATAAAAATTCTAAAACGACAATTATTAAAATACGGAGGGAGTACTATATTTTCCCACAAACAAAAGATACTAATTAAATAAAAAACACTACAAAAAATATACATTAAAACAGTTCTACATCAGTCGTATAATTTATATTTCTGCATTCACACGTCTTCGTCGACAGGATATTATATTATTTATATTTGTGCGGTGGATCGTGGAGATGGCCCACTTTGCTAATTGATTATGGCATTTGCAGGAATTATGCTTATAGGTTCCAATATTAGATGCGTAAAATGGGAATTCTCGTTGAGATTCTGATGCCGAGGATGCCAATTTACGAGATTAAAAAGAAACTTATAAACAATGAGTGTTTGCTTACTAAGTAAAATAAGACAAGTATAATAGATGAAGGAATCTGATTAAATCTCGGGATGTACAAAAAGAAAAGAGAAGTAGCTTTGCTTGCAAAATCGAAAAGCTAACCCCCAAATTGCTAATAATTACACTTTTTCACTTATTGAATTTACCAAAATGGTAATGCTGCAAAAAGATCTCTCCTTGACCCTTCAAGTGAAAGGATTCTCTCTATCACTATATGTATGTATGTATGGGAGTGCCTACAATTAGAGAGCATCTATAATTGGATTGGAGACTTTATTGCTCCGTTTCTCGTCTCTTCTTGTACTATAAATTCGAAGCATCTTATCGCATGATAAATGCATTTACATACCTTTTTAATATAAAATCTTTCATACATACTTCCATCAACGAGAAAGATGCTTTCAAATTTCACCGTTTGGTGGGTCTCTTTTTTGGTTATGTAACCATTTGGCGAGTTGTTCAATAAGTAGTAGAAGTGTTCCTGAATTATCCATTGATAAATTTTGTTTATAGCTATACCCAAATTCGAATCAAAAACCAAAATAATTTCGTTTAAAGCTAGTGCGATCCAAAGTTCAAAAAACCAAAACAATTTCGTTTAATGTGTGTTTTAATGAAATTTTCATTTCCCTTGCTATAAAGGATTTTTTTTTTTTGTCATCTAGATTGTATTGATAATGGGTGTTACAACAAAAGCCTTGTCACAAACCACAGGCCAACAAGTTAGTGTTACAAGAATTTACACTAACCACCAAAAGGGACTAACTAAACATCACATTAGTAGTCAAATGGGAGACAGATCCCCATAAACATCAGAGACAGAGGTAGCCCTTTTCTCACTCTCAAACAACTCACAAAGCCATACCGGACCACCTGTGGCCACGTATGATTGAGCAAATACCTCCAAAGAAGCACTTTGAGCAATGAGAAAAGCACCTCTATTAGATGAGGGTTCTTCAAAAATTAATCTCCAGTCTTGCAAAAAATCCATTCTTACCATGATTTCCGAGTAAAGATGACTAAAGGATGGCCATGCTTTCGGTCTCTCGACAATCTTGACAATCTTGGGAAAATCCATAGCAAAGATAACTTTGTTCAGCTTATGGCTATGAATACTATCAATGCACCAAAGTAAACATTGAGTATTAGCCTCATCTCGACTTTCCACATTAGCAAAAGCTCTTCTACTATGAAGAATCACCACCCCTTCCTCATCTCGGATCACCCAAGCACAACCACTAATATTGGTATGTTTTGACCAAAAACTGCTCATATTGCACTTAAGCCATGAACTTGGAGGACATTTCCAACTCTGTATAGCCTCCCTCTCTTCACGATCTTCCACTTCCTCCTCCTTCTTGTCTTGGACCTGAGCTAGAAACCAGAAATCTGCATCTTCTTTGATCATAGCTACAGAATCCAAAGGAGAAACACAACTACCTTCAAAACAGATCAAATTGCGGTTTTTCCAAATTCTCCACAAAATCCAGGGGAAACTTCTCCTTATCTCCACAGGAATATGTCTTGCCTTACTCATCTTGAAAAGGTAATGTAGATTGGAGTGAACAGAGAGATGGTCAAAACCGGATGGTGGATTTGGGAATAGAGATAATGCCCACACCTGTCTAGCAATAGGGCATGAGAAAAGGACATGATTGATGGATTCCATCTCATCTCCACAAATCTGGCATCTATTATCCCTATCCATACCTCTAATCGCAAAGAGATGAGCCACAGGTAACGCGTCACTAGCAGCCCTCCACAAGAACATTTTCAGCTTAGGCTCAGTGAGTATGGACCAAATGTGTTCTTTAATCCCATTCAGAGAGGGTAAGCAGTTAGCTTCAAAGAGCAGCTCTGGCTTGTTTAATTTGCATGCAAACCAGTAGCCAGACTTGACAGAATATTCCCCACTCTTATTGTGAACCCAACACCAAAAATCATTCTGGTTCACCACTGGTTTAATCTTAAGAATCCTCTCCAAATCCTCGGGAAAGAACAGATCATGAAGGATATTTAGATTCCAACATCTGTTAGGAACATCTATCAGCTCACTAACCCACAACCCCGGATTAAAAAAGATCTGTCTCCTATACGGAGCTCTCCATTCTTGATCATATAACCATGGATCCATCCATACCCTTATAGACGCCCCATTTCCAATTTGTTTCCTTAAACCCTGTGTCAGCAAATTCCTTCCCCAAGTAATACTTCTCCAGGCATAAGATGGCCTGTCTCCCATACTTGCCTCCAAAAAATCCTCCATTGGAAAATACCGGCTCTTAAGTACTTGAGCTAACAGAGAATCCGGCTCTTTTAAAATCTTCCATGCCTGTTTTGCTAATAGGGCTTGATTGAAACTCTCCATGTCCTTGAAGCCTAAACCACCATTAGCCTTTGACAAACACATTTTTTCCCAGCTCACCCAATGCATCTGTCTCTTATGCTCAAAAGAGCTCCACCAAAAAGCAGACATTGCACTAGTAATATTTGATATTGTTGTCTTTGTCAATCTAAAACATGACATCGCATACACCGGCATCGCCATAGCCACAGCTTTCAATAAGACTTCTTTACCACCCAAAGAAAGAGATCTTGCAAACCATCCACTTAACCTTGTCTTCAATCTGTCTTTAATGAAGCTAAGCAGTTCAACTTTGGAACCACTAAAACACTCTGGCAGTCCAAGGTAAGTACCAGCCCCACCTTCATCAAAAATCCCAAAAACATTTTGGATACATATCTTCTTCTCATCGTCCACTCTGCTTCCAAAAGTAATAGAAGATTTCTGGAGATTAATGGTTTGACCTGTTGCTTCCCCATAAGTCTTCAAAATATCCTTAAGAACAGCTCCTTGCTCTTCCTCAGCTCTACAAATAAAGAGGCTATCATCGGCGAACAGTAGGTGATGAATAACCGATCCATTTGTAGAGAAAGAGACCCCATTAATAAGCCCTTGAGATTGCGCCCTATTCATGAGATGTGTGAGCCCTTCTGTACATAACACAAAGAGAAAAGGGGACAAAGGATCCCCTTGTCTCAATCCTCTCCCAGGAGATATCATTCCATAAGGCTTATCATTGATCAAAACCGCGAAGGTCACAGTAGACACGCAAAACATGACCCACTCAACCCATTTGGGATGGAAACCCAGTGCATCCAATAAAGCTCTCAAGTAAGACCACTCCACTCTGTCATAGGCTTTGGACATGTCAGATTTGATTGCCATAAACTCCGATGAGATAGTTCTATGCGTCCTCAGCCCATGTACCACTTCATGCGCTATGATAATATTATCCGAAATCAGTCTCTCAGGGACAAAAGCGGACTGATTTGGAGAAACTATATCAGCAAGCCACGGCTTCAACCTCCTCACCAGAATCTTTGAAATGATTTTGTATAGAACAGAGCATAGACTGATAGGTCTGAGATCAGCCATATGTTCAGAAATCTCCTTCTTTGGCAATAGGCACAGTTGAGTATAATTCCACTCCTTTGGAAAGATACCAGACTCAAAAAACTTTTTGACCTCTTCAGTGACTTTGATTCCAACCAGGTCCCAATATTTCTGAAAAAAAAAGCCTGTAAACCCATCTGCACCCGGAGCACTAGAAGCTTTAATGGCAAAAACTGCCTCTTTGATCTCCTCATTAGTCACTGTCCCTACCATCTCCTTATTCATCGCTTCAGTCACTCTAGGAGAAAAATCATGAAATACTTCCTGGAAATTACCCGGGTTAGTAGAGGTGAAGAGAGTCCTGAAATAAGCCTCAGCTACTGCACCCATTGAAGCACTTGATTTCTGTGGATTACCATTGATGTCATACAACATTTCCACACAATTCTTCCTTCTGTTAGACTTAACTGAATCATGGAAAAATTGTGTATTTTTATCTCCCCCATCAACCCATTTCTCCTTTGACTTTTGTCTCCAATGTATCTCTTCTTCTCTATAAGCTCTGCACAAACTCCTTTTCAGATTATTAACCCTCCAGATCGTAGGATTATTCTCCGACTGTGCAGCCTCTAACTCCACCTGCAACTGACCAATCAACGTTGAAGAGTTTGTGATGTTTTCCTTTTTCCATTTGCTCAAAGCTTTCCTGCAGTTCACCAATTTATCAGACACCAAAGACTCTCTTCTAAGGTGGTTGGAGTTCCAGGCCAGGCAGATCGCTTCCTTAACCATTGGTTTGTTGAAAAACCTTTTGTCAAATCTGAAGCTGCCTCTGTATGACTCTTTAGACGTGGTTAGACTGACCAGAACAGGTCTGTGATCTGACCCTCTTTTGTCAAGAAAAGTCTGATTAGCCGCAGGGAACATGGACATCCAAGCTTTATTCCCAAAGCATCTGTCTAACTTGCATTGAATCCAAGACTGATTCCTCATGCCTCCCCAAGTGAAACTATTACCTTTACTTGGGAGTTCAAACATCTGACAAGCTGAAAGCATATCCTTAAAAGGAGTGAAAGACGCATCACCTCTTAAAGGTCCTCCAAGCTTCTCTCCATTATGAATGATCTCATTGAAGTCACCCATCATACACCATTTCTCCTTCCTACTGATTCCAATTCGTGACAAACGCTCCCACACTTTAGCTCTACCACTCTGAACCGGATCACCATACACACACGTAACATAGAACTCCACCTCTCCAAACTGTACAAAGCAGTCAAGCAGATTCTTATCTACAAACTGAAACTCTACTTTGACTCCTTTTTTCCAGAACAGCGCAAGCCCACCACTCAAACCAACTGGGTTCACTGTATACACTCTTTCGTAACCCAGCCACTCTTGCAAATCAACCAGAACATTCCTACAATTTTTAGTCTCCATTACAAACAGAATCTCCGGGAAATGTTCTTTACGCATTTCCTTGAGACGAGGAATCGTCAGTTCTTGGAACCGTCCCAAGCCCTGGCAATTCCAACTAATCATTGTCATTACAGATTGGACGGTCCCTCTTTTGGGACCACCTTTTTGTTGTTGCGCTTAGCGACTTTTGATGTAGACACAGCCTCATCCGCAGCTTTCCTCTTAGAATTACTGGCCTCAACGATTTCTGAAATCGTCTCTTCACAGTCCCCATGAACAGCACCTTTACTCAACTTTCCTCCTCTTCTTCTCGATTTAAAAGGCCTTTTCCTAGGTTTACCATTCTTTAGAAATACCCCGGAAAGTCCAGTTTCAGAGAAACCAGTCTTAAATACCGTTGAGCATTCAGAAGAATAAAACCTAGTGTTGGGGGCAAGACTCCCTTCACCTTCATTCTGCTGACTACCCAAAGCCATTGGTTCCCATCTCATTGTCTTCCCTTCTTTAGCCTTACCTCCCCCAGTTTTTAACATTTCTGCCTTCCACCTCTCTTCTTTATCATTCAGTGATAAGTTTTCATACTCAAACACAATCCCTTTCTCTTTGTCTAGATCATTAGAGACCACCGGAGGAGTTTCTAATCTCAGCATTGTTTTCTCCCCAATTGGATCATTCTTGAGGTCTACCAAAGACTGTTTAATTCTTGCTTCTCTAGCTATTCTCTCAGCTCCATCAGCCACCAGTAGATACTGCCTCATACCATCAATCACTTCTTTAGCAATTCTTGGTCTACCCGTATTCGGATTAATCCCTACTTGATCCTCTTCAACCACACCAAACAGTGGATCATTCTCAGGAATAGTCTTGATCTTCTCAATTGCAATCCCTTTCCCTTTCAACTTGGCGGCTTTGATGGAATCCTCTTTAGACTTCAACCAAACAGGACATCTCTCTTGTTCATGGGTCAGCCTTTGACAAGCAAAACACCTCTTTTGAACCCTTTCAAAATCATACCGAATACACACGGGAATACCTTTGAAGTTGACCACCTTTTCTCTTCTCAAAGGCTTCGAAACATCGAAAATAACTTTCACCCGAACAAATGCTTGATTTTGAGGTCTATCCGGGTCTAGAACCACTTCCTTTACTTCCCCAATAAACTCTCCCAGCATGGTTATCGCTGGTACAGTATAGTGGTTCACCGGAATGTTACGGATTTGGATCCAAACCGGCATAAACTGGAGATAGTCCGCCGGTGGTTTCTCCTTCCATCTATCGATAACAAAGGACCATTCATTGTAGGTATGCGCACCTTTAGCTAGAATTGCTTCCATATCATGAGCATATTTGAATATGAATTGAAACTTCTCCTGAGTTAGAGCTACCCCTCTAATTCGCCCAACCATCTGCCACTTCCTTGGCATATCGAGGATAAGGCTGGACATTTTTTGACACTCTGGATTGAGTAGGCGACCCATAATACTCTGGACATTCTTCTCACTTGAACAAAACTCCGGTAGATCTGGCATATCGAAAGGCTTATCTTCCTCTTCCAGACTCATCGCCATCAACGCTCTGTCGATACTCGACGACATCTCAACACTTTGACCACAAAAAAGCTTCTTTCCAACTTTTTAAATCCGATCTGAGAAAACCCAGCAAGAACCCTAGAAAAGGAGGCAGAAAACGCTTGCAAAGAAAAGGAATCACTCGAAATAGGTTAAACTTTCTTACTTTTAGCTTTAAAAATCACTTTACGGACTTGTTATCGAGACAAATGCTCTACCACACTTTAGAAAGAGATACTCTAAAGCAAAGAGAGGGTCTTAAGCCCAAAAAAGGGAGTTCATTTTTGATCAGAATTCTTGCTATAAAGGATTTATAATTTGTTTTTCTTGTCGTTTGTAAACGGAAAATACTACCATATTAAAAATCGATTTATAACACAAGATCCATTCTTAATTAGTTAATGTGGATTGAATTTGCAGGGAGAATATTATAAAGGGATGGGAAATCTGAAGCTGGATCCAAATCAAATCTAATTAATAGAAAGACTACACATAATATAAGTAATGAAAAGAAAGAGTGTCTACATTAAATGAATTATAATTAGGAGCCGGTAGGAGAGTAGTCGTCGATAAGGACAAAGGAGATGGATGTGCCTTTTAGCCTGGATAACACATAGCGATCCCATACGTATTTGTTTGCACTAAAAATTAAGCACTTTACTTTGACAAGTCCTTTCGATTATGATATATGTAATTTGACTTAACATTAGCATCCACGTGAATCAATTTTAACTTCAACACAAAAATATAGTTGTTGTTTAACCTTTTAACGTAACATGTAACATAGAGCTTTAACTTTAACTTTAACAAAAAAAAAAACATGTACCATGGATGCTTAAAATAATTTTATTTTTGATTAGAGATTTTGCTCGAAATCTAGATTAGTTTTTAAGACTTCGAGCTGTTAATCAAAATAGTAGTTACCAAAATAAAATTTTTATAAAATTTAATACATGCTTTCGGTGAATGCGACAATAACTACTAGAAACACTAAAAATACAAATTTTAAATAAGTCAAATTTAATGCTACTATTATTTAGCATCAATATAGAACACTAAAATTTTTATGAGTAAACATCAAATTGATTTATCAAACAATCATTAAAAGGTAAAATGTAAAAAAAAAAAAAGAATAAAAGAAAGAAAGGAAGAATCAAAAGAAGCACGCAATGAAATAAATGAAGGAAGGGAGAGGCAGGAAGTTTAACCCAAAAGATTGGACGAAAGGCTGACACACTTTTGCCTTTTCTCACTTTGGTTTCTTTTTTTTCTTTTTTTTTGTTTTTTCAATACGATTAAATTATTATTGTGTTATAAATAATTAAATATATATATATATATTTCGTGTTTATTTCACTGCCACGCTGGATGGGACATATTGGAATGAGACTTTTCCTTCCTACTCTCCTCCTCCTCTGCCATTTCTATAATTATTATCACTCGTACGAACATTCTTTCTGTTCCTAATTAATGGTTTTTTTCGACTTAAACAATTAAATTTTATGCATTGAGAAAGATACTTGTAGTTTAGTTTCCTTTCTTTCTCAACAAAACATTCCTAACCATTTCATTAATAAATTAACTATAAGGGGTTGACAAAAAAAAAAAACTATACTAAGGAAAATATGTTATTATAACTAAGACAAAAACCTCGAACATCAATGAATTAACAAATTTCTCATTTAATCAAAAAGGTAAAATATTGCTGAAATTTGTGTGTTAGCTTATAGTTGAGCTATGGTTAAGATCAACGAGATGAGTAGAAATAGTAAATAAGGAAACGAAGAAAGCAATTTTTTACCGTTTCACATAAATCTGTGTAGCACACGACAGGCACGTGCACGTCAAGATCTTTGTGCCACTCTCACATATCAATATGTCCCTAACCTATTTGGCTATTTTCATATAATTTTTCCCGCAAATTATTTGATTTTTTTCCTTTTTATAGCAGATCACGCTATTGTGTTTATATCCATTTATTTCCTTCACGAATCACAATTAACCTCATGCAATTCCTGTATATATATTTGAACATTGTAGTGTGAATATGAATGATATCATAAGGTTTCAGCTGTTAGTGGCTATACTTTGTGATCATACTTTAGGCCTAATCGCAGCCCTATTTATTCCGGCCCATGAATCATTCATTTAGTACAAAATTAATTTTTTCACCTTCACTACACCAATTTTTTCCCCGGTTATTAAATTATTTTGGTTTCAATAACATGCAATATATGAGTTTGAATTTGGATTGTGATACAATCACAAACAATAGACTATATGCTCTTATCTTTTTTTTGTGCACCAACATTTATAAATTACTAGTCATCCTCAAAGAGAGAAAAGTTGCAAAAGAAGGAGATGGAGCCTTTAAAAGCCATCAAACTCGCTGCTACAAGAACAAAACGAAGTACACAGATAGTAGATAGGAGAATAGATCAAAGAAACCCTAGTACTTAAACAATAAACGTTAACGCGGAATCCTTGAACCTTGATAACCCAAGTGCTAATAAATGAGATGTTGCCTTGGACAACAAAAATACAGAAAGTGATATGTTGCTCGTGATTGAATCTGCCACTAGGGCAAGCAAAACAATCCTAGAGATGGCATGCAAAACAGGGGTGACAAAGCACCAATTTGCATAGCCATTGACACCAACAGAGAACGAGGTCTCTGGAGAGCATCCTTCCAGAACAAAGGCCGGTCGCGCAACATAAGGGCAACAACAAAGAAGCCATGGAAGTAAGGATGAAGGTTGGATGAGACTCTCCTTTAAACAGGAGAATGGAGCGAAATCCTCTCATGGCCTTGGCAGGAGGAAGATTGGCTCAGTGGAGGTGAAGCGTCTTGATGCTTCAGATAGGAACATAGGATAGAAGTATATCCAATCCCATATGAACGAAGGATAGAAATATATCCAGCCCAAAAAAATATCCAAAATAAAAAGGCCATAAACTTGAGCCCATGGAGGAACTTAGCCTATAACAGCTAGCTCATACTGAAGTAACACCATCAAACTTGAGCCCATGGAGGAACTCTAGTTATATCTCATGCATTTTTGGTTTTTAAGCAATATCAAACTTTGATAAGTTTTGTATCTATCATTTTCAGCTTTGTATGTTTTATGCATCTAGGTATTCACCTTGTATGTATTTCCAATGATATCTCGATATTGTAATCAATTTAATTTTGAAATGAAGTTTCGTTTTGTCCGTTTATCATTACAAAAATTTTAATAAATTATTTGGTACGAAGAAAAAAAATCAATGCTGTAAAGTTACATAAATATACTTAGACTTCATTAGGTGGCAAAGCAAATATCATTTTCTGCTTATTTCATTAGTTGAAAATTTGAAATCTAAGACTTAATTACATACGATTTATTAAATAAAGCAGAGGAACTTAGAAAAATGAATTCAATTAACAAGGATAACTAATTCATCGTTTAGAAGAAGAAGAAAAACTCAAGGAATAAACATACATACATTTCAATTCATGTACATATGAATAACAATATCGTTTTAAGTCAAATTAATAACTTGAATTAAATAATTAAAAGACCCAAAAAAACATAATCCGTTCGGTTCCAAATTGGTCTCAACAAAAGAAAAACCAAACTCTTTTTTTTTTTTTTTTGATAAATAATCTCAAGAAAAAAATTAAGCTCCGGCATAAGGGTTAACCTTAGGCTTGCCCTTGACGAGACCACATTGGAGGCTTGTCTCCGGCATGTTGTATTCGTCCCGGAGAGATTTTTCCGGTGACAAGACGCTTGCGTACAGTTGCTGTCCCAAGTAACGTCTCTCAGAGTTCTCCGACCTAATGTTCCACATTCCACAGTTGTCGAATGTGAGCAAAATTGCAGCCCAACACTTGGGGTAGACCTGGACTGTGTGTCGGCTCACTGCGTCTAGAAGGTTGTAGTTCTTCCTCTTCTCTGGTGTCCATGTCCCTGGCTCAACCCTTTTGACGATGAAATATATTAAAATTAGGGTTAAGAAATTGGTTACTTTTTGTGCAAGCAAAATGATGAAAAGTGTTACTTACGCTACAGCGAAGAAGGAATAGCCGTCCAAATGCCACGACTGGACACTCCTCTCGTGGTTCTCGAACACGACTTCAATGAAGGTGCGGTGAGTGATGTTAAGAACATTGGGTTCGATCTTGATGTTCTTGATCTGATCGGGATTTGGGTTGTCCGAGATGGTGTCGTACTTGAAAACCTTATCAGCAACGCCAAAGTACTCAGCGAGCTTGAGAGGTGTCTCAGGGTCGGTGTGGGAGACCCCGCTCAACGCGTACCTAAGCTTGCCATCGACCTTTCCCTGAGTGTTCACGAGCTTGATGGTGCGAGTGATGTTAATTTTTCCGTAGTGGTACGAGCCTTGTGGGTTAGGTCTAGCTGCGCTCGCTGTCAAGTTCCACCTGAAAGATCGGAACTGGTTCAAAGACCAAGCCCAACCAACGGGGGCGGCAGGTAGCTGAGAAGAGGCAGGACCTTTGCCTCCCTCGTAGCGGAGTAACCCTGTCGTTGTCAAAGGTTTCTTCAAGAACCTTGTGGAAGCAACCATGTAGTAATCTTTAGGTTCTTGGTCTGCTGTGACGATTACACCGAAACACTGACCGACATGGACGTCAAGCGAATCATAGTCGTTTTGTAGAACGTGTGAGCCTTCCATCTCGACAAGCCTCATTTTGTGGTTCTGAATCCTGAAGTTAAGAGATGCCTTGAGACCCACGTTACAGATACGGACTCTGTAGGTTTTTCCTGGCTTCAAGGTGAAAAGAGGTTTGTCAGAGCCATCAGTTTTCCCGGATTTACCGTTGATGAGAATGCCATCTGGACGGCCAATAGTGCGACCACTGTCGAGGAACTTCTTGAGCTGAGTGTGGCTTTTGGTGTACCAGTCGTTGATAAGGACAGTGTAGTCATCTTCAGGGTCAGCGTACGGAACCGGGATCAAGAGACGGCTGTTCACACGAAGGCCACCAAAGCCACCAGCGGCACGATGCATGGCTGTGGTCGGGTAGTAGAAGTAGCTACCTATTTGATCCTTTGGCTGGAAATGGTATGTGAAGTTCTGACCCGGAGGGATGGGACACATTGTTCCAGCTGTTCCATCTTGCCAGCAGTTCTTCCTATGCTGGATTCCATTCCTATTTAAATTTTCCAAATAAACCCCCAATTAGATAATATTGGTGCCGTTGGACATTTCAATCAAACCATATATGATTAATCGTATAAAATTGTAAGAATGGTCGTGGTCTATATACGTACCAGGTAATGAGGAAAGGCTCGTCGAGGTTGTTGAAGACATTAACGATGACGTTGTTGTTAGAAGTGGAGTTGATGTTAGGACCAGGGAATTGACCGTTGATGAGGATGACTTGTTGTGGAACGCCTAGAGGAGATGCGGTTCCGTACGTCACATTCCACACGTGGTGGAAGTAAGGGTCCTCCGCTTGGACCATCATGACGGTCGCCGTGGCCACGCAAAGGCACACGGCCAAAAGTTTAACCCCTCCCTTCATTAATAGTAAACTTTATTATTAGTAAAGTTTATGATTTTTTTTCAAGTGTTGGAAAAAGTTGGGGTTGTTTTTTTTTTTTTGGTTTTATTATGTTTTTGTAGGGGTTTGAATTTCGATTTTTTTTCTTCAAATGTTAAATGACATTTTATAGTTTAATCGAATAAACAGTTTCCTGATTTTTCTCGTTTCTTTAGGTCCCTTTCATTACGCTCTTCCTGTCGTCCATATTAGGAATATTCAATTTGACCTCTCGCTATTTTTGGTGTAACTTTTTTCGAGAATTTGTTTTTTTTCCAAGTTTTTTTTTGAGAATTTTGCTAATTTTGGAGAATATTTGTGAGTCTAGTCATATATTATACATGACTTATACAAACTCATATGACTAAACTTTATTTTTTCCTATAGAAATCAATTTGGTTATGATTTAATGTCATATCAAATTTGACTGGGACATCAAATGACTAATAGTAGCACTATCGTCAAATGATCGAATTAAAAAGAAATTAAGTCGTAAACACATTAAAAAGATGGTTTTCGAAGATTAATGACGTTTCGGCTTTTTCTATTAATATTTTTGACTCGTCCATTCTAACAACAACTTTACAAACATGAAAGCATGAGATATGTTGAATAATAATGAGAAATACTTCATTTGTTTCACATAGTGTTATTCTACATTTTTCACATATATTAATAAAACTATTAAAAGTTCTACTATACTCTTTATTAATACACTAATGAAAATTATCTTTCCTATTAATATATTAAAGAAATATGATTATAAATGAACTTTTATTCAAAATAAAAAATGACACTTTTTGTGAAACAAAAATAAAATTTTAGAACGACACTCTTTGTTAAACAGAAGGAGTAACAGTGCCGGTCCGAGCATTTGTGAGGCCCTACACGAAAAATAAAATGAGGTCCAATATATTTATAAGTTTTAGGACTAAAATTTTTTTTTTGACCTATTTTTAGTAAATTATACAAAAATAATGATATTTTGAATATTATTACATTCAAATTTAATTGTTTGGGCCCTATTTTATTTATTTTTTTCGAAAAAGACTTTAGTTTCTACCAAATATTTTCATTTTATGGGCCTTTTTACCAAAAAAAAAAAAAAAAACCTTAAAAAAAAAAAAAAAAATTTGTGGTGCCCCAAGCCACCGCTTGGGTGGCCTGTCCTGCGGGCCGGCCTCTAACAGATAAAAACGTTTCAAGAGATATGTTATTCATCACCATTACGTGTACAATAAAGTTTAAACGTTTGAAGAAACCAAGCTATCGAGACGAAAAATTATCTCGGAACTAAAATAATCCATCGCAAAATCTGAATATCACAACTATTTATATCATGTCGAAGCTAATTCTCCTGACGTGAGAAATTCATTTATCGAGTTTTGAAGTA